CCCGTACCGCCTTAGTGTACCGCCTAAGTGTACTGCCTTAGCGCTGCTAACCCCGTTCAATTGGGTTGACTCGCGCGGCAAGCCTTTTGTTCCTTAATTTTCCTGTACCTGACGTCACTGCCCAGCCGTGGTCTCGCTCCCTTTGTTCAGCTTCCCTTCCTAGACAGCACGTGCCGCCTTGTAAGTTTCTTTCCTCAGAATCTTTTGGAGGGCCACCGGAAATGGCTTGCAAGAACCAAGCACCGAACCAAGAAGAAACAGCGACCAGGACTAACGAGCCAAAAAAAAAAANAAAAAAAAAGAACAATTCTTAATTGCCCCGACTGCCGGTTGCTTTGCCAGGGATGCCGTGTGTCCAAACCAGAGTGGGTCGACGCTGGATGCTGGATGGGGTTTTGTGGGCTGACTGCCGCCTTTGCCTGGGTCGCACAAAGCCTTGATTTTGGCCTCGCCCTTTTCTTCTCTCGTGTTGGCATGGGCATGTCCGTGTTAGGAAGAAATGTTGACGAGATGGTGAAGGACCCCGATCTATTTCCGGTGTGGATTCGCAAGCATTGCATCGGCCACCGCTTCACCGTCGGGAATCAGGCGCAAAAATCAGCGTCTCCAAACCATAACACGGCCCTGCTATTGATATTGGCTTGTTGATTCCCCATGTCACGCGCACAGCGAGGCCGGAGACAAAAACCGGTGGGCGGTGAAGGAGTGTGGGCGTGTCCAATGCGGGAAACAGGTCAAGTGCGGGCAGGCGGGCGGGCGATACCTGATCGGGTGGCAGCCTGCCTGTATGCAAGTTCCCTGAAAATCAGGGTCCTTTCAACCCATGAGCCGCGGCCGCCCCAAACAAACAGCCGAGCCGGCGGCGATGTGGGCGAGCACGCGGACAAGATGCGACCTCTCCTGGCCCTGCTGGGGGAAAAAAGGTCTTAGGGCGCGGGGGGGACAGGGCACGAGGGGTCCCAGCAAGGGGTACGCTCCCCTCCAAGGGGGGCTGCTGACACCCTTCTCCTGGGTCTGGGCCTGGCCAAGTTTTTTTTTTTTTTTTTTTGGTGCGGCGCCGGTTCCCTGTCTCGTCGCGGGCGCGCACGTGTGCACATCATGTCGGAACTGCGAAAACAAGAACAGATGCGGGAAAAAAAAAAGAAGAAAAGAAAAGGAAAAAAAAGACAGGTCGAGGGGCGGCGGAGGCAGAGGGGAACGCGGCCGACAGCCTAGCGGGCCCCCCCTCCATTGGGAAGCAAGGCGTCGCCATGCCTGCAAGACCAGAGGTCTAGAACGCGGACGACCCCGTCGATCTCGACGCATGATGCTGCATGTGCACGCGCGGTGGAGAGAGGAAAGCAAAGCAAAATGTCACCAAACAAATCCCCACTTCACTGCTTTTTTTCTTTGCTCTTCTCATTCCTGACCACAGGCCTAGGCTGCTCTCCTCATACTGAGTGACATGACCGAGACTGGACCCTCGTTCCATATATGCTGACAAGAGTGGGCAGCCATGTCCGTCGTCAGATTCTTTCGTCATCCCAAAAATATCCCGGTGGGCCTTTCTCCTTTCTTCCCTCAATCGCCCAAAAAAGCCCCGGTTTTCCATTCGAGATGAATGAATGGGCTTTGTCGTCATCGGACACGCCCCGTCTTTCCTCTCTCTCCATCTCCATCATATCTGTCCTTTGCACATTAATCTGCCTTGGCCCGCCGTTGGCTTTGCCCGCTTCATAAGAACAGGCAGCCACAGGGGGCGCCATCCCTGGCCGGACCGTCTCCGTTTTTGCATCGTGCGTACCTGCGTCCTGCGATTTCGTTGGTCTCGATCCGAACATGTCGAGCCGGCGGGTGGTGGAGGCTTGACCGAAATGGCGGCGGTCTAGTGGGCTTTCTGTTTTGCGCTGCGGCCAGGGGTCTCTTAAAAACTTGCTTGACAGTCGGGGTCGTCCTTGGCGCTGCTGCAGCCGCTGACACAAATATCACCACACACTTTCTCTCACTCGCTCACTCGCACACTACTCTTGTCATGTCGCTAGATGCCTAGTGTTTGTCTGGGGGCGGTGAACAAAAAAGACGGCGGTTGATGGCCAACGGGGGGGGCGGAAGGCAAAAAGGCCCTTGGCCAGACCCCGTCTCAGCTCCGAAAGGGAGGTCGGCCTAGAGACGCACGCTTGAAGCTTTACTGGGTCTTAGCGCGCCACGCCGTTGGACTGAATCGGGCGTCGCGACCGCCGACTTTCCGAGGGTGAGGCTGAGAAACGCGGGAAATAAGGAAGGAAAAAACACCGAAAAAAAAATGTGGTGGTCATCGTGATAGGGGGGGCATGGATGCGTGTAGTGCGTTGTCAAAACCACCAGCCCGGAGCAAACCCTCCTTGTGCAACCGTAACGACCCAACCGCGGGGACTGGAAGCCAGCACCCCCCATCGGAAGCGCGGCCGCCTCCCCGCTTGCTTCCTCCCACGCTGCTGTGTTGCCCTTGGGCGGGAAGCCGACATGACAGTGGGGGGGGGGGGGGGGGGGGGGAGGGGTCTGGCCCGTCACGGTAGCACCGTAACACGCTATCACAAAAGAGAAAATGGTGCCCTACATATGTACAGCAGCTTGATGACGCAAAGGAACGCCCGACTAGGTAAGGGTGCCTGCTGGCCGGTGTCTGTTGGCCGCAAATATGGGAATGTTTGATACCTAGGGTGGGATTCCCATCCCGCCCTTTTTGGGAGGGTTGACAAGTGGAGGGTGAGTGAAGGGGGGCGAGCAGCAGCGAAAAGCAGCAGCCGCAGCAGAAATCGTAGAGATAGGCCACTCAAAAGACTTTCTTCCCCTCTCTAATGTCGATCTTTTGTCGGGTCCTGCCCGTCCGTCTCAGGGCTTGCCGATCTCTGGTTCCGGAGCAAGCTTGCGGATCTTGCCCTTGGAGCACAACAGCTGGGCAGCTGGGATGACGATGACCACACACACACACACAACTCGCTCTTTCTCTGTCTCTCTTCACATCCCCAACAGCACTGTATATGACCGTGCGTCCTCCTCCTTTGCATTTGGGCCAGTCGCCTGTCCCGTCCGATCCCCGATGTGGGGTGACCTCCGTCATTAATCGGATATCGGATGTGGCTTCCTGAGCCTCGGCCACTCCTAGGTTGCGTGGATATTTCACGGGCTTTGGTCCCTTGGGTTGTGTATCTTCTATCGGTTCCATTAGGGTAAAACCTACACAGATAGGCCAACGTCATCTCCATTCCCTGCCAATCTCCTTTGCTGTCTCGCGGACTCTCGCCTGGCTACCTCAACCCCCAAAGCGTCGTGAACCATGTATTCAGCCCTTATCAAGAGCTCTTCGCCCGGAATACCAAACTACGCAAGTTACGAAAGTTAGCCGGAAAGTGCTTCCCACGTCATCCAAGGCATCACCCGACCGCGCGATCCCCAACTTTACAGCTCGGCCGTTCAAATCCTGGGGAATAATAGCCCTTGGCTGGACTTGGGGGTGTCCGGTCGGCGTGGGTTGGGCCAGTAGTTAGCGTGCCCGGTGTACATCAAGGTAAACCTCTCGAGGGAGGGTTTCGTAACTATCTGCACCTTTGAGGAGCTGTGTATTGGAATTTCTACCGTGTTGTATTTTCCTCTCTCAATAGTGGCGCTTCAATAGATCTTTGTGTTGCTCGGATAGCCAGTCCGCAGAGTGGCTCCCACTTCCTTTTGAAAGGACCAAAAACTCCCAGAAAAATCCAAAACAAAAAGGTATAGGCGATGGCGTCTATGGGGAAAAGTAGGTCCGGGCGTTGACAACCTATACGGACAGGATAACCAAGAAAAAGGAAATAAAAACGAGCGCTTGCTAATAATCAGACACGAAGGTAAGAGCAAATCATGACACCAATCTGTCCATCCCCTATACCATCTTCCCAACCGAATCCTTTCCCTTGATCGCCTCCTCCGGCCGGCGCCGTAGCGGCTCCATGGCGACCGCGACACGGCCTCCACCCTCGCCGTACGTCACCGCCAGGTCCGCGAGCCGAGCCACCGATGCCGCCACGGCCGCCAGAGCGATCCCGATGGTTCTGACCCAGGGCACAGGCGAGGGGCGAGAGAGTGGCACGGGCAATGAGCCTCCCCCTCCGGGCGCTGGCGTGCTCCCCAGGATACCCTCTCCGTCGCCCCTGCATGTCCTCCACTTCGGGACCCATAACCCCCCGCCGCCGTCGACCCTCAGCCTGCGCACGAGCGCCTCGGCAGCCCAGACGAGGATGGCAAGCGGGAGGAGTAGCAGGTGCGGGGCGTAGCGTAGCGGGGACGCCGGCATTGAAGCCACGGCCACGTCTTCGTCTGGGTCATTGGTCTCGGAAGAGGTCGCAACGGCGGCGGCGGCTGCCCCAGCCGCCACCACCTCGGCGGCCTTGCGCGCCTCGATAAGCTCGGCCCGGACGGCAGCCACCTCGGCCCGGACGGCGGCCAGTTCGGACCGCGCCGCGTCCAGGTCCTCGGCGCACGCGGCCCGGGCGCCGCGGAGTGCCTCGGCGCACTCGCGCAGCTGGCCTACCAGCGTCGCCGCTTCTGCTATCGCCTCTGGCGCTCCCGCCTCTGTGCTCTCTGCTGGCGGTGCTAGTGGTGCGGGAGGTGCAGCGTCTGCTGGAATTGCTACAGCTGCTGACGATGCCGACGATGCTGACGATGAAAATAACATGCCCACGGCCGACACGGGCAGGAATTCCTGCTGCTGTTGTTGCTGCTGCTCCTGTTGAGGTTCAGGCGTGAGGGGGTGCCGCAGATTTCGGACAGATACAGAGTCCCCTGGACCGATGCTCGCCGCCTTTGCCAGGCCAGCAGCGCTGTTGCTGTTTCCAAGCTCGGCGCGCCGGATATTGGACAGCGAGACCCGCCTGAGATGGAGACTATCGGAACGACTCCTGGACCGCTGGCGACCCCGCGAGCCGACTCCCTGGGCCAGAGGCGGCTGGGGCACCGTCCTGCCGTTCTGGCGTTGTTGCTGTTGCCGCTGCTGCTGTCGCTTCTGGTGCCGCGCAGCGACCTCTGCCGCGGCGACCGAGGCGCGCGGCGGCATGGACATGATGGCGCAGTCCATGTTGCTGTCGTCGGCGCGGGCCACGCTGCTGTCGCCGGTGCTGCTGATGACGCTGCTGCAGTTGCTGCTGCAGTTGCTGCTGCCCTCGGTTATCATCGTTGTGGTTGTGGGTAGCGGCGGCGGGACGGTGCTGTTGATGAAGGATGCAGGGACGGTGGCGTAGGCGGCTGTTTCTGGGGCGGGCGATGCCGACGTCGATGCCACCTCGAAGACGGTCCCGGCGTAGGGCGTGTCTGGGACGGCTTCTTCGTCATCGTCATCCTCGTCGTCGGCAGCGTTGGCTGTGGACGCGGATCCCACGGAGAGCTGGTCTGAGGAGGCACTGCTGGTTTGTATGGTCGTGCCCGTTGGTAAAGGTGGGGAGATGATAGAGGGGCGAGCCGGTATAAGCGAGGTGGAGGCGGAGGACATGGCCGAGCTAGCAGCGGTGTCAAACGACGAAGGGACAGGATGGTATATGGGCAGATCCGGGAATGCCGATATGCCGGTCGAGCTGGTCATCCTCCCATCCGAGAAGGTGGCGCTGTCTGGCGGCGACGGCGGCGCGTGGGGATGATGTGCGCTGTTATGTGCTGCCGAAAGCATCAGCGCGGCCGTGGCAGAGGCGGTCGGCGTGCGGGCCGGCCATGTTGATACTGGCGACGACGACAGCGCGGGCGGGCTGTTGCCGCCCCTGCGCTGTGAGATGGTGGACGCTGAGATGGACTGCAGCCGCGTGCGTGCCGACACGACCCGCCGGGGCAGAGAGCGCGGGGACAATGCCGAGTCCTCATCGAATGCCTTCTTTTCTTCAGCCCTCGATGCTGCTGCTGATGAGGAGGCCGAGGACTCGACTTTAAAGGGGTCCCTCGTGAAAGGGTCGCTCGGGGTGGGCTCACGCAGCCTCCACGCCTCGGTGCACATCAGCTCGGTCCACTCGTATATGACACTGGCCTCCTGCCTGCCACGGTGGGGCTCCGGCGTAGCGTCGATGCAGAGGCAGGCTCGGGCGAGGTGCAACAGCAGGTTGTGATCGACCTGGTCCGGTAATTCGTGGGACATGTCGGCAAGCAGTCGGCGGATCGTATTCTGCTCGCAGGGCCGGATCGGGCGCTGGCAGCGCTGTGTTCCATCGTCCTCCACGGCGCCGCCGTCCGGTGCCACTTTGGGCACGCGGGCGACACATCGCCAGACGCCTCGCGACGGACTATCCTCATGGAGACCGAGGACTTCCTCAGGGTTCCATGTTGAGGCCATGGTGCTGGGTTGCCCACCCAGGAGGCTTTTCGGGTGTCCGTGAGCTGCAGAGACACGCTGGCTTTCCACCTAACAGACAGCAGGCAACGCAGAAAGCGATGTCGTGTAGATCGAGGTGAAGTTTGGTTGTGATGGAGTCAAAGAACCTCTTTTTCTAGGATGCGAAGGAAAGAAATGCTGTATATGGTATGAAGCAACAAGGAATGGGCTGTGGATGCCCGGGCTCGACGTGGTAATTTAGGACAGCCCCGAACATTGACCACGCAGCTCCTCATTTACGGCCATGACCCGACGACGGCCAACCATGTGTGATGCAGGCGGTTTCGCCTGAGGGGCAGGACAGTGTGCAGGACTAACCTATCCCATGAGAGCGCCCATCGACATGATGGCACTCGGCGGCGACGGGGAAAGGTACCTACTCGGCATATCAGGTGGCCCCAAGCGCGAAACACATCCACGGCCAGTACCAGCCCGCATGCTGCGGGCGGAGGGCGAAGCAGGCCCGAGGGCGAGACCAGAGGTGATCGACGACCGCATGTGGTTGGCACATCAGAGAGGATCCCCTTGTTTTGGCGCCCGTCAAAGGTCTTGGGTTGCGTGGCTATGGTTGGGCAGGCGGCCAAATGGCAATTCTGGGCGGCTGGCGAGGAAATCAGGATGCCCGCGGCCCCCTGGTTGGCTAGGGCGGAACCACAGCGGCGAAGGAACGCAACACCACGGCGTCGCGTCATCCCACCAAGCTGCCCTTGTCGACGGTAAATCGGCCGACGGGTTAGTCGATGCAGTGGCTGCATACGGCTCGCCCAGCCTGAGCACCGATCCATCGACGGCAAGGTCAAACATGTTTGTTCCTGGCGGCTGGAGAGCACGCCACTCAGGTCCAAGGCGAGCGCAGGGTGGCAGGGGAAGCTTTGTCGTGTCTGGGATCTGCGAGCGGGATGCTACCTCAAACATGGCGGGGCTTTACACAGTAACCCTGCGGGGCCAGCGCCTGGAGCCGCGATCCTGATTGGCCATGTGGTGCGGCTCGAGGCCGCACTTGGGGTCGCTTGTAGCGCTTAGCCTAGTGAGGAAGTGTGTAAAAGAGCCAAGGGTGGATGACTTCTAGAAGCAGAACAGACGGGAGGGACGAAGGATCACCAGGTTTCCCCTTGGGGTTAGCTGTAATCAGGTCGCTTCATCAGCAGACATGCACAGAACAGGACAGCCAGGAATCTGAGAACAAGACAGACCCAAGATCAACTTGCAGTAGGGCTAGCTGCCAGATACACCAACGCATTCCGTGGTAGCGTTTCAACGAATCCGCAACAAGTTACCTGTCTAGGTGGTAACCGACATATCGGCATCGGATTTGCGTACCGCTGTGCCACATTGCTTACCCTGCAGGGTGCAAGATGCTCGCCCGCTCATGTCATGGTGGACCTGCAGTAGACATCGAGGTGCACCGCTGCTCGCAGGACGCGTATAAAGAAAAGAAGAGGGAAGCAAGGTCACCGTCAAACGCATCGGGAAATGGGAGCCAATAATGTGTCGCTTGAATAGCAGCCGCTGTCTAGCCCCACTGCACGTTGTATATTACTGGCGCCATCACTCCCCGCGTCTAAAAGGTATCGGAAGTTATTGAACATTGTACGTGTGCGTGGGGCAAACGCATGGGGCGGCTGCCTCCAGCCTGAATATTCCCCCACCGTGGGGGCCAAAAATCCCGCTAGCGCTGGACAACGATGCAGCCATCAGTCTCTACGATAGAGGAGCATGTGGCAGGAACCCCAATAGTCGAGGAGGGAGGTAGGTAAAGCGATACTGGAGAGTAGACAACCAGAACTCGCGCTCTCTACTTCCAGAGCTTGCCGAGCGACACTGTTGACGGCGCGGGGGGTTGTCAGCAACGAATCCACATAATGAGTGACAGAGTACCGGGAAACCCAAGACAGCAACCGCAGCAGCCATGAAACTATCAACTCACCCTCCTTATCGTCATGCTTGTTGAGAATCTTGGCTGTGGCGAGCTCAAAGTCCTCCTGCGTGACGTGCACCCTCCGCTCGCGGAGCGCGTACATGCCGGCTTCGGTGCACACGCCCTTGAGCTCGGCACCAGAGCAGCCGTTCATCTTCTCGGCGATTTTTGTTAGGTTGATGCCCCTGGTGAGGTTCATCTTGCGGCTGTGGATACGCAGGATGTCGGCACGTGCCTCGACGCTCGGGGGTGGGAACTCGATCTTGCGGTCAATGCGGCCGGGCCGCAGCAGGGCCGGGTCCAAGATATCGAGACGGTTGGTGGCCATGATGATCTTGATGTTCTTGGTGGGCTCGAAACCGTCGAGCTGGTTGAGGAGCTCCAGCATGGTGCGCTGCACCTCGGAATCGCCCCCGCTGCTGCCCTCGACACGGCTAGATCCGATCGAGTCGATCTCGTCCATGAAGATGATGGAGGGCGCATGCTCGCGGGCCATGACGAAGAGTTCGCGCACCATGCGGCTGCCCTCACCAATGTATTTTTGTACCAGCTCGCTACCCGAGACACGGATGAACTTGCAGTCTGTGTGGTGGGCGACGGCACGGGCGAGCAGCGTCTTTCCGGTACCGGGAGGGCCGTACAGCAGCACACCCTTGGGTTGTGCGATACCCAAGGACTCGAACAACTCTGGGTGCTTGAGGCCAAGTTCGATCACCTCCTTGATCTCCTTGATCTGCTGGTCCAGACCACCGATCATGTCGTATGTGCTGTCGGGCACCTTCTCGACCATCATGAGGGACACGAGCGGGTCGACCGATGATGGCAGCATCTTTTCAAGCTTGTAGCTGTCGGACAGGAGCGTAACCCGCTTTCCAACCGTAAGCTTGGTGATGTCAACGCTGTCGGCGATGTCGACAACTGTAGTAGAGGGCGGCAGGCGAGGATTAGCATACCCGGTCCGGCCGACGGGGCCGTGGCGTTCGTCTACATACCATATTTGCCCTCGGGATGTACCTTGACCAGGACCTTTTTTGTACTCATAACCTTGACAACCTCGCCGACGTAGGACCCTGGCTGCTGGAGCAGGCCCAGCTCCTCGCGCAGCAGCCGTACCCTCGAGTTGTAGTCGTTCCTCTGTGCCTCGAGTCGCCGGAGAACCGCCTGGCCCTTAAGGATCTCCAGCTTCATCGCCTCGATCTTGTTGTGGTAGTAGTTGTCGAGCGCCATCTTGGGCAATTGTGGCCGCTCCTAGAGCAGGGAGGAGGGCGAGGTTTGTGACGGGGTTTCGCTGTCGCCGCCGGCCGGCTGCTAAAACTGTGGTGCTCGGGGCTATCTCGGTCGGCTTAGGATATGGTGCTCAGTCGCTCGATCGTCAGATGGCAGGTGGTGTTGCCGGGTTGGAAGTGTGTTGGTGTTCAGAGCTTGGCTGGAGCCGCAACGCATTCGTGGATGCTCCTCATGTTGCACAGCTCGAGCCTCAAGGCAAAAGCGGCCCACGCGTCGCAGCTCCGAAGTGGGCCCGACCGCATTAAAATCACGTGATGCGCTCCATGGATGTTGGGTAAGCAGGAGCCCGGCTTGGGCCCATTGGAAGTCTCCAATGGCTCGGAACGCATTCAACCCCATTCTTGACCCAACCGACACAACGCCGATGCGTCCCCACAGCAAACACAGTCCAGCAACAGAGCGAAAATCCTTAACACCTATGTAAATGGAAGATTCCCAACATGCCACTCACGACATCGGTCGACCCGTTTCTGGGAAATAAATCACAAACAAACCGGTCGACCAGGTAGTAGCTAGCTACTAGTAGCCAACCCTTTCCGGCATCCATATGCCGGCGGCGACAGGTCACGCGGCCACACTCGATCGATCTACACCATGCGCATGCCAGCAAGCCCCCACGACGTCAGCCGACGAGACCGGAATTGGAACGTCTGGTGAACCAGCCTGATTAGCGCTACCATCGCCCCTCGCCGACTGGTTCGGCATTGGCTAACGTGACAACATGCATCGGGATGCACCAGCCAAACCCCGCCGCCGGGCCTCGACGACGGCTGGATAGCGTCAAGTCTGCAGTGGCCCAGGGCGGCTGGACGAGGACGGTGTGGTAGTGGTGAGACTAAAATGGCGGACACGGGCAGTTCGTTTCTCTTTTGCCATAAACATAGCAAATGTCTGCATATATGACAGTCGGCGTTTCTAGTACATCTAAGCCGCCATTTGCGCCGCGCCGGATCGACCGGGGATCCCGCCACAGCATGGAGGAGCGGGGTTGTCTCCGATGCCGCTCAGGTGGTCGTCGAGTTATCCACTCTGTCGCTCTCAGCGCCCGAGATACCCGAGATGCAACGATGGTTGCACATTCTGTGTGGCATGTCGGTGCAATATGTTTGGTCGGGTAGCTCTCCCTACCTATCTATGTGTCCATTGACACTGGATCGTAAGCTTAGTCTGACAAGCAAGTGTTTGGCTAGGAAACCTCTGTTGCGCTCGTATGGTGGTGGCATGTGTTTCGTTTCCATGCCGTGCTGCGCACATCAATCGATACAATCAACCGAAGCCGTTGTGTCTCGAGTCTGTGTGTCTCACCTGGTTATCCACTGCTCATATTGGGGCTGCGTGCCGTCCCTCTTGGGCGCCGCCAATCTCCCGTGCGCGGTGTCGTCATCCACATTAATCAGAGCTCTCCCCACTCTGCCGGGGTGGGCCAAGCCCCGTGCACAAGCCGATAGGGTGCCCCCTGCCACCTGAGACTGGGATTAGGCATCGTCGGCTGTTTCTCAGCGGGGAGGATGGAGGATGTAGCTTGGCCCGCAGCTGTGCCGTCGCACTGAAGGTGTGAGCACTAGGGTACTAGGGCTGGTGGGGATTCGTCGCTACTCGGGCGCACGGCGCGGCGCGTCGTCGATGGAAGGGGCGAGTTTGGGTCGATAAGCACGGAGCACCACCTCCAGCCCACCTCAAAACTTTTTAGCTTTTTCCTGACTGCTGTGGCCGCCTCCAGAAACCACACCGTCAACATCGAGTCGGCTAAGCTGCCAGACCGTCTCTTTTCCTCCCGTCTTTGCCCTTTCTTCTCTATCTCGTCTTTTCTTTTGGCTTCGACAGGCGCAGAAACCTTGTCGATCACACAGAGGCATCCCTTTCCTGCTTTATTTTTTGGCTGCTACAGTGCACTACTCGTTCATTCCTTAGGGTCGTTTGTTTACTTGCTGTATTCCATTGTTTCTCGGCCTCCCTGGAGGCTAAACAGATTGCGCCTTAGGTGGTTTCCCAGCGCCAGCGCTGAGAGCTGGGGTATTACTCGCCCCAAACGCAGCCTGTGATTTGTTTGTTGCCTCGTTGGCCCGCTGTCATATTTCTTTTGCTTTTCCTGCCGTTCCGACGACGCACCGGGCTTGTCTCAAACCTTCCCGCCAGCGATAAGCCTTATACGGTCCAGGCCGAGTCGTCGGCTCTGCTGGCAAATCAAGCGCCACCAACTCTCAACCCGCGTACGACGACCCCGTCTCAAATTGCGAACGGGCTCTAGGCCCGTCGCGCCCGTCCCGCCAACATGACTTCGCCCTCGCGCTCGCGATCACGCCGCAACAGCAGCACCTCGGAGGTACAGTCTCCCACCGACACTCGGCCACCCGCCCGCTTCGATCCCGGCCCGTTAACACATGAACATGGGCTTGCCGAGAGCTTTCAGTCGACGGATACGATGCGGAGGAGGCCCGAAGGTTCATACGGTACGCCCAGACCCAAGCCGCTGTCCCACATGGCGTCACCTGGCCCCAACATCTGTGAAACTGCCCCCCGAGGTACCGCCTCTCCCAGCGTCGGGCAAGACATGCTGAGGCAAAATCGACGTGGCTGCGTGCTTCTGATCGGCTGTAATGGTTACTGCCGGCCGACGTAGCCACTCATTCATGGGACTGGGACTGGGTGACCTCCCCGACTTCGCCCCCCGATATCTGCTAACCTTGGCGCTTGCTCCGTTGGACAGGCACCATGCAATCGCCGACCCCCGCCGCGGGCTCGTCTCAGCCGCACGTCCCCGACCCGTATGCACCCGATCGCTCCCAAGGGGGGAGCCGGGCCAGCCAGTCGGTGACGCGTTCGCCCATGCTCGGCCCTGAGCGCGGCAAGGGACATCCTAGGAAACCGCCTATGAGTCGCCGCGCCAGTTCCAACGCACAAGCCCCGCACCGCGGTGAGATATTCTCCGTCGACGACGCCGCCGATGAAATCGAAGCCCGGCGCATCAGCACCTGCGCGCACCCAGCCGTCCGCCGCCGCACCGTGAACCCGCCCGTTCTCTCCCGAGTGCATTCGCGACAGGACGATGTGGAAGAGAGCCCCACTGCCGAGGAAGAGCAACCCCAGAAGATGCCCAACACCAGGCCCGGTAGCAGCAGGGGAGTCCACGTTGAGATTGCGGAGGAAGTTGAGGTGGCCGAGGAACGACACCAAGACGACGATGTCGACGAGCTCCATGAAAGCGGCGACGGTCCCACAGACGACGATCATGACGACGACGACGGTGACATCAGTGATGCCGAGAGCTTCACGCTCAAAGACCGCCAACAGGCCATCAACGAAACGCACCCTTTCGGAATCAGGTTGTGGAAGCCTGCGCTGTACAAGAAGGACCGGTCCGTCCAGAAGACGGCCGAGGGCGATATCCACTCGACGCCCGGAGGAAAGGTTGGCGGCTGGCTGTTCATATTCAACATTATATGGACGCTGTGCTTCGGCTGGTGGATGGCCGCCATCGCCTTTGTCGGCGCCGTCATCTGCTTCTTGTTTGCCGCCGCCCCGAGCGCGCGCCAGTACGGCCGCCTGCTCTGGGGCCTGGCTGGGTACCTCTTCTATCCGTTTGGCAAATTCATCCGCCTCGAGCAGCAGGAGGCCTACCTGGAAGAGGACCTGGGCGAGGGCCGCAGTATCAGCGAGTACGAGCAGTGGCAGAGCGGTGACCTCGAGTACGGCCGTCTCTTTTTCGGCCCTGAGCGCGGGCGCTCCATCATTGGACGCTCGCGGCGCAGCATCGGCTCGACACACAGCGAGACCGACAGCCTTCTTGGCCGATCCCGCCGCGACGCTGGCGATCGGTCCGACTCTGGCGAGGTGCCGCCCCTGAAGCGCCGCCTCTTTGGGCGCGGGCAGTGGAACGTTGGCCGCGTCATCTTCTTCCTCTTCTTCTACCTGCTCCTGACGCCCTCGCTGTTCGTCGTGTCTGGCATCTGCTGGTTTCTCGTCTTCTGGATCCCCATGGGAAAGGTGACCATGCTCCTGATAGACCACCTGCGGCGGCACCCGCTCGCGCTCAACTTTGGCTCCGACATCAGCTCGGCCCGCGCGCCCAACACGCCTCACTCGTCCATCATTGTGTGCACCTACCGTGCCGTCGGGCTCAAGTACTGGAAGTATACGGTCGATGGCACCAACATCTTCCTCATCAACCTCATGGCCGTCGTCTTCTTTGTTGTCTTTGACTGGCTCGTGCTTGATGGTGTTTTCAAGATGCACAACTTTTTGACTTCGCCCGCCTTTCTCTTCTTCGGCGGCCTGCTGTCTATCATTCCGCTCGCCTACTTTATCGGCCAGGCCGTCGCCTCCATCTCGGCGCAGTCGTCCATGGGTGTCGGTGCCGCCATCAACGCCTTCTTCTCCACCATAGTCGAGGTCTTCCTCTACTGCGTCGCCCTCAACCAGGGCAAGGGGCAGCTCGTCGAGGGTAGCATCGTCGGCAGCATATTTGCTGGTATCCTGTTCCTTCCGGGCCTATCCATGTGCTTCGGTGCCATCAAGCGCAAGACGCAGCGCTTCAACGCCCGCTCCGCCGGTGTGACGTCCACCATGCTGCTCTTTGCCGTCATTGGTGCCTTTGGCCCCACGCTCTTCTACCAGATCTACGGCACGCATGAGCTGAACTGCCTCGATTGTACCAGCTTTGAAGGGCCTCCCTCGGATGGAAACAGGAGCCCTGCGGCGCGAGACTGCCGCCGCTGCTTCTTTTCACAGACGCCTGCCCTCAACGACCGTTTCTACCTCGAGACGGTGCGGCCCTACTGCTACATCGCCGCCTCCCTGCTGTTCCTGTCATACGTCATTGGTCTCTGGTTCACTCTGCGGACGCACGCCGCCGTCATCTGGAATTCCGAGGTGGACGAGAAGAAGCACGAAGATCATGCCCTGGCTGGTGGCGCTTCTACGGCCGGCTTCCACGGCGGTTCGGTCTCGACGAGGCAGCCCTCGACAACCATGGGGGACAGCACCGGCACGGATATCCGTGATACCAACGTCTACAAGCGCATCTTGGGCCAATCCCTCCGGCAGGCGGGCCTGACGCAGCAAGAGAGCGTGTCGTCATCCGGGACCGTGGGCCGCGGAGGGAACGGGAGCGTTTCGACACCACATCTGGTGCCGCCCAAGGGCGGCAGTGGCGGGGGCACCATGCACATCCCAGGCTTTTCTGAGGCGGAGAATAACCAACTCGCGCACCAGGTGGCCGAAATTGCCGCGACGGCGGCGGCAGTAGCTGTGATCCCACGGCGCTCGTCGGCGCGCAACCTTCACGGAGGCAGCACCAAGACGACGCCGAACCCGACTCCCGGCCCGCGGCCCGTCGCGGCGTTCCCGGACCCCGAGGATCCTCTCTTCATCCAGGGTGGCCAGAGCACCACAGCCACTGCGCAGCATGGAGGGGCTGTGGCTGGCGGTGCCGCCGTTGACGCTGCCGGCGGCGGCCACGGCGGCCACGACGCACCCAACTGGAGTCGTCTCAAGTCGTCGGTCATCCTCATGGGTGCCACCGTGCTCTACGCCATCATTGCTGAGATCCTGGTCGATTCGGTCGACTTTGTTCTCGACGGCCTTGCTGTCGACGAGAAGTTTGTCGGCATCTCGCTTTTTGCGCTCGTGCCAAACACGACTGAATTCCTGGTAAGCATCCTTGATGAACCCCCTCGTCCCAGAATGGACCTCTCTCTAATGTTTTTGTCATTCAGAACGCTATCTCCTTCGCCATGAACGGCAATATCGCGTTGTCCATGGAGATCGGATCCGCGTACGCCCTCCAGGTCTGCCTGCTTCAGATTCCCGCCCTGGTGCTCTACTCGGCCTTTTACGCCCCTACGTCAGGTGTCGATGATCTGGCGCATTACACCTTCTCGCTCCTCTTCCCGCAATGGGACATGGTTACTGTGATTCTGTGCGTGTTCCTGCTTAGCTACATGTACGGCGAAGGAAAGAGCAACTACTTCAAGGGCAGCATCCTGTTGCTCAGCTACCTGGTCGTCATCGTTGGCTTCTTCTTGAGCGGCTACGCCTCGGACTTGAACGGCGCCGCCGGAGTCAGCTCCAGGTTCGACACAATGGGCGCCGACGGGTCCTATGTCAGTTACGGCGGAGACTCTTTCAAGACGGTTGGGCGAGGCAAGAGCGGGCCCGCGTTCTGAAGCAGCGGAGTTGGGCTGATGTAGGAGAACTCGTGTCTCCTGGGCCGCTTTCCTTTTCTGGAAAAACTCGGGCCCCCAATCGCCGGCGCCGGCCTGGCTCGGCGTGCTGCCTGGGTGGTGCCTCCCCTAGTTCTGTTCTGTAACACCACACTATCCCCACTGCATTCTTGGATCTCATTTTTAGCCCTTGTCCCCTTCTCTCTCACCATGGCCCACCGATCCAGCGTCGAGGCATTTCTATCCCTTTGTTTTTTTTTCCTTTGTCCGATTTTTTTATTTGTCTGCCTGGACATAGCGTCGGCGGTTCATGTTGTTATTGGGGGCCAGGCGATGCCCCCGCTTGAGATGTCGACCAAGACGCCGCCGCCGACGGAGCGATACGATGCAAACAGCGCGCCCACAGCCACCCCCTTGAGCTTTGGTCATGGCTCCCCATTGAGCTCTATCAGAGAGAAGGGCGAGGGGTGTTGGATGATACATCACATGGTTTTCCTTTATTGAATAATCATCGTCATTTACGCAAGCCAGGTTCCTGACCTATTGTTGGATCATTGAAGGATTCGAGGGACGAACTGGGACGAAAACGGGCAGGCGGGAAGGGCATGGAGTCCTCTCAGCTGACTCCCATCATGCCATGACGCCCTGGTCTGATTGCTTGGTTGAGCAGATTTGAACATGTCGAAAACGACACTGGTGTGTCAGTCTGGGAGGGGGGTCACGGGGAGATGGGGGAAAAATACGTTTCTCGTCACCGGCGACCGTGCCGCGCGCCGAGGGCTTGGATCCGATGCGGGCTCGGAGTTTGGGCTGACGTGCAGGCGGCCGGCGGGGTTTTTTTTTGTCACACCTTGTGTCGTGTTTCTTTTCTGCTGGGCCTTTGTACCCTTGGGAGAAAGGAGAGATATTTCTGCTTTATTTTTGTACCGCTGCGGTCTGTTTTCTTGCTTTTTGTCTCTTGTCTTTGGCTATTTTATTCTCTTTTTTGTTCGTATCTGTAATTGGCGACGCATGTGAGGTCGAGGCACACGACCTCCGGACATGATCCCATCACATCTCCTTGGTTGTTATTTTTGACCTGTCTATGCAAGAGTTGATGTCGACCGAGAGCCGTTTTGGGCCGAAGCACACCTCTCTGTGTCACCACCACCATGACAGCCACCACCACCAGGCAGGAAGCGGCAGTCGTCTAGCCGCGTGCAGACCCAGCCCTATTGAAGGATTCTCTGCAAAGGGCCAGGCTCGGCGCCGTTGGGCCGCACACCCACTTTGCTCGCTTCGCGATGGCTCAGGGCTCACTAGCGCGTGCCTGCCCAAGGTATAATGCGGCTGCATGGACCCCATAACACCACGCCAGGACGCGGCAGTCATCAGTCTCGTGGGCTGCTGCGGGCTATATGCGGGCTATATGCGGGCTGGGGTTTACGTGAGCACGAGCGTGCGTCGAGTTTTGGTTTTCCATGTCAAAAGCGCGCCCTGGAGGGCTGGAGCAAGAAAAAAAAAAAGACACATGTCACTTTTTTCGTCGGCGCGGTAAGAGGGCAAGGAAATGCGGGTGACACACGAGTTGGCGGGCGCCAGCACCCACGGGGCCGGTACCGGGTACCTCGAAAAGGCGGGAAAGGTTGGGAAAGAGCGGCCCTCCCATTCCATGCTGTCGGGTCTTGGTTGCATCATTCGCGCGGGCATGCCACATATCATGCCCTGCACTGCACCTTCCGTCGGTCAGCCGAATGCGCCCTAGGCTCTTGCCTCGAACGACCAACCAATTAAGCGATATTTTTCTTTTCTTTTGCGTTTGGGGGCAGGAGCCGTCTTCCTCGCTTGTTTGCTGTTCCAATTGTGTTTGCCCCCTTTCTCGGCGTGGATGGAATGCCGAAGGATGGAGGAGCCCACCCCCATTAAGAAACAATCAGGCACCCGCATTATCCAGCTTCCGGCTTCCAGCAGCCCTGTGAGGGTGCCAAACTGAACTGTTCCCTCCCAGACCTCCCAGACCTCCCATACGACGCTGGCAGGTCCCGTTCCCGTCCTTGCTTGATCGGTCGGGACGCACACAGACACATTCGCCCACGTGCCGCCTAGCCCATCCATCCCATGCGCACCATCCCATCATCTTCCCTGCCCGACGATCCCGCGCCGTCTTCTGAGCCCCTCCCCCCAAACGTCATACCGCTCCTAAGCGGGGAGATATCGTGTGGTTGCACCACGCCCTTCGCGCACCCCGTCGCCAACAGCCAATCGACAAAGACAGCAACACGCAGCGGCGTTAGGTAATGCCCCGGCGCTGGTCGCCAGGGTTTGACAAATGATCGCCCTGTACGTCAGGATGGAAGGGCCAGCCACTCTCGATCACTCTTTTCCCCATTGGCACTCTCCCCTTGGCACAACACAGGCGGCTGAGGTCAAGCAGGCCGGCCAACTACCCAGACAAGCTGGTCTGGTGGGTATTTTTATCCCCAAGAGCCAACGCCGGAAATCCAGTCCGAATCTGCACAAGAAACATGAGCAAGGCCGCGGATCACATAATCTCTGCTGCGGCAATCCTGCAACCCACTTTCTGCTGCCAACCGTTTGCCCTTGACGTACGAACCACGGGCTTGTCCAAGGCGCGTTACCCGAACCGGCTTCTAACGCCCCGTCTTAGCTACCTGCTTCGTCGACGTCGCTGCCACTAGGGCCCGCCCATCTCCAGACGAGTGCCTGGTGCTCTGGGCGGTCCGACTATTCGCACCGTCGGGCCCCTCGCCTGGCCGCTTATCCACGCCGCCTCGAGATTGAACCGTCCACAACCCTATCAACCTGCTGGCCCCTTTGTGGCAGTGGCGGTGGCAGGCAGGCAGACAGGCGTCCAGGACACGGGACATGGCTGCGCGAAGCAGCGACGCTCTCCCAGCCCCGCCGCGGCCTTCCCGCATCTGGCCCATACCATTAGCCCATACCATGCAGTCTAATCCTTTCTCCCAAGACCATGGAACCTGCTGCAGGTTCCAACTATACGGGAGACGCGTGACAAAAGCACCATCGCCCACGATTTCTCAAATCCTTCCTGTCCGGCCCCCAGATGGCTCGCTTAATCTTAATAGTTGACCGCCGGGGTATCGGTACAAGCCTCCTTCTTCACCGTCTACACCTTGCGCCCACATCTACACCTGCCGCAGTCATGCCGCCTTGGCCAAGCTGGCTTCGCCATGATGCGTCGTGTGCTTCATCTCCGGCTCAAGGCAGTCAGTAAGTAGTCTGACCTTGCCTTGATCTCGTACCCACATGTCCTTCGCGAACCCCCTCCCACTCTCCTCGCGCCACTTGCCAAAACAAGGAAAGGCGGGATGCCATTAGTGCCCTCATTAAGCTACCTGTCCATCTTCTTGCCCGATATGTCGGTGGCTGCCTTAGATACCTGCTCGCCGCCTCCTTTTGGTGGCCCAAGGTATCCACCCTTCCGTGCTTCTGCGTCTTCTTTGGTGTCTTCGTACCGCCTCTTGCGGCTTACATACTCTTACACCCTCCCCCGTTGTGCCGGCCATGGATGCGACATCATCACCTTTTCGGCGAGGCCCGCCTGGCACACCCTCTCCCACCCCGCCCGCGCCCGCGCCTCCGGGGGGAGAGTGTTAATCAGCATTGCCTCGTTTAATCAGCAATCTTCGTTCGCCTGCCGCCATCCAGAAGTAAGGCCGGCGCGTTTGTGCCCTGCGACGTTTGTCTGCCTGGTTTCTAGTTGGGTGCTCTTGCCGGTTCAAGGGGTAAGTAAGAAGGGGCGTGCCGGTTTTCCTGTTTAGGAAAAGCCTTGCCGAGGGCACCGGTCGAGCTACCTGGTGCCGTTGTTTATATAAGGCTGGGCCGCGAGGCTCTTTGTGACGGCAACAGACACATTTGATCATTGACAAAACAACTCCTCACTTATACGCTTGCCTGCCTGTCCGCCTCGCTAACAAGACATTCGTGCGCGTGTTCCTTTATTTATCAACGTCCCTATCTCACAGTCACTTACACTCACCCCTACATCCAATCCATCCTCCACACTCTGCTTTACTCCTCAGCTTTCTATTAAAACCAGCCCTCCTCGCCATATCACGCCTCAATTCTATCCCACAAGCCTCTCTGCTTCCAAAATGACCACCGCCAGCAAGACCATCTCCCCATCCTCCGGCGTCGCCTCGGACGTCAGACCTGAGCCCTTGACCGTACTGATCGTCGGTGGGAATCGCGGGATCGGCCTCGCTTTTGTGCGCCAGTACGTCGAGCTAGGCTACAATGTCTACGCCACATATCGCGCGTGCTCCGTTGCCGAGGCAAGCGAGGTATGTACTCCTGCGCTTAGACTGGGGATTCTCGCTTCGTCTCCTTTTTGTTCCCGGCTTTCTCTCTTGCATCTCCGAGCCTGGGCCCCCGAGGTTGCCACCTTGGCGTCTTGTCAGGCTCCGCAAGGCTATCGTACCACCCTCCTGCACGCCCGGCCTAGCTCGAGTGACTGTTGGCACGCCGATGGGTCATCAAACAGCGGATCCTGACCGGCCATTGTCTGACATGCCGCACGCAAAAAGCTTCTCGAACTGGAGGCCCAGAACAGCCTCAACCTCAAGACCCTGACGCTGGACCTTGCCGACGAGCAGTCCATTGAGCGGGCTGCTGATGCCTTCGACGCCAAGCAGCTCGACATCCTGATCAACTGTGGAGGTAAGTTGGGCCTTTTGGTGCATTTTCTTACTCTTCTCATGACGTTGCTCTGCAGCAAGTGGAGGACTTGTTTCCAAATCCTTTTCTTGTTACAAGCCCGCTACTTCAACCACATCTCACGCGCCCCCACAAAAAAAAGGACACTAGAGTGTCACGGTTGGCGGTTTGAGGGAGGACAAAGCAAGAATGCACGATGCTGACATCATCTCGGCATAAACCAAGCCGTGTGCGAGATCGAGCGCGTGGCCCTCAGCACGACGGCCGACGAGCTGATGAGTCGGTTCCGCATCAACTCGGTCGGGCCCTTCCTGACCACGCGCGCCTTCCTCTGTCACCTCAAGCGGAGCCGCCAGAGCCACGGCCTTGGCGGCCCGGACGACGTCTCGGCGCCGCTCGTGGTCAACATGACGAGCGAGATGGGCTCGCTGTCTGAGAACCGGCCCGAGAACCGACCCGGCACCTGCATGAGCTACCGCGCCTCCAAGGCGGCTCTCAACATGATCACCCTGACACTGGCGCGCGAGCTGGCCGACGACGGCATCGCCCTGGTGGTGCTCAGCCCCGGCCGCTGCGTCACCAAGATGGCAAAATGGAGGGGCCAGATGTACCCCGACGACAGCGTCGCCAGCATGATTCGCGTCATCTCGGGCCTGGGCTTCAAGGATAGCGCAAAGTATCTCAACTTTGACGGGAAGCCCATCACCTGGTGATCTGATGAAGCAGAATGGCAACGAGACAAAAATGGATCTGCGACGGGGTGTACGAGTCGAGTTAGTGGAGGGTTTTGCGAACGCATGCATATACGGACAACGGACATGGGACAGCATTTTCGGCATGCATTAGGCTTTTTTTCCCTTTTTTTCTTTCTTTTTTGTTGTTATTCCCCATCGAGTTTGTAACTTTCCTACATCCACCTGTTTACTCTTTAGAAACCGGACGACATACGTCTTTTCCAGCAAATAGGAAGCGGCTTTTCTTCTTCGTTTGTCTGCTTTGGCCTTGAGAAGGATGTACAACAGTACCAGCAGCAGGGGGGCATGGCTTGGGAGAGGGAGCGGGCGTTTAGGATTCCTAGACTTATTTTCTTGTCTCTCTTTTCCTTGATCTGTATCAACCAGTGACTATGCTAGTCCGCATTTGGATTCGTTGCTTCCTAGCTTTCGCCGTCTACAGTACCACCTCCCGGGTCCCTGGGTCAGGACGCGTAATGTCTCGAATGTGTTACCCGTTTTGACACAGTTTGGCCATGTTCGCGCGTCCCTCCCGAGAGTGCAGTGCCAATCAGCGCCATGGGGGTTTGATGGCAGCACTGATTGACTTGCAGGCATGTTCCGGTTGTTAAACCAGCCTTTGCCTGCCCAGCATCACAACATCACATCTATAACATAAGTATTACACTGCGAGGCGAGACAGATCACCAATGTCCAGGGTTGTGCGTCGAGACAGCGTTTAATATTATTATTCTGCGTGTGTTCATGCGGGCGTCGGAAAGGGGGAAGAAGGGGGATCTTGAAAGGGGATCTCGTAGAAATGTCATCATCAGAAAAAAAGGTGAAGAAACAGAAAAGAAGTGGCACCAATCACCGAAACCATCCCGGATCCGCGCCTACGAGATACGAGACGAGGTCAAGACATGCGCCGCGGCGAGACCATGATGTGGAAGATCGGGGTAGAAAGAGACGGAGAACAGAAGGTGGTGGGTCAGGATCATGGTAGTAAGCAGAGAAACACCAAGGCTGTGCTTTTCCCTTCCCCGCAAGCTCGCCAACGAGAAATGAATACGGCGTGTAAAAAGAAAGAGAAAACGAACGCCCAAGTCACAGCTAAGGAAATAAAACACTACAAAGACACAAAGACCAGCCACCCAAGATCGAAAATAAGCAGAAAATGAGTCCGCGGGGCAGAAGGCAACAGGACTCGCAGTTTGTGCCGCTCTCGCAGCTCAAACCACAAAAGCCCCCATTATTTCCGACCTCGCGACTTTGTACAGTAATCCAGTCAGTCAGAGCAACGCCCGGCTCCTCCGTTTGCTAAGCCAACATTTGAACTTGATCGATGTGATAGTCATGCAAGACACCGCGCCAAGGCCGAGTCCTTCAGAATAGCTCCCCAGTCCTCTCCCTCCATCAGTTATTATAACTCCGAATCCGCACAACTTTAGTACGGGGGACGGGGCTTGATCTGGTTGACCATGCGGGTGATCAGGGCAATCATCTGCGCGAGGTTCTTGAGCGACGAGTCATTGGCTGACGTGTTGCTGATGCGCATAAAGACCGTTTCGATCCTGGTCTTGATGAGCTCCAGGATCTTGGGCGTGATCTGGATGATATCCTCGTCCTGTTCGAGCGCGGTGCGATGGTTAGTATGGTGATGTAGGGAGCTCGTGGAGTGCAATGGGGGACGTACCAATTCCTGCTTCATGAGCAGCTGGTTAAAGACCAGGAGGACCATCTCGATCCACGCCAGCTTCTCCCGAAGAACGGACCCTTCCAGATCCTGCGAGACAGTAGCGCCAACAGACAGAAGGACCAAAGGCTGGAGGTTGTGGATGAAATCCGGGTTGTACTTGTTCAGCACACGCCTGAACACCTCCTGCTCGTGCGGGGTGGCCTGGAGCCAGCGCATCATGGCGTCGTCAAAGTTGTGACTAGCCATAAGCCCCTCGATCTGCGAGACAACCTGCTCAAGCTCGGCTTGCAGGCGTGCCTCCTGGTTGCTCGGCATGTACACCAGCTGCGACCCAACTCCAGAGCTGGGAGCCTGAGGCTGCGGCTGCGAGACATGACCATGCGAGTGCGAAGGGCTGGCGACCTGGTTCGAGTGGGATCTCGGGCTGTGGTACGATGGCGGGCCCATGCCAGACGCGACACTGCCGCCCTGGGAGCGCACATGGGCAGCTGCGGCGTTGGGCGACTGTTGGTGGTGCATCGAGTGCTGCGAGTACTGCGAGGGCGGCTGTTGGTGCTGCTGCTGATGGTGCACATGGCCACCGTATTGCTGCTGTGATGGGTGCTGATGCTGCATGTGCTGGGGGACAGCAGGGAGGGCAGCAGGCGCTGGCTGGTGATGGGCCTGCTGGTGGAGGCTGCTGTGCTGGGGCGGAGCCGGCGCCTGCATCTTGAGGAACTCGCTCTGGAACTGGTTCTGCGCAGCAGCCATCGACGACACGGTCTCGGTCAGGCGAGTAGTCAAGCTGACGAGCTCGTCGATCTTGGCAGCATCGGCGCGCTGGATCTGCTGGAGGCGGGCGATCTCCTCGCTGGCCTTGGCCACCTGGGCGCTAATGTTGGGGAAGTGAGGGACGACTCGCGAAGTCACTGAATGCTCAATGATCTCGGCAACATCGCGGCTGACGGTCCTAGCGACAGCGTCACCCAGTGCCTTGATGAGGTCCGGCTGCCGAAGCGCGTTGGAGACAGAGGAAGGCAGCGAATTTTGCACCTCGCCCTGGATGGATCTGCTGACTTGGCTGTAGACCTTGGTGGTGACCTGGTCCGAGATTGACTTGGCGATGTCGTCGCGCATGGCCGGGAGAAGCGTAGTCTTGAACTGCTTGAGGATAATATGGTCAAGAACCTCCTGGGTGTTGTCGTTGAGGACGCTTGAGACCATATCAAGAAGCACCTTGAACTTGTCCTCGAAGTCGGCCTCGCGTTTGTTGGAGGCCGTGTCGATCTTCTTGACGAAGATGTTGTGCGAGTTCTGGATATCGTGCGCGAGGTGTTCCCGGATGCGCTGCTCCATCGTCTTGATGCTGGCATCGAGCGACTCTTGGGTGATGACAGGCGGCGCGGGGATAGCCTTGAACTCGGTCTTGGCAGGGCCCACGCGAGGCGAGACGGCGTTGGCCACGTTAGAGTTGGCCGCAAGGCCTTGGTCCGCACCGGCGGCCGCGGCAGCAGCAGCGGCCCCCTTCTTCTTGCGGTTGCGCTGTTTCTCCGGCTTCTCGGCGGCGGGCGTGGGCTGGGCCTCGTCGTCCTTGGCCTCCTTGGCTTTGGCGGGCGTAGCGATATCTGCAGACTTGCGAGGCGACGCGGTGTTGTCGTCGGGCGAGGTCGACTGCTGCTGAGTCTCCTTGCCGTTAGGGCGAGGAACGATGGCCTTGAATCCGACAGGCTGGGTTTGCTGCGACTCCTCCAGACCGTGCGCAGGCGGCTGTGACCCTGCTGGCTGCTGCTCTTGGGGCACCAGCGGCGCCTTGAGCTTGTCAATCTTAACCAGACCACTCTCGACCGCGTTCTTGGGCGAGATAACCTTGTTGTCCCTCGTCCAACCAAGCTCGGCCTGCTTCACAACGACGCAAGTAACGCCCTTGGAATGCATTCCGTAGAGCTCAAACAGGGCTTGGTCGTCGCCCTCGCTGTTGGTCGGGTTCTGCAGGATGTCAAGGCTGCGCAGGATGCCACGGTTGCCAAACGAGTACTCGCGGATGCCACTGATAACGGCGGTAGACTCGGGCTGCGGGATCGACGAGTCCTGGGCCGTGAGCTTCTGGATGTACTCGACCTGGGAGATGTTCTTCATCGAGTACTTTGGTGCCGAGAGGTGGAGGAAGTAGACCGAGTTGCACGTTGGGTGGCCGACTACAACCATGCCCGTCGGAGGGTGGTACATGACACTGCACACGGCGTCCGACTCCTTGCCGTGCGGCAGATTGAACTCTTGGACGGGCTTGCCCAGGGCAAGGTCCCAGAGCTGCAGTGTGTGATTCTGCTTCATGCCGACGATCATGTAACGAAGGGCCCCGCGCTTCTGGTACGGCCTGAGCTTATCTAGGAGTAGCACAGAAGTGGGCCAGGCCTTTTCCCCTTCGGGAGTCGTCGTAAGGGTCATGAGAGGTTCCTTGACCTCGAGGCATGTGTGCGCGGGAAAGTCGCTGCCGTCCTTCGCCGCAGTGAGATCGCGAACGTCCCAGAACTTGACTCGGCCCGACTTATCGAGCGAGACAATCGTAGTGTCATCCTGGCTGAAGGTGAAGTCCTTGCCAGCCTTGCCCGTGTTGATCTTCAGAGAGCACTCCTTGGCGAGACGCTCCGTGTCGACGACGCGGTCATGGCCGGCCCTGAACAGACCGTTCTTGAGGATGAAGCCCGGCCAGACAATGTTGATCGACTTGCCCCGGCCTACGGCGAAGTATTCGGGGTGGTTGGTCGACGTCCGGGCTCGGGTCTTGAGCACACCACCGGGGGCGTCACCTTCGTGTGATGTGATGGGCGGGAGAGCGAAGCCGTACTGCTCCGGGTGCGCATCCTCCAGGTGATCCTTCTCGCCGTCCTTGACCTGCACCCAGTAGACGGTGCCGCTGATGCCGGTCCCGATGATTGCCTCCTTATGGATCACATCGGGCTGGTCGGTAGGGGTCGAGGAAATGGCAAGGTTGAAGATGCGATCCTTGGTGTCGGTGAAGAGCTTGGCGTCCTTACCGTCCATCTGCCGAATCACGCGCAGGCCGCCGGCCTTGGACATACCGTATGCCATGTAGCTCTCTGTGGCAGTGACCAAGTTGCGGTCAACTTGGTCAAAATCCTTCTTGAGCCGGGCAATGTCGAGAATAGCCTCCTCGCGAAACACGGGGCGCGTGTCCTTGTCTTCCTTGATGTCCTGAACCGTGATGGAAATCCATGGCTTCATGGGGAGGTTGTAGACGACGACGGGCGTCTCAGCCTCGTCCTCCTCGACCACAACGATCCCGTCGGCCTCGGCCTCGGCCTCGGCGCTCTCCCAGCTGTCCGCCACGGGCGCGTTGGCGGCTTCGTCCACAATCTCCTTGACGACCTGCGCGACCTCGGTCGGGAGGGTATCCTCAAGGATGGAGCTATTGGAGTCCTTCTCGAGCTCCTTCTTGATGGCCTGCGCAGCAGCATGGGCCGACTCCTCGAAATCGCGATCAGTCTTGGCCTTCAGCATTGCCTCGAGGTCTTGCTCGATCTTGGCCTGGGCCTTCTCGTGCTCAGCTCGGGCGTGGGCAGCCTGTGCGGCTTCGTCGTCGGAAGCCATGTCATCGCGTCTCTCGGGTCGCGGGGAAACGGTAACGACAAGCGGAGCAGGAGTCTCCATCTCGCGGTCGACAGCACTGTCATTCTCGGCCTGGTGGCGAGAGTGCTCGGGCGTGTCGCGCGGGGTTGGCTCCTGGCGCTGGCGCTTGCTCTCGGAGCCTGCGGGCGACGACACGGGCTTCTTCAGAATCTGAATAGGCAGGGTGGCGGTCCGACCAGGGCTCGGAACACCGCTAGCAGATCCAGGGGCGGCCTTTGGGGTCCGGTTCAGAGGAGACGACTGGGCAAGCTCTTCGAATGGGTTGTTGTAGCTGAACATGTTCGGCTTCTGTTGCGAGGGAGCATCGTGCACTGGAGGTGGCGCCTCGTACTTGGCTGGCTGGGGAGACTCGAACTCGAAGGGAGCGGTAGGAACCTCGGTCTCGGGACTGTGGGGAGTGTAGTCCCTAGTGCCCTCGCTCGAGTGGGCTGGGGTCGGCTCCGGCTGCGAGGTTGCAGATGTGTAGGTGGCCTCGCTCTGGCTGGGTTTCGGGCGGTTCAGCAGGTTCAGCAGATACTGCTGGGACTCGGCAGACTGGGCAGTCGAGTTCCAGGGCTGGGCCTGTTGTGGCGGCTGGGGAGGCTGCGCATGGACGTGGGGCTCCGGGTGAGGCTCGTCCTTGACGGTGCCCCTCATAAGGGCAGCAAGGAGGCCAGTCGGATCCGAGGGCGCAGGAGCCGGGGCGTGGATCAGGGAATCGCGAGCAGGCTCATCCCGGGCCGGGGGAGGCATGGTGGGGGCCGGATACTCGTCGTCCTGCTGGTCCTGTCCCGAGCCGCTGAATTTGAGCAGGCTGAGCAGGTTTCCCTGGCGCTCAGTGCTGTTCGCGTCGCCACTCTCCTCGCGCGGGTAGGATGAGGCGCCGTACGAGCGATGGGCCTGTCCGTTATTATTGTTGTTGTTATTGTTCCGTGCGTATAGTGGCATGCCCGGGGGGAACTGGGTGTTGGGAAAGGCGCCGGTCGGAGGCGACGGGGCGGCAGGCATGTGCGACTCCATGATGCCGGGCGCGTGCGCGGCGGGATTGTAAGGCGAGTCCGGGTACTGGGGCGAGCCGCGAGACTGCGGCTGCTGCGGTTGCGGCTGCTGCTGTTGGCCGCCATAGTAGGGTGCGGGATTGGCCTGGTGGTACGACGTGAACTGGGCGAGCAAGTCCTGGGTCGGGTTCTGGCCTGGTCGCTGCTGCGGCTGCTGAGCCTGAGGCTGCTGGAGCGGCGGCTGCTGCTGGCTGTGATACTGCTGGTGCTGGGCCTGCTGGTGTTGGTGTTGGTGCTGCTGCTGAGGAGCTTCCTGGTTGGAGGTCCTCCGCAGCTGCGCCAGCAGCGACTCCAGGCCACCACCGCCGTTTGCCTCCATCTTGGCAGGTGACTCGGCGAGAGCAAGGCGCACAACGCTGGTATTTCACAGCGCCGTGGGCCTGGGGCAGAGAGGAACCTGGCTGCTCGGGCGAGCACTGGAATGAATGGACTGCGATGGCGCCGATGAGCGATCAGCTATTCCGGCCCCAGAGGGTTTGGTGCGGAACGAAATTGGGCGATCGCTCAGGCAGCGGGCGGTGGGAAAAAGGTTCAAATGCAGGTGCGGAAGGAATGGGGCAGAACGAAATCAATGATTAATACAGTCGGCGAAGCGAGAACGCTGGCTAATCAACGACGCGTCACTGGGACTGGAGCCTCTGTCTTTCGTCCAGACGAGCTGCAGGAAGAGAAGCCAAGTCGAATCCACCTCTCGTGGGAGAAGAGAGCAGGAAGGGCAGAGGTTGGGAAGGCACGAATGAAGCTCCGACTTTGTGGTCGAGCGCCAGCCCGTTTGTTTGCACCAAAATTTCTTTCGGTCGTCCCAGCGGTTGGGTGGACATGCAGGCACTCGTGGAGCAAATCGAATGGCTGGGCCGCAAGCTGGTGGGGCGGCCAGGGTGGGGGGGCCCATGCAGTGCTGTCCAATCCGTTGAGCTAGGTTTTCCTACAGTGCTCGCTTACTTGATGCTGCTTGTATTACATACGGTACGCAATTGCACGGTTTGCCTGTACTGGAACGGTGTGGCAGGATCTCGGTTCTTTTGCGCACGGTGCGCCTCGATCACAGCGGCCCTGCGTGCCCAAGGCTCCGAGGCTGTGCCCGATCGGATTGCAGCAAAGCCGGGGGACTCCACTTCACAGCGATTCGACTTAGCTAATCACAGCGACGGGGCTCGCGGCAGACTCGACTCGGCATGGATGCTGAAATCCCAGCCATTGTCGAGATGGCCGTCACTCTGAGTCGGGCCTAGGTCGAGCTAGAAACCCGGGAGAAGCCGACCATTTTTGTCTGGCTTCTTGTCTGGCTGTGCCCAGCAACATCGTTAACGTGGGCAACCAGCGACTCACAAACAGTCCTACCAGGCCACCAAGAGCCCTAGCGGGCGCTGTCCTGTATAGGCACAAGACCCCTCGTCCCTGGCGCGAGACCCGGCAGCACCTGAGGAGGCGCCCATCGCTCCAAGCCCCTTTTACCTCGATCCGCGACTCTATCCGGACGTCCACATAGCAGGTGCGCGGCCCCGTTGTCGCTGCTTGCGATCAAGAAGCCTACAGCTGCTCCTCGCTCCCGCCATCGCACCGCGCTGTCGCTTCTCGCAGTCGACGGCCTCCTGCTCGCCCTCCCACCGCCTTGGCCCTGCGGCTGGCGCCTGCACCCGTCGCCACCATGTTTTGCCTTCGCAGGTGCGCAACTCGCAAAAGCAAAGAAGCAGGCACTCTGCCCTGCGGCCCCGTCCACGAACCAGTGGGCGGCGGGGCGTCCTCTTGTTTATGGCCCGCACAGAAAGCGCTGACTTGTCCGTCCATCCACAGCTGGCTCCCGCTGCTCTTCATCCCTACAAACGCCTCGCCGGCCTTCATCTTTCTGTTTTTCGTCTGCACATACTTCCTCAACAGGCCATGCGGGTATTGCTCGTTCCTGTTGCTGATCCTGTTCATGACGTCGTGCAACTGGAGCGACCGCTGCTTCTTCGACTTCTCCACCAACTGGTTCCAGTCGCGCCCCTCATCGGCCCTCGTCGCGCCGCCGCCCGAAGCCGCTAACGCCTCGTCCGCCCTCTCCGCCTGCCGCGACGACCTGTGTGCCGCCGGCGCCGTGGCCGCCGAGCTGCTCAACACCACGGCCGCATCGCTGGCCGCCGCCGCCGCCGACCACGCCGCAAAGGCCCGCGCAGAATGGACCGGCCTGGGCATGGAGTGGCTGAGGAGCCTGTTAGGGAGGAGGGAGTGGCGCATAGACTGCCTCGACGTCAACATACGGCTATAACGGGGGCGGTGGAGTCGGTGCCTTTTGTCTCTTTTCCTTAATTTTCCTAGGCTCTCAAGCATCATTGTCTATCCCACGTTCCAACAGCGGATGCATTTTCTGGACAGGCGCGAGCCAAGGGGACCTTCTGTTCCCTTTGGCTCTTGGTTTGTATGATTGACTCGGGAAGCATTATAGCATGAGCAGGCTCGGTTCCAAGCGCCTTTACTCACTTATATAATAGGACAGCAGACTTTTGGTAGCACCTCGCAAGCCATTCCGTGACACTCCTTGTGCGGCTGCACCTTCCTCATGCGTCTACGTGGCCCCTGCCTGGGGGCATTCGATGTCAAGCATGCCACGCATGACCGGGCTCTCGATAGCCCTGCTGGGAAGATGGTCGAGAACCATCCCGTCCCATCCCGTGCCCCTCTGTTTTGAGCCTAGATTTCGAGACCACGACCTAGTTTGAACGGCATTGGTCTTTTGTTTCTTGTGGCGCCTTTAGTCCCACGTTTCGCGAGCTAGGGGCCACATCAATGGTAGAAGCGGGTTTGGTAACAAAAAATGCAGTTGTCGCCACCGCTCTAGGCTTTCACCTCTCCGAGCCCCTTGTTCTTTTCGCCGTCTTCTTTTTATATGTCCCTTCTTGCTATGTCTCCCTCTCTCATTTTCACTCTCATCTCTCCCTCGCCCTGTCATCCTCTCCCATGTAGGTATTTCCCAGCACAGTCGTGACCAACTATTGAACAAACAAGCCGAGTAGCAATCCGCAATGGTGGCCAACAGTTTCAGATCTCTCTTCCTTTTTGCCCTCCTCCTAGCATGTATGGCCAAAGCCCAAGTCACCCGGGCCAACAACACCAACCCAACGAATCAGGCATGCCCGGGCAGCATCCCCAGCATCCCCGGCCTCAGAATTGACGGCAAGGACTGCAGGGTTCTCTGCCGTCCAGCCGAGTGGACCGACGTCCTTCTTTTCTTCGCGACCAACCACTTCGCCCATGCGGCCACGACCATCAGCAGGCCTGGACAGAGCACCGCGAGCACCATTGCGATGATCCTGCAAGCGCTGACGATTCCCTCCTTGGGTGTGCATTTGGCCTTGATGACCATACTCCGAGGCATATCCAAGCCCCGGTGGGGCGGAATAAGGAGCAGCAGCCTGCAGAAAGCGGCGGGCGCTGGCGCGCTCTTTGCAGTTGTCAAGGCCGGCGCTGGCCAGTCCCAGAAAGCGGGGATGCCAGACGGGGAAGCATCGAAGGATGTGGAGATGGGGGTGCTGCTGCCCGAGCCACCCGCAGGGCACGTCGGGGGCCGGGGCGGCCCGCTCCGTGCAAAAGAAGGTGAGTCTTGGCAACAAGTCTCGGGCTCGTTCGATTCGCTCCTCTACAATACCGTAGATTCTGATTACACCAGCCAAAACAACAAGTTTTCCTCCAAGATCCACGGCATTTGCGAGCTGCCTGAAGGATACGACTTGGTAATGGTGCAGCCAGACGCCGAGTTCGAAAAGGGCGATGAGGAAACCATCGCTCTCAGCTGCCACTTCAACGTCACAAAGGCCCTCGTCTCGATACTGCAGCTTATATTCAGCGTCACTACCCTCTACCAGGCGCAGGGTAGCCAGCTTGAACGGTTCGGATATGCGGCGTATGGGCTCAGTGTGGCGCCCTACGCCTGGATGACGTTGCTCAACCTGCTCGCAAGCCTTGCGTGCCCTGAGTACGATCGCACCTACATCGTCGGTTCCCAGGGACTCGATGACCTGGAGCGGCGTCTGGAAGCCGCAGGATCAGAGGCCAAGAAGCGTTTCCAGGTGACGGGAGTCATATCGCGCCTCGGGCCGTCCGCCGACGAGCGCCTGCAAGTTTTTCATAAGGGTAAATCTGCCTTACTTCCTGCCCTTAAAAATGGTTGCCGGTCACGAACGGAAAAAGCGGTTGGAAAATGCCTGTTGGCTGCGATTTGGGCGGCACTGTAAGCTAATGCCGAAGGTGCGCAACTATAGAGATGTGCGAGCATCGCGGACCTTTCCTTGGGTCGATTTCGGAGCTCCGTCTGTTCGGGTGGACGATCCTCGTGGGTGCTGCTGTGCCACTCATCGCGATAATTGGCATCTCGCGGGCTCAGCCTGGACAAAGCAATATGGCGGAGCGCGCTCTGGTCATGCTTTGGCTCGTATATGGCACGTTTTCATTTATATGCACTGTAGACCCCGTTGGTGAGTTGGAAGGGAGGCCGATATTAGGACAGCGCAGGGGCAAAATACTTCTTTCCAAGACCGTAGTGTCCGGGGTTTTGGTTTTCACCCTCACTGCGGCCAGCTTTCCGATCTTAGCCGCAATGATTCTGGACTTTGGGGCTTGCAGGAGGATGTGATGGCGACACCTGCCAAAATAAGGCGAGACGTGGGACCCGGATGAAGCTACCTAGTAACGAAATGAGTACCGACCGTCTGTGCCCATGGCTGTGTTTTGGTGAAGATGACTAGACAGGGATGGCGTCGATTCGGGGCCCTCGGGCCCCGGAACGCACACGCACGCCTGACGACAGTTGAACCGCGCGGCCGCCCGTGGATCCCAGGCCCGGAAGGCCCAGCGGAGCCGCCTCCGCTGCCCCCATCCCAATGGAACGAGACGGTTGAGGGATTGCACTAGGTGTGACGGGTACACAGTAAATCAGTGCCAAGCCCACCGCGCGCCCGGCAGAGTAAGAGTGCTGGATCTATCAAATCAGCGGCCTTTGTGCCCACAACGCGTGCCAAGTCGGGGGCTTTGTTGCGCCCGGCGCGGCAAAGGGCGAATTCCGGGCCATTCTGCCGCGGCAGTCTTGATCGAGCGACGCCCCGTCGGTGCAAGCATTGACCCGTCTCCTGGGTCATTCTTGCCAACGGCCTGGGGGCACCCTAGAACCGAGATTTGCGTCTTCGTCCCACCACAGTGGATTGCCTTCGCCATCCTATATAATCCCTACAAGAAAACGATTCATCGTTTGTTGTCACTGGTAATGTTGGCAGGCTCGTGAGACGTCGCATTCCAAAAGCACCATGGACACGACAAGTCCTGAAAAGGCGCCGCCATCTCCACCAAACGAGGAGCAGGCAAACACACAACAGGAAGAGAAAAAGACGGGGAGCCATGCGGGCGGGTTCAAGAGCTTCACGGTGAGTTGCGGGGCAAAAAGGGGAATAACAAAAGTGAGATGAAACCAAAGAGGCTGACATCACGCAGCGCATCTTCACCTATGCCCGTCCCGTCGACTATGCCATCCTGTCGGTGGCTCTCGTCGCCGCCCTGGCCGCGGGCGCGGCGGTGGCGCTGCTGAACCTGGTGCTGGGCCAGTTCGTCACCATCCTCAACAGCTACGTGGTCGGCGCCTCGACGCCCGAGCGGTTCCGCGCCGACGCGGCCGCCATGTGCCTGCGCTTCGTCTACCTGGGCGTCGGCCGCCTCGCCTGCACGTACCTGTACGCGGCGCTGTCGACCTACAGCGGCCACCACGTAGTGCGCAACCTGCGCGCCGCCTACCTGCGCGCCGCGCTGTCGCAGGAGGTGGCCTTCTTCGACCGCGGCGCCGCGGGTTCGGTGTCCATGCAGGCCACCTCCAACGGCAAGCTGATCCAGTCGGGCATCGGCGAGAAGCTGGGCACGTTCGCTGCCGCCATGGGCACGTTCGTGGCCGCGTTTGCGATCGCGTTTGCGTCGCAGTGGAAGCTGACGTTCATCGTGCTGTGCATCGCGCCGTCGATGCTGCTTGTCATCGGCTTCGTCGCCGCCGTCGACAGCGGGGTCGAGACCGAGATATTGGGCGTCCAGGCCCGCGCCGCCGCGTTTGCCGAGACCATACTCGGCAGCGCCCGCAACGTGCACGCCTTTGGCCTGCGCGCCCGGCTAATGCGCCGCTTCGACGTCTACCTCGACGAGGTCGTGGGGCTCGGTAGGAAGAAGAATTGGCTGTACGGCGTCATGTTTAGCGGCGAGTACACCATCATCTACCTCGGCATCGGCCTTAGTTTCTGGCAGGGGCTGAAGATGATCACCGAGGGTGAGGTCAGCGATGTCGGTGTTGTTTTTACGTGAGTGCTTTTCTACTACCCTTGCTGTCTTGCTCACTCTTTTATCGTCTCAACTTGAGCTGACAACCGTATGCGGATTATCAGCGTCCTCCTCTGTGTCATCAATGCCGCTCTCTCCTTCACCACCGTTGCGCCCTCCAGCGTCGCCTTCAGCAGGGCGTCCTCAGCGGCCGCGGAGCTCTTCACGCTTATCGACCGAGTCTCTGAGATCAACCCGTTTGACGACTCGGGCGAGAAGCCGACCGACACCGTGGGGGCCCTGCAAATCGAGGGCATCTCGTTCGCGTACCCGACCCGACCTGGCGTCCACGTTCTCAAGGACTTTACGCTCGACATCCCAGCCGGAAAAGTGACCGCCCTGGTTGTAAGTCGCCTGCCCATGCCTGTCCCGTGATCCAACCCCCTGATGCTGACGCCGCCCTTGGCGTACAGGGACCCAGCGGCTCCGGCAAGAGCACGATAATCGGCCTGATCGAGCGGTGGTACAATCCCGAGTCCGGCACCATCAAGCTCGACGGCCGCCCCATCGACACGCTCAACCTCAACTGGCTGCGCACCAACGCCCGCCTCGTGCAGCAGGAGCCCGTGCTTTTCAACGGCACCGTTTTCGACAACATCGCCAGCGGCCTCGTCGGCACCCCGCTCGAACGCGCGTCCCCCGCCGAGCAGCGCGCCGCGGTCGAGTCGGCGGCGCGCACGGCCTTTGCGCACGACTTCGTCTCGCAGCTGCCCGACGGCTACGACACGCGCATCGGCGAGCGCGGCGGCCTGCTGTCGGGCGGGCAGAAGCAGCGCGTGGCTATCGCGCGCAGCATCGTGTCGGACCCTAAGATCCTGCTGCTGGACGAGGCCACGAGCGCGCTGGACCCGCACGCCGAGGCCATCGTGCAGCGGGCCCTCGACGCCGCGAGCCGGGAGCGTACCACCGTCGTCATCGCCCACCGCCTGGCCACCATCCGGGCCGCCGACAACATTGTGGTGATGGCGGGCGGGCGCATCGTCGAGCAGGGCACGCACGAGGAGCTGGTGGCGCGCGGCGAGGACGAGGGAACGTACGCGCGCATGGTGCGAGCGCAGACGCTCGTCAAGGACGCCGCTGACGAGGGCCGGGACGGAGACGACGCGACGACGAGCACCAGCGACGGCAAGGCCGAGGCCGGGCCGGCCGAGGAGGGCGGTGCTGCTGCTGCTGCTGCTGCGGCGGCGGACGGGGAGGAGCCGGCGCCGACGCAGTCCATCGTCCGCTACGCCACGGCGGAGCGCCAGCACATGGAGTCGCTCAAGGGCCGCGAGGACTTTGGGCTGTACAAGAAGGCGGGCGTGGTGAGGACCATCTGGAGGCTGATGATGGCCACCAAGCAGCTCAAGTGGTGGTATGTGTTTCTCGCCGTGGACTGCCTCCTTGCTAGTAAGTGTTCCCTGGGTTTGCTTCCTCGTTCCTTTGGTCCATGGGTTATCCCAACGGAAGCTGACGTCCGAGAACCAAACAGCCAGCGTCATCCCGGCCCAGATCGCCCTGCTGGCGCAGACGCTGGACGTGTTTAACACGACCGACCCCGCCGCGGCGCAAAAGAACGGCAACTTCCTGGCCTCCATGTTCATCGTACTGTCGGCGGGCGCCTTCATCGCCTACTTCATCATGGGGTGGACGACCAACACCATCGCGCAGGAGATCAACCGGCAGATGCGCCGTGACATGCTCGACCTGTTTCTGCGCCAGGACCTGCGCTTCTTCGACCGCGAGGAGAACACGGTCGGCGCCCTCACGTCGCGCCTCGACTCGGAGCCGCAGGCCGCGCTGGAGCTGATGGGCTTCAACATCGCCATCGTTATCATTGCCTTTTTGACCGTCATCGCCTCCAGCATTTTCGGAATCGCGTTTTCGTGGAAGCTCGGGCTCGTCGCCTTCTTCGCGGGCATCCCGCCGCTCATGGCGGCCGGCTACGTGCGCATCCGGCTCGAGTCGCGCATGGACGTCAAGGCCGACAAGCGCTACTCCAAGAGCGCCTCCATCGCGTCCGAGGCCATCCTGGCCATCCGGACCGTGTCGTCGCTGGCTATCGAGCGCGTCGTGCTCGATAAGTACACGCGCGAGCTGGATGATGCTATTGTGGGCCTGACGCCGTCGCTGTTTGGCATGTTCACCTTTTACGCCTTCACGCAGGCCGTCGAGTACTTCATCCTGGCGCTCGGGTTCTGGTACGGGTCGCGGCTCATGTCGTTCGGCGAGGTGACCTTTTACGAGTTCTTCGTCTCCTTTTACGGCGTCTTCTTCGCCGGCCAGCAGGCGGGCATCATGTTCACCTACTCGAGCAGCTTCACCAAGGGCCTGCACGCCGTCAACTACTACTTTTGGCTGCGCGGGCTCGAGCCCACCATCCGCGAGACCGACGACAACAGGGACAAGGGGCCGCGCGACCAGGTCTCGAGCATGGACCTGCAGGGCGTCCGGTTCTCGTACCCGCTGCGGCCCGACGCGCAGGTGCTGCGCGGCGTGTCGCTCGAGGTGCTCCCCGGCAAGTTCGTGGCGCTGGTCGGGGCGTCCGGGTGCGGCAAGTCGACCGTCATGGCGCTGCTGGAGCGCTTCTACGACCCGATGCGCGGCAGCATCCGCATCGACGGCGCCGACGACCTGCGGCGGCTAAACCCGCGCCTGTACCGGCGGCACGTATCGCTGGTGCAGCAGGAGCCGACGCTGTACCCGGGCTCGATCCGGGAGAACGTGGCGTTTGGCGTCGACGTGGCCGACGAGGAGGTGGAGGGCGCGGGCGCGGCATCGGAGAAGCAGCACGCGTCGGACGAGGCCATCGAGGCGGCGCTCCGGGCGGCCAACGCGTGGGACTTTGTCTGCTCGCTGCCCGAGGGGCTGGGCACGGCGTGCGGCACCAGCGGGAGCCAGCTGTCGGGCGGCCAGCGGCAGCGCATCGCCATCGCGCGGGCGCTGATCCGGCAGCCGCGCGTGCTGCTGCTCGACGAGGCGACCAGCGCGCTCGACACCGAGTCGGAGCGCGTGGTGCAGGGCGCGCTGGCGGCGGCGGCGCGGACGGGCGGGCGCATCACGGTCGCCGTGGCGCACCGGCTGTCGACGGTGCGCGACGCCGACCTGATATGTGTCTTTTACGCCGGGCGCATCGAGGAGGCCGGCACGCACGATGAACTGTTGGCCAAGGGGGGCATGTATGCCAAAATGTGCGAGGGGCAGAGCCTGGACCGCAAGGTTTGAAGAGCATGGTTGGTTGGGCTGTTAAATATGAGTACATGTAGGAAATTTTGTAATGTGTAGAGCTTCCTCCTTGATAGACTTGCTGCAAGGCTCTTGGGGGAATATCTTGGTGGGGCAACCCACGCGGATGGTCTTTTCAATCTCCCCATGAAATTCATGCCAGTGAACCCCAGAAAATCCAAACCCGACGAACGCCCCCCAAATTCAAATCATCCTTACGCCGCCCAAATAAAAACAGTCCGTCTGACACACACCCCCCTCTCCCTCACGCTCCCTCCTCAGCCTTCTTCAGGCCCGACAGCGAGCCCGTAACCCCCACCTTCTTCATCACCTGCCGCACCGTCTCGCGCGAGGCCTGCTTGTCGACGCCCGCGGCGCCTGGCAGCTGCTCCCAGTTGAGGCGGCGGCCGTCGCGCTGGTACTCCTCGACGGTGCGCGCCATCTTGCCGATGTCTTCGTCAGTGAAGATGCGCTTGCGGCCGCGGCGGTCCGGGTAGTTGGGGTGGTCGGCCATGGACGGCAGCGTGCGGTTCTCGGCCAGGATGCGCCAGCCCGACCCCTTGCTGACCCCGGCCCAGCGGAAGATCTCGCCGTGGTTGCACGTCATCTTGTGGTCGCTGAGGAACTCGACGACAGCCAGGATCCGCAGCCTCTGCTCCCGGCTGATGGTGGGGCGCTTTTTCTTGGTGGCTTCCTCCATTGTGCCTGTCGTCGGTTGGAGTTCTCTTTTTTTTGTCCGTAGCAGTGAGATTGAGTGAGGAAACATTGAAGAGTGCCGTTTATTTTTTTGCGACACACGGATGTTAAGCATGCCTGGTCGCGCTTGGCGTAAGGCCTTGCATCGGGTGGGGCGCTGATCGGCTCCTCATTGGCCACGCCGCCCTGGTGGTGTTTCCCTCAATTTCCAAGCGTCTAATGCCCGCCTATCCCTGCCAGAAATGGGCCGCAGCTGCAATCCTGCGATGCGGCGCAGTGCCGGTCAGCCAGTGATCGGCCTTCGAGATGTTGACGAAACGGCCTGGCTTGCTTCGGTGCTGTGAGGCGCAATCTCTGGCGGCAAAAACACACTGGGTGCTGCCCCTGGGTGCTGCCCCTGGGCCCCCAGAGCTGTCGCAGTGAGCCGCTCTGCAGAGGAGGGGGCGGTCGGATTTCACTAAGCCGCTTCCTTCCAGGTTCCTGGGTTTGCTAGATTTGCTTGTTCTGCTGACGGCCTGCCCACTCTTCTCTCAAGCGTTAGTATGCTTGGGACACCCATTGCTTATTTCCTGACTTCTGATCTTGATTAAAACTTCCCATCCCATTCTCTTTTTGTCACGCCCCGCTCGTCACCGACATTTCGGATAACCATCTTGGCCAGGCGCCAGATATCGGGGAAGTGTACCGCGAGGATACAGAGACACCAAGCACCCTCACAGTCAGCAGCTGCCCGCCATGGCCACCTCGATCGACCCCAACGCGTGGTACGCCATCTCGGAGACGCGCGTGGACAACGGCACCAAGCCGCTGGACAACACGCTGCAGACCATCGCCGGCGGCGGCATGCGCGTCTGGAGCGGCCAGAACATGTGGCAGTTCCAGCCCGTCGACGGCGAGAAGGACCGCTACCTGCTGCGGAGCTCCAGCACGGGCGTGCAGCAGCAGCTGGCCGCCTGCTACAACACGGACGAGATCCACCCCATGCGTACCCGCGCCTGCATGACGCGCACTACCTCCGACGACAGCCAGAAGTGGTCCATCACGCGGTGGAGCAGGTCCGACGGCATCAACTCTTGGAAGATCCAGAACGTTGGCAACGGCACCGGCTACGCCCTCGACGTCCACCCCGGCGATGCCGTTTTTCTCAACTCGGACATAGAAGGCGAGACCATCAACGGCCAAAAGGTTGGCGCCCGCGTCGCTCAACACTGGGTCTTTTCCAGCCGCAAAGCCGTCGACGACGGTGCCTTTTCCACCATCTACTCTAATGTGCGTGCCTGTGACCGCTCTCGGTGTCTTGAACCCGACCGTCTGTCTTTCGGTCCTTGCTAAAAATGAAGCCCGTCATCTTCAGACACCAGTTCCCGCTGCCACAGAAACGCGGTCCTCATCCTCATCCTCATCGGGCACGACACGGTCGACATCCACAAGCACCAGCGGGAGTCCCAACAACGCCCCCGCTTCCCCAACAGACCCCGCCAGCAGGTCCGGCTCATCCACGCAGCAGGAATCCACCGGGCTCTCGAGCGGCGCAGCGGCCGGCATCGGCGTCGGTGCCACCATCGGCGCGCTCGCCCTCATCGGCATACTCGCCTTTTTCTTCTGGAGGCGGCGCAAGGCGGCGCGGCGCGGGGACATTGGCACGGAAAGCTACTACAAGCCGGGCAGCAGCGCCGGCGGGACCTTGCAGCAGCAGCAGCAGCAGCAGCAGCCGTACCTCGAACAGGGGCAGTACCAGCAGGCCGAACTCTACGCCAAGAGCGGTAGCCCATTCACGCCGCCGTACGGACAGCAACAGCCTTCGCCGCAGAGCAGCGCCGGCGCCACCGCTTTCGAGGCCCCGACGCCGTACACGACGCACATGCACGAGGCGCCCGCGCACATGAGGGAAATGCACGAGATGCAGGGTTCCATGGTCGCCCGCGAGCTGGGTGTCGATTCCAGGCCTAGCAGGGTCGAGACGGCTGGGAACGAAAAGTTTGCAAGGGGCAGGGGGACCTGAAGGGGAGTGGAGTATACGTGCATCGGCTTCCAAGTATAAATTATGGCTGTATCGATATTCGCGGCTGCCTTCAAATAATACGACGGGTGCGTGTCCCGCTCAAGTCTTGTCAAACCACCATGGACACATCCGCGCCGCTCACACAGAGCACCATCTTGACCAGGATCCCGTCCGGGCGCCCGTCACCGGCCTTGTAGTTCGGCGTGTTGAAGGCCGGATTGGACCGGTTGAAGCCGACGCCGACTATGCTCCCGCACGCGCGCTTCCACACAAGCCGCGATCCGAGCAGGATGGCGAGCGCGGCGTAAGCCGGCGGCGGCCGGGAGGAAGATGGGTTTGATAGAGCACACTTTAGAGGAAGTCTCGAGGGAGAGAGGGAGCGGGAGGCAAGACCGCCGCGGCGCGGTCCCAATACGCCAGCACTCTGCGGAACATGTCCCCTTTTCAAGGCCATACATCTGCAGGACTGGCCAGCCGCATCTTGTGCTGCATGGAACGTCACCAGTCCTCGCTTGGCGTGTCCATAGGATAGAGTATCAACGATTTCCCTTTCCACACCCATCCCGTTGGGGTTGTGCCCGGGAAGGTCAGGTCGATCCACTCCTTCAACCAGTGCTCCGACCAGTTGTTATTATCGACCTCGACGACAAGCCGGCGCAGAAAGTCCTGGTTGATTCTGTGGAGGTTCTTTAGATTGTCGAAAGCTCTGCGTCCCATGTGGCTCAGGCGAATCCTGCGCATGTTTGGGCAGGCGTCGGGCGAGAGGAGAAGCTCATAGTTGACGACGTACGTTTCCTCGACCTCGAACACATAGTGTTCAACTCCTCTCCCGTTCCAGATGTTGCCGACGTCAAGCTCGACCTCCTCGAGGAGCGAAAGGTTGGTGAGCTTGTCGATCGAGGTCGCTTCCGTCACGTACACCCCCGTTCCGGCTCCAAGGGAGCGCAGCTGCAGCGAAGTCGTCGGTGCTGATCCTCCGGGCGAGAGGCTGTAGGCATCACAGAGGCGGTCAAGGAAGCCCCACATCTCCCAGCTTCCGTTCCCACCACAGCGAACAATCGCCTGCCTGGCTACGGACAGGCCGAGCTTGCGGAGATCTGGGCAGTTCCGGAGAATCTGAACCAGGTGGCGCTCCCACAGATGCATGTTACCGTAGATGTGTTCGAGGACAAGGGACTCCAGGCCAGCGAGGGTGGACAGATCCTGGGCGTAGAATAGGCGGCTATATTCGAGAGATTTTTTGCTGCAATACTTGTCGATTCCAGGTTTCCAGCCTTGTTCGTTGACGTCCCAATCACACTCAGCCAGCTCGAAGTAATCCCCTTCAATCTCTTCCGGATACGTGATGTGGACAGACTTGAGATTCTGGCACGACTTGAGAGCTTGGGGGGCATCATGCGGTAGGGGTTGGCCCGCCCATCTTCGTGACGGCGGGATCAGCATCCGTAGTTCCGACATGCATCTACGTCCGCAATAGCACCAGGCGTGGGCATACTCACTCAAAAGTTTCCAATGCCGGCATTTTCCTGATCAACTCGGGGGCCGAGGCCACATCGTCGAGGTTGAAATCGCCGGAATTGTCAGGTAACCTGAGCGAGAAGCTCTTGGTGTGGGCGAGATGCGAGCATGTCCGCGGCCCAGACATCCTGCCAGTGGTCCGGATGTCGCACGCGCGGTACAGAAACGGGCTGAAAATGGCGTTGAACCGCCGGTTGACGCGGCAGAGCTGGGCGAAGAGGGCCGTGTCGCGGTCCAACTGGTGACCTCGTCAACAGCGGGGGTTCGAGAGGGTGACATTGCATGAAATGCCTGTCTATCTTACATTTTCAGCCACGAGGAGAAGCAGTTCGCTGATGCTAGCGAAGGCCGAGGCGGCAGCGGGGGACGACATGGTCGGGCGTTCCTTTGGGAACGGGGACGGAATGGCAATCAGAGGATTCGTGGAGAGAAAGTACGTGTGTGTGATGGGAGTTTGGAGGTGATGCGAGAAAGCGGGTTGTTGGTAGCTGTCTGCCTTGATCAATCAATGTTTTCACTGCTGCCTGGCAAATGGCCCAGGCGATGTCGCTGCCTAACGTGGATTTTTACATGCAACCGTCGTCGTGATTGCAGATGGGCAAGCCGGGCAGGTAGGCGACGTCGGGATCAGTGGCATGCTGTTCTAGGTCGAGGGCGCCACGGCGGGCGCGGTGCTGGTGGAGCGGGGCATGCGCGCCAGCCGACCTGAGAGCACCGGCTCTAGGGTGGGGCCCAACTGCGAGGCGCCGACAACGACAAGCAAGAAGACAGCCAGGACGAGGAAGACGACGAGCTCGGCTTTTGCCTGCTGGACGACAACGTCGTGCTTGGTTTCCACGAGGTCGCCTGACTAGACTGCGTGGAGGCTGCCGCCGGTGTGGTTGAACAGGAAGGCTGTGTTGACGCATAAACGAGAAGTCAAGCGGTACAGAACGAGCGATTTATGTAATTATGTAATTATGTAAAAAAAAACCTAAAAAACCCCCCCGTCTTGTTCAGTCCGTTGTGCTCTTGTCCAAGCTGAAGGCCTTCACGTCAGTTCGGGTGACGTCAGCGAGGCTATCCCGTTGCAAAATGTGCAGATTGCTAGACCTAGTAGCGGCGAGAACCGAGTCCTTCAGCTATTCCCCCTACATTACGTCAGCCCGCAGTAGCCCAGCTGGACAGATGCTGGCGACTGAGCTTGGAAGAACACTGCACTTTATCTGCATATACCCGCCTAGAACGGGCCTTTTCGGGCCTAAAAGCTGCTAGGTTAGCTGGTCCTCGGGGTATTATAGTGGCTGATCCATATAGGCATCCATTCATCAGCAGAAGCGGTGTCAGGTACAAGGGCTGGACCAAACCGTGCCGGCACGAGTCGCTGCTCTGGTCGACATGACATCGCTGGCGGGTCTACAAGGAACCTCCAAATGGCTCAAGGTGCCATCCCAGCCGGGTCCGAAAAAACAACTGTCCAGCCGTGGTCAAAAATAGGGCGAGAGACCAAAAAAACTTCATGTGACCGTACAGCCCCGAGCGTAACATTAGCGGTATCCATGTCCAATTGCGACGCGCCCAGTCGCGACGATCCCGGCGCCACGATCACAATGGCGCGCTGATCGACAGTCAGGCCTCGCAGAAGCGTGGAGCTACGGCATGCAGCTGGCGATGTAGTCCAACCTACCCCTGCGCCCGTAGCTTCGGCGGTGACTCGGGTGTGTATAAGATGCACAAGATCCCTCCCTGGGTGCAACATCATGGAGGCCTGGCTCCCCACCTCACAGTCACCGCGCCGGATCCTGTCTCACGCTCGACCTTCGTCGGCATCGCAACGGCTTCAAGGAGCGGACCATCGCCCACTTTTACCATGCCGTTATCACACATGTTGTTCAACCTCTTCTCGGTGGCCCTGCTGGGCGGCGTCTCGCTGCCCGGCGCCCACGCGGCAGGCTCCATCCCCAGCCGCCGCATCACCGAGTACCAGCTCCCCGTGGCGACCGAGACGCACGAGTTCGCCCGTGTGCCCGGCACCGACCTCCTCGTGCTGTCGCAAATGTCAAACAGCCACCTCGTCAAGATCCAGCTGGACCCCAAGACGGAGCAGCCGCTCGACCTCCGCTCGTTCCCCATGGGCAAGGACGACAAGTCGGGCCTGCACGGCATGTGGCCGTCGGAGAAGCGGCCGGGCCTGGTCTGGATGTCGCTGCAGTGGGAGAACAAGCTGCTGCTCGTCGACGCCGGCCGCAAGAGCCTGGAGGAGAAGCCGACTGTGGTCACGACCATCGACATACCCCAGCCAGGCAACGGCCCGCACTGCGTCTTTGAGATCAAGGGCCGCGTCTGGGCCGGGCTCAAGGTGGCGTCCAAGCAGGACGGCGGCTACTACGTCTTCTCGTCCGATTTGGACGGCGGCAACCCCAAGCTGTACCCGTCGCTCAACAGCCCCGTCTTCATCAAGGAGGACCCGTCCACGGGCCTCATCTACGTCACCCAGGACGCCGCGTCCTCCATCATGCGCATCAACGTCACGAGCGGCGAGACGGCGCAGCTGCCCATCCCGCCCGCCGTCGGCAACAACCCCGTCGGCATGACCACCATCGAGTCCGGCCCCCTGCGCGGCGTCTGGTTCAGCCTGGCCGGCAACGCGACCGGCGGCACCGCCACCTTTGGCCGCGTCGTGTCCGAGACGGGCGCGCTGCAGTTCTTCAGCCTCAAGAAGCCCGCCGAGATCGGCCGCAAGGCCGGCCTGCTGCACGTCGCCGACGCTACGACCAAGGAGGCCGGGCCGGGCCTGTGGCTGCTGTCCACGTCGCTGCTGAGCAACAGCTCGGGCGACGCCCTGATCCGCGTGGCGCTCGACGACGCGGTCTCGGCCATCAAGGGCGAGGAGTACAACGCGCTGCCGACGCAGAACGCGATGTCGCACCGCATCGTCGTGCTGAACTCGACCGTGCTGGTGTCGGAGCTCCACACCTTTACGCTCGCCCAGCTCTCGTACGAGAACACAGTCGCGGGGAAGTGGCTGCCGGACCGGGGCACTGCGAGTAGCAGCTCCTACGGCAAGCCAGGGAAAAGGCAGGCATCTGGGAAATGGAGGGACCTGTGAAATAATTTAGTGTGTTGTTACCTAAGTTTGATGTCTCAATACGAAACCGTTTATAAGGATGTATGCATATAAGGAAAATGTGACAAAATCGTCGGCCAATACTGCTTCCTCACGGCGCAGGTTATGAAATTAGGCAGAACTCAAGGGGATAGGCTACGAGGTGCATGCCCGTTGGGCTTCCCTCCAAGACCAGCCGCAGCCTGACCATTTCTTTTGCAGACTGCCCCGCCTCCTCTCCATATTCGACCTGATTCCCCCCCATGGTTCCCCAACTGGGAGAACCGCTCCAGCAAGCACAATGTCCGGGTTGGAGCCGATCGCGGCCCTTGGGCTGGCATGCAACATCTTGCAGGTGATCGAGATCGGGATCAAGACCGTTCAGCTGGCGAGGCAACTGTACAAAGACGGCGAACTTGATCCGACGCTGGGGGACAACGGCAAATTTCTAGTAACCCTCTCGGACCAGATCCTTTCGACTAGCGTCACCAACGCCACAGGGGAGGGAGGAAGGAAGAATTACGACCCTCAAGACCAGCGAATCGTTGATCTCGCCATAAAGATTCACCGTGCAGCGCGCGACCTCGTGGAAGAGGTCAACTTCCTGAGAGGGCGCCCGACGAAGAGCCAGGTGTTCGCGACCATGCAAACTGTGGCGAAGACGTTCTGGAGGAGGAAGCGATTGGAGAAACTCGAAAAGAACTTGAGGGAAGCCGAGCAGCAGTTGCAGGCGGGACTTCTGACCGAGATCTAGTATGCTTCCCCCGTGTACCCAATCAGTCTGGGATCGTGGGATGCTGGGTGTGCTAACTTTGAGCAGTGAGAGGTCGCGAAGAACAGACACCGGCGTATCGTCCGTTGGCGGTGACCTGCGCGCCTTTGTCGACGAATATCGCAACGGGCGACGCGATGCCGCGCTCTATGTATCTGCCGAAGCCGACAAAACCAGACAGCACGTCGTCAGGGAGATCGCGAAGGGCGAGAAGGCCACCAAGACCCACGTCACACAAAGCACCGATGAGGTCGGGGCCTCCATCAAAACCCACATGGATTTGGCGTTCTGCGGCGTGGCTCGACGAGAGGACGCTGCCGCACTGGAGGCGAAGAGGGAGCGGCTACTACAAAGCCTGACCTTCCCTCGAATGAACGAGAGGCGCTCCCTCGTCGCATCCTCGCACCCAGGAACCTTTCGTTGGGTTCTGCAGGACGGAAGCGACAACGATGAAGCAAGACGAGACGGGGAGACAGTGCAGGACGGAAGCGACACCGATGAAGCAAGCCAAGACGGCGACACCGATGAAGCAAGCCAAGACGGCGAGACAGAAGGGAGTGGCAGCAAGATCACTTGGGACAGTTTTGTGGACTGGCTCAGGTCAACAGAAACGACCTACTGGGTCAGCGGCAAGCCTGGCGCAGGGAAGACCACGCTGATGAAGTATCTCATGGCCCAACCCGAGACACAACAGCACCTCAGATCGTGGAACACTGAAGCAGCTGTGGTCATATCGCACTTCTTCTGGAGGCCTGGAAATGACATGCAACAAAGCGTCCGAGGCCTTCAGTGCTCCCTGCTGCACCAGCTTTTTTCCGAAAGCCCCCTGTCTACGGACTGGGTTCTCCAAGGCCATGAGTCTATACGCAGAAAGAGCGCCGATACCGACTGGTCAGGCGAGGAGCTGACAAGTACCCTGTACAACGTCATGAGCCAATATCCTTCGCCTGTCGTTATCTTCCTTGACGGTCTCGATGAGGTGCTTCCTAAGGACGGCACACTTCAGCTCCTCCATTTCATCGAGGAGCTCAGGGAGCGATATGGAAAAGTTGGCAAGCTCAAGCTTTGTTTAGGGTCCCGTCGAGAGCCTCTTCTCTTGCGGAGGCTGGCTGCTTACCCGCAGTTGCGCCTCGAGCACCTTACGCTGGAGGATCTTCGGCAGTACGGCCATGATAAGATGGTTATTCCACATGACTATCAGATCATCATCACCCCTAACTTGCCATTCCATCCCCAATCGAATCACAATTCCCTTAGGGAGTGGCTTGTGGCCGAGCTCGTGGAAAAGGCTGAGGGTGTCTTCCTTTGGCTGTGTCTCACCATCACGACACTCACAGATGCCCTCCACCGTGGTGAGACCTTGGAGGACTTGTGGCACCGAATAACCAGTCTGCCAGGGGATCTCCTGGAACTGTACAAAGACATGTGGGCCCGCACCGACATCGAAACCCCGCATCGCCGAAGAATCGCAGCCTCGTACCTGAGGCTGGCCCTTGCAGGTCCTTATGTTTGGCTTGAACCACTCAACATATTTCATTACATGGTAGCAACGAACGGGGACGCGCACAAACGTCTCCTCGAGCTCGACATCCCAACAAACGCCCCCGCGAACTTTCTAATCCAGGCATGCAAGGCAACGCGGCGGGAACTGGAAAGCACTTGTGCCGGGTTTCTCCAGTGCCCACCACCTGAGAAACAAGTCGGACCCACGGATGACGATCGCAACTTCATCTTGCTACCGTGGCATGGCAAAGAGTATGATGGGCTCGTTCCGTACATCAATCAATCCAAGGTGTTTTTCCTGCATCGAACAGCACAAGACTTTCTCCTCGACACAGCCGAAGGGCGACAAATCCTGAACAACGACAATGACTCACTTTCGGGATGGGATGAAAATCTACGTCTTGCTCAGGCTCGACTCGCTGAGTGTAGATTGTTCAAAAGCCCGTCTGCATTCCTGCCTCCCGGGTGCAGGACGGGTCCCATAGGCAATATGCCCTATAGTATCGAGGACATCATCTGTAGCGCTTTTTCCTCGAATGGCCTCAGCGCCAAGCGTCTGGCGGGCGATCAAACCCAACTCCTCCTACAATGCGAGCGGGCTTTCAACGATGGTTATATCACCACCCCCCACACACTCCCAGACGATAACATCCACATGCGGCGGTATCCGGGGCTGCTATTCCTGGTGGGCTTTGAGGAAGTTGTGCGGCGTCAAAATGAGTACTGGATCCTGCTCGGCGAATGTGATTGGCTAGATTTTGTGGCCATCTGGGACATGATCCTCAAGATCGTCCAAGACCGGAACCTTGACGTTCGAACACAATCGGAACTTCTTATTTCGCTTTGTACCTTGAAAAGGCTCCGGCGCGATTCCCGTGTCGACCTTGATGCTCGACTCTCTGCGATGCGAAAGCTTCTGCATATGGGAGCCTCTGCAACATGGAGTGGGTCTTGTCCGGGGAAAGGCGAAATGGACCGCGAGGAGATTATCGTGGTACAAACGCCCATTAAAGCCTTGGTGTCATCGATATGGGCCGATTTTTGTGGTTTCTCCACCACCCAGAATGATGCGCGACTTTTCCTGGAGTTTGTTCAACTTTTGGTTGCCAAGGGAGCCGACCTAAAAGAGGAAGTGCATATTGCTATCCAGTTCGATATCGTGTCCTCCGGGCGCTGTGTCCTCGCGCCCTTAGCAGTTTTCGCCAGCGAATATGAACTCCAACTCCATAGTGTCGGCCAGGTATCAGGACGAACCGTCACTACTTTGGTGCTGGCATGTCCGGCATCGACCTTGATCGCCATTATGGTGCAGATCTGGGAGAAAGCGAATATCCCCCAGCTGGATGAGCTCCTTCAACCAGGGGGAGTGATGGAAAGAGGGTTTGGCACCAGCCGGCCAGTCGCAGTGGCGAGGATACGGCCGGGTGAGCGTTCCTCGTGGAGCTCAGAAGCTTACAACTTGCTGCGGAGTCCACATGTTTACCCCCTTCCGTTCGATGGCTCTTTGGACGGGACTCCTTTGTGGCTGGCACGTTTTGCTGAGCAAAGCATGAAGGATGGCGGCATGTGGACCAAGAACCGCACCGGGGGCGAGTATGGGGAATTGATGGTAGCCGAAGTCTCCATCCCACCGGATCTGGAGCTGGCACTGGATCTTCTTGTCAAAAGGCTCGTACTGGAAAAGGGGCCATTGTTGGATAGAAAGCGGGAGCTCCGGAGGAGGCTGGGTATCTGCACACCGTGTGAGGAATGGGGGGGAAGATGGGCAGATGAAGAGCGGGAAGAGGATGAAGAGGATGAAGAGGATGAAGAGGATGAAGAGGATGAAGAGGATGAAGAGGATGAAGAGGATGAAGAGGATGAAGAGGATGAAGAGGATGAAGAAGATGAAGAGGATGAAGGGTATGAGGGGTATGAAGAGGTGTGAAAAAGAGGAGGCTTAGTTAGAAGCGGTTACGGGAAGGGGAAGATGGATTGTGAGCTGTGTACAGCACAGCAGTTAGGCGACGAGCGCAAAGGGGGAAGAAAAGAAGCTTCGGCACTTGAACTACCATCCATCGCTGCTGTCGGAGCGGCTTGTCGGGTCCGGCAGCCGGCCCCTTGCAATAAAATCTCCCGCAATCATATTCAGCGGTGCCGCAGTTTTACTTGTCCTGGCTGGGAAGTTTTACTGTGCTGCTTCCTGTGACTGGTTAACGCCTGAGCCGATGCCAATGATATCATCACCATATACACACACGCCGTGCTCGTAGATAGAGGTAGCTTGCCCACTGGAGAGCCGGCTCAATTGGGACGTGCGCCTCTCCTGACATTCGTTGGGGGAGATGAAGCGGCATGGGAGGATACCAGGCCATGCAAGGTTGCCTCGAGACCCGTTTCAAGGTCCTCCATCCCAGTAATTGAACCATTTTCTCCGAAAGAAATCCTGACCAGATTTACATGCAGTCAGGGGCATTCAATCTGGGCGTTGAATTGGGCACCCTCGTGTGGCTGCTCCGAGTCGTTCTGATGCCCGTGGCCCATGATCTGTATGGGCTTGGGAAAAAGAAGCGGCATTGACTGGCCCCTACGATATGGCTGCGCCTGTGGAGAGAAACGATTCCAAGCGTAAATCGAGGGTTCTAGGGTAGGCTGGTTTGCATCCAGAGTTGGACCTCGTCCGACTGTCTCGATGACTAGGAGGCATAGCATATTGAAGTAGCCCAGCGTGCTTTGCACCATTCGCAGCAATCATTTGGCGCCCGTTAAAGCCTCTCCTTCAACAAATAACATTCCTACAACCGGACCTACCCCTGTTCCTCGCTATAAAGCTGGCTTCTTGGCCCGTTTCCTGATCGCCTCTCAAAGCAGACCTCGCTTGCTCATACCCAGGACACAATCACCACCCACAAGTCGGGCAACGCAAGATGTGGCCCAGACACACTCTCCTGGTCCTTGCCACGGTCCTTGTGGTTTCCGCAGCGGCAGAAGATCTGCTAGAGAGAGACCAAAGAACAGAGCCCGACACATCCTCACTCCCATACTCTAGTTTATCGGCCTCTGCTGCCCGTACAACAATCACACACACGGTTACCGTGTGCCCCTCCGAGACGCACACGACTAAGTCTACTCCCATGACGCCCCCCGACGGAAACAACGGCTACTCTCGCCCGCCAACCCGGTCTCCAGACCCAATCGCCGACGCCAAAACGACGTGGTACACTAGAGGCGGCGGCCCTCCGTTCAGTACCGGAACAGGCGGTCCGAAGCCGACGCCGCCGATGAACGGAACGGGCGGTGGAGTGACCCCTAGGCCATCTAGGACACCCCCCGTCACCGCTGGCGCAGGGCGAGAGACGGTCGCTTGCATGCTAGCCCTGGGCGCACCGGGCCTGGCTGTATTGCTTGGTTGAGCCTCGCACCGTCTGCTGATGCTCGTCATGCACTAGCATAATTTCTTGTCGGCGACATTCAATGGAAAGGAAGAGGTGGAGGAACAGGAAGCAGCCACCTCGAAAGAGAACATCAATCCGGACGAGGAATGGGAATACAAATATTATTTTAGCCTCATTGCTTGACTGTGCTAGCTTGAATATGATAAGTCAGTGCACCCCATGTCGGCCCACCCCCCATGATCGCCCACCTTGTAGGCCCACAGCATGGAATCTTTTAGAGTACTCCCGCCCTTTTATTTCTATCAATTCTAATCCGTTTTCCTTACTTTTTTCTGCATTTTAATGCCTAAATGCTGGAGAAGAGATATACAGAAGAAGACGTCGAGCGAGCCCTCACTGCGTTGCAGGGAAAGGGCGGAATCCGACGGGCTGCTCGGCTCTATGGGATACCGGTGTCAACCTTACGCGGGCGTTTACAAGGCCGCTTACTTATCCGGCAGGCAAAAAAGGAGTATCAGCGTGTAGCTTTTAAGCAGGAAAAGCGCTTGGCTAATTGGATTTTATTATAGGACTTTTTAGGCCTCCCACCAACGCATGCGGAAATCCGGTTTTTTGCCAACGATATTATACGCACCGAAGGAATTTCCCCACCGCTTGGGAAGCATTGGTTACAGCGTTTTTTAAGCCGGTATCCAAAAATTAAAGCCGGGAGGGCCCGGCGGATAAAAAACGCACGCGTTTAAAGGGCTATTACTGCAACTATAACAAAGTGGTGGCAGCGCTTGCAAATACCGGAAATGGCCCAAATCAAGCCGGAAAATACGTATAACGCCAACGAAAGTGGCTTGCAAAAGGGAAGAACCGGTAACGGGATCGTTTTAAGCCTCGCTGGGGCCCGGGCCTTGCAACGTAAGGACCTTGGGTTACGCACTTAACCCTTTTTTATCGAATGCATTTCGGCTACGGGGGTATTATTGCTTTTTTTTATTATTTTTAAAGGAAAAAGCGTGCAAAAGCAATGGTTTTTTGCAAATTTAGCTCCTTTCCAAAAGTAAAAATTTATTGTTACAAATAACGGTTGGACCAACGATTGCACGGGCTTAAAATGGCTGCAAAAGGTTTTTATCCCTTGCACCAAGCTTTTTTTTCCTGCTTTTCGCCTTTTAATTTTGGATGGGTACGGGTTGCACGTTACTACAAAGTTTATGCTTTTGTGCTTCCAAAATAACATTTTTTTACTTTATTTATTTGCCCATTCGTCTTACGTATTGCAGCCTTTCGACCTTGCCGTGTTTAGCCCCTTTAAATAAACATACCGAAAGGAAATCGGGTTTAAACCCTTATTTACTTGCTTAACAATAATAAAAAAGCGCCAATTTTTAACCGCTTATTACTACGCACGATCCGTAGCCTTAACCCTTTATATAATTTTATCGGGGTGGCGGGCTTCCGGTTTGTAACCTCGCAATATAGCCAAACCCTTTATAAGCCGCTTTATTTTTAATGGTGGCCCAAATAGCCAGCAAACCCAAATTTAACAATTTGCAAAAAATAATAAAGCCAAAAAACGTTTAACGATTTTATCCCGAACGTTTTAAATGCCATAAAAAACCCCCAAGCAATCGAAAAAGTTGGCCACCCAAATTAGCATTATTAAAGCCCGCCTTCCCGTAAGCTTTACAATATAATTATTTTTTAAAAAGCTTTAAAAAGGCTACAACGGGCATAAATACGATTTAACTAAGGCCCGGCAAAAAATCAAGCAATTGGAAGGCCAATTGGAGGCATTACAGCCTCGCAAAAGGAAAAGGGTGGCCGCGAATCCCAACGAGGCCTTTGTGGATATACACCGGGTTGCAGCGAAAAGGGGTAAGGTTCTGGAAAAGGGAGATAATGCATTTAAAAGCCCGGACGAATTTAATCAGGAATCAGTTTCGTCTTGCATCGAGGTTGCTTAAATAAAGGTAGAAATTTGCAATTAAATGCAGTTGGGTTGGTGTTAATCGAAACGTACAAAGTGGGCGATCATGGGGGGTGGGCCGACATGGGGTGCACTGACTTACCCTGATGCTATTAAATGCTGCAGTGGCTAGGAGACATTCCCTGATGACGGAATACCGGCGCCATGCGGTTGGAGGATTGGGATGCGCAGCTAAGGACGGACGTATTTGACATTGAGTTGGATTCTCCCACATCACACAGCCGCTGATGATGTTTGCGTAGTAAATTTTCCAGAGCGAATTCACTGGCAGGCATGCGGGAAGCAGACCATTCTTTACTCGCCCAACCCAACGGCAGCAGCACTCAGCTAGGTCACAACGAACAAGGCCACGTGGAAGCCCAGAAACGCCTCGCGGAGAGTGGCTTGGGCCGGAAGAATGGCGAAATCCGCACTTGGAGACACAGTGGCTGTTGTGGTGGGTACTTAGATGTGTTGTTTATCGGCCTTGTCCCGGTCTTCTAGCATGACGGTCTGTAACTTGGATAGAGCGTCAGGATCGTGAAAGCTGGCACAGCCCCCGGCAGGCAGACGCCGAGAGGGAGATAGGCGGCGATGGCGACCCGACTGAGAACGTTTCGTGGCTGTTCGGGGAGCGGTTACATATTGTGGCTGGCCGACCAGTGAACTCGATAATAGATACACATGGAGCTTGGCTGGGGGTGGGATTGGGGATCTTCTACAGTAGAGGAGACACGGCACGGCGGCGCAGACGGTGTAAGTAATAGCCGCGACAAAATATAGCGACAGGCGGTGCTGCGTTTTTTGTAGAGGGGTCGAGAGCTGACTATCAATGTGTCGGCGCATTGACGGAAGGTTACGAAAGAGGGGGACGAGTGTCGGATGCAGACGCTCCTCGCGAAAACCCCTTATGAGATCATCTTTGACGAGACTCGTGGCTTTGAGCCATATGCGCTGGAAGTGACCAGGCAGGCGTGGGCAGATCTAGGCGAGAAGGCACCAGCGTCAGCTGAGGGACTGGCTATGCATATTGCCCTACATGTTTGGTAGCATGTCCAGCCAGAGAGACAAGAGACAGCAGGACGGTTTCCCAAAAAGAAGCGGTTGTAGTGCAGCCACCGAAGGTTTGCCAAGATTGCATCGTGGGCCTCGCTATACCAGGCGCCACCAAGTCGGCAAATACCGACTGGTTCTGGTCGTGCAGGGTGGTTGAGCGAGTTTGCGCCACAGACAATAACGGGAGCAAACTTGCTCAACCTTTCCAGATGCAGCACGAAGGCGGGGTGCACATACAGCATGCAGGGTCCCGACTGTAACCCTCGAGAGGAAGCTTCAGCCGTCAAACTGGATCCGATGGCCAGCACTTGGGCCAGACCACCGTCGGCGCTTACTGGCTTGAGACGAGTCGCGCACAAGTCGTGGACACGGAAAAGGCTTGGCGAAATGACGGACGGACATGGTGCGGGCAATATCACCGTGGCCAGAATTGCTGGCTGGCCTGGCAGTCTAGAAAAGGAGGGCGTTCGGCGAGCTCCAGCGATGGCGAGGTATATAGTAGACGTTGCTAGATTCTGGCTGGGGAACTGTAAATACTGCCCATATTTTCTACTACTTGCACACCATCAATGGACGGTGTATTTTCCGTCTCCATCCTGGGCGCAGGCCCGGCAGGGTTCGCTCTGGCCGCAGACCTCGAGAGGCATGGCACGCGGACACTGGTCTACTCACACCCGTCGCACCTCCAGCACGCCCTGTCGGTCCAGCAAATAGGGCATCTCAAGGTCGAGGGCGTCGTCGAAGGTATCATCAATCTCAGGATCACAACCAACATCGCCGAGGCCGTCGCCTTCTCCCGCATCATCGTCCTAGCCGTCCCGTCGAGCGGACAGGAGACGCTGCTCCAGCTGCTCCGACCGCACAGCCTGCGCCGCCACACGCTCGTCGCAGTGCCCGGCAACCTCTTCTCGATCGTCAAGGATTCCGGCATCGAAACGGGCAACGTGCTCGAGACCAACCTGTCGCCGTACGCGTGCCGCATGGAGGGCGGGGTGCTGCAGCTGTACGGCAAGAAGCGGTGCGTCTTCATCTCGGCGCTGCGCAACGACGCCGTCCGGGCGGCCGAGATGCAGGCCGTGTTCCCCGGCGTGCGGCTGCGGTGGTGCAGCAGCGTGGTCGAGGTGTGCCTGTCCAACATCAACGGCGTCTTCCACCCGCTCATGGTGCTGATGAACGCCGGCCGCATCGAGGACACGGCCGGCGACTTTCTCCTGTACCGCGACGGCCTGACGCGGTCCGTGGCCAACGCCATGGAGGCGCTGGACCGCGCCCGCATCCGCATAGGCACCGCGCTGGGCCTCCGCCTGCGCAGCGCGGCCGAGGTGTCCAACGAGTGCTACGGCCAGCACTTTGCCGACCTGGTCGACCTGGCCCGCAACTCGCCGCCGCACAACAGGCTGCGCGCCCCGGCCGGCATCCTGAGCCGCAATGTCTCCGAGGACGTGCAGGACCTGCTGGTCGCCTGGCACGGCCTGGCCGAGAAGCTGGGCGTCGACGCCTCGCCCATCTCGGCCGTCATCGTGCTCGTCGAGATGGCCACGGGCGCGAGCTATGCCGAGACGGGGAGGAATCTGGCCAAGCTGAAGCTCGACGGTGTGTCCAAGGAGGAGTTGGTTGCGCGTTTTGGGCCAGCTATCCCGCAGCGGCATGAGCGCCAGCAACTGCGGATTCGACTTTGATACAGGGGCGCGCGGGGAAATTTGTAACTAGAGCTCTATTTGGTTTACACGTAGCGCCCGTAGCTTTGCGCCGTAGATGCCGACAATGCATGGTATTGGGGCGGTTGCCAACGTCAGAAGCCCAAGGAGAGCGTTCCCCCATCCCCAGCCAAGCGAGCGATACAAGCCCAAACCGCTCAGGGGAAGCAGCGCGCCTGCAAGACCCCGCAGGACGGCATTGGCACCCACAGCGCTGGCCGCGTACTGCTCAAAGGCGTCGATCAAGTACGTCTGGATGCCCGCAAAGATCAATATGGAGCCAAATCCCGTGACGGCGGTGCCGAGCAGCGGTAGCATCCAGTGGACGCCGCCCTCGATGCCCCAACCGTACATAAACAGCCCGGCGGGGAAGGTTAGCGCACCCGGGAGTGTGATGAATAGGGGTAGGCGATCCTCGGGCTTGAGCGTCTTCCCGGCAGCAGCTCTCCTCTGCAGGTTCCTGTCGCTCATTATTCCAAGGTACAGCAGTCCCAAAAGGGTGCCGAGCCCGCCCGGGAGAAAGACCAGCCCCGCTTCAAACGTGGAAAAGTTGTAGACCTCGACAAAGGCAAACGAGTAGGTCGCGAAGAGGAGGTAGAGGGTGCCATAGAGGAGAGCAACGTAGGAGCAGAGAACGGTCACTATGGGGCAGAGCAGAAGTAGCCTTGACGGCCGCAAAATGCTCCGCTTGAAGAGCTCGCCAGGCGGTATCCTGAGCGCGAGTTTAGACTGGTAGTGGGGATTTCCAGTCTCCTTTCGCAGCTTTACTGCCTTGCGCTCGAGCAACACGGGCGCATAAGTCTCTCGAAACACAGCGAACCCGAGTAATGTGGCGACAGCAAGCTGACGTGGCAAACATTAGTTGGGAAAGCATTGGGGGACGGACTGCAAGTCAAGCCATTGACGACGGGTCCTCACCACTATAGCCAGCGCCCAGAACATCCACCGCCACCCCGCCGTGGCAGCCACCTTGCCGCCAATGATGGGCCCAACCGTCGGGCCAAGGACCGTGCCGACCGACCAGACGGCCACGGCCCTCCCCCTCCTCTCGCGCGGCATCAGGTCGGCGATGGTGCCGGAGCCGTTGGTGATAGTGGCGACGCCGACGAAGCCCGAGAGGAAGCGGAGGGCCAGCAGGGCCGGGGCCGAGGGCGCGAGGGCGCAGGCGGCGGTCAAGGCGACTAGTAGCACGTTTGTGGTGTTGTAGAGGGGCACGCGGCCGTAGAGCTCGCTCAGCGGCGCGAGCACGAGCGGCCCGCAGGCGAAGCCGAGGACGAAGATGGATACGACAAAAGTCGCAAAGGTGCCAGAGTCGGTGCCGAGGTCGGCCATGACTAGCGGCACCGCGGGCGCCAGCATGGTGGAGACGAGGGGCCTGGGTCGGGCGATGATCAGCAGGGGGGAGTTCCTGGAGGGTAGGCTGAGGGTGGTGCGGGTGGCTGGCAAGCAACAGTGATCCCACTCACACCAAGAAACTGATCAAAGAGACCGTTATGATGTTGAGCCACTTCTTGTGGGAAGACCAGTTCAACGGATTGGAGGGGTCCTCGCCCTCTGGCTCGTCCCACCACACCAGGATTTCGGAGATTTCTTGGCTGGGAGCTGATGTAGAAACGGCGTGTTTCTCTAGGCCAGTTTGTGTTATCGATGTAGAAAGGTCCGAAGACTCGACGCCCCCTCTGCTGTCCATATCTGGGAAACTTGGTTGACGGACCGTGGGCGGTTGACTGGTTTCTGATAGGAGGACGGCTGCGAAGGAGAATGGACAATCTGAGATGAATGTGTTACCAATATGATCACTAAATACCTTTCTCTATCTAGATCGATAATAGTATGCCCGCTTCAGGTCCATTCATCGGCGGACCAGGCCGTGTCGTCGGGAGCTTGACTCTGGAGGTCCATGGAATTAATCCCTGCTGCACCCCGCAACGGCCCACTCCGAAAATTGCCCGATCCGGAAGGCGGGTTGCAGGCCTGCATTTCACAGGCCCGTGCTGTTTGCTTCACCTGTTTATGTTGATCGGCTGTTGAGCCACCTATTGAGATCAATTTTTGCAACCAGACGCCTGAAATGTGCCTGGCCTTATTTTTTTTCTGGAGTGGCTAACAAACCAAGTGTGTGGCTATCTTTCCCGTCTGAAGGTGGAACGCTTTCCCAAAGCATAAAAATCGACACCTTCCACCCTTTGCTTTAAGCTTTTGCTCTTTTCCCTTCTTTTCACTTGCATTACCTGCACCCCAGGCGCATAGGTGGTGCAGGTGCTGTGGGTGCTGTGGGTGCTGCCGCCGTAAACTTCTCAAATTTGCTCAACACCACAAAAGGTCCGATTCATTGGTAGGTACGCGCCCTGGACGGACCACGCATGTAAACTGCCGTTTACACCGACTCCAAGTCCAGTGCCGAATTAGTCAAGATTCCACACGCGACCCCCGTCGACTTGACAACTCATTCGCAACCCCAGCCGTCATCGGGTGGCAACAGTGACCAGCAGCTCCATGTCCATCCGGATCCCGTCCTCGGTAGTGACCTTGTCCCACTCACGGATCATCTCCTCCCTGGCCATGGGGCGCAGCTCGAGCGGGATGCCGCCGTACGTCTTGCCCGACGAGCTGGTGTCGAGCCACTCGACCATGGCCGCCCCGTCCCTGGCCGTCTTGACGATCCTGTTGACCACGATCTCGTGGCCCGCGAACCCGGCGTCGTCCAGCAGCCCCTCCATCTCGCGCCTCTTCACGAACCTGGGGCCCCCGGCCGCGCCACCGTCCGGGTAGGCCGCGTACGGCTCGCGCGCCAGCACGTCGGCCTTGATGCGCTCGTGCAGCGCCACGAAGTCGCCCGACCCGCCCGACACGCCCAGCCGCCCGCCCGGCCGCAGCACGCGCGCGAACTCGCGGACCGCGAGCGCCTGGTCCGCGATCCAGTGGAAGGTGGAGTTGACAAAGACGGCGTCGAAGCTGGCGTCGCCGAAGCGCGACAGGTCCTCGGCCCGGCCCTCGTGGAAGGCCAAGTTTGAAGACGAGGAGGCGGCGGCGGCGGCGGCGGCGGCGTAGGTTTCGCGGGCCAACTTGATGCGCTCCGGGCTGGGGTCGATGCCGACCACACGCCCGGACTCGCCGACGAGGGTGACCATGTGCGCCGTCAGGTTGCCGGGCCCGCAGCCGACGTCGAGCACGTGCATGCCCGGGGCGACGTTGAGCCTGTCGAGCAAGAAGAGGCCCGCGTCGGACTGGGTGTTGTTGTTGGAGACGTATCCCCTAGCCAGCTGTTCGGTGTCGGCCATTTTGTCTGTGTTGGTGTTGCGAAAAATGCCGAAGGCGAGCGACACCTCTCCCTCCGTCACGGGAATGGTGAAGCCCGACTGATGTGACTTTTGAAGCTTACATATATAACATCCCTGGTGACAAAGGCGGTGTTGCATGCCTTTTGGCGTGCGTCTTGAGGGGGTGGGGTACATTGGACAAGATGCCTAAGCATGTGCGTGACTGAGGAGAGTCGAATTGAGCAAGTTTTCGTTGCATCTTTTCCACCACACTCTCCCAGAACTCTATCGAAAGAAGACTCGGCGCTGACAAAACCAGCAGAAAAGAGTGAAGAACCCAAACAAAAAGGAAATATGAAAAGCCAACCGCCCAACGGAGGGCCTAGGCGCTTTTCAAAGGGCATCACCACCTTGAATGCCGACTCTGTACACTAAACATGGTCCAATGGCATCTAAATATAGTTTTTGTGATTCATTGTCCTCCCAATTGCAACCCGACCACTTTGGAGAAAAGACGGCGCCTGCTTCACTCGGTGTAGCGACCGGACCCGTGCCACCGAACAGCTCACCTCGACTGTGAGAGTCTTGGTGGCGGTGACAGCCAAGGCCATCCGCCATCAACAGCCTGCGGGTGTGGCCAAGCCCGGGTCACCCGAGACAGCCTTGCTCGGGTCGGGCCAGTAGCACTGGGCCGTCTTCAAGCCACGCCCCCCCACACCTTTCCACCCGCCCACGTCTCATCCGGGCCCCTCGGGCTGCGTCTGCCAAGGCCTGTGCGCCCGAGCCCCTCCTGTCATCGGAGCGCATTGACAAGACAAAGTTCGGATGACGTCCGCATCCAAGTCGTTTCTAGAATTCCAGGGGAACGGTTGAGGTGGGTCTGGGGTCCAAATGGGGGATGAGTGACGACGTGGGGTGGCCCTGGGGACCATCGCTGTGATGCCATTGCGCAGGCTCGGGCTCGGGGTGTCACCCAACCGTCCTGCCGACAGTCGCGCGTTTGCGGCGTTTTGCCGATCGTGGAAGCCAAGGCGGCGTCAAATTAGCGGTGGTAATTTCCACATGTACGGCCGTGGCGGCCAGCCGCACGAAGCTTTCGCATGTCAAACTCAATATGATTTGTTTGGATCTAGTTACGAGGCTAGTGCCCAGGTGCATGGAATATCCCGGCTGCCTGTCCCCTGGGTATGAATCCAGGGTTCTGGTAAGTGGGTTTCTGCCTCTTCTCAGACCCGAGCCCTCGGGCTCGCTCAACACCCTGCGCGCGCGTTCGCCGTTGATTAGTTTCACGCGCGAGGCTAGTCTGCCCCTGCCCATGTTTACTTGATCGTCCTGAGCTCCAATGTGGATACTGGACAGCGAGCTTCCTTGGCCTCTTGCGAACGAGGAAGAAACTTTCTCTCCTTTAGGTGGGCGGTTGGGATCTGACTCGAGATACTTCTTGCGCAAATTGCCTCGAGGTCAACTTGGTGATCGAGAAGCCAAAGTGTTTGCTTGCCAAGGCCTCAGCCTCATGGCCACAGACCTCCTGCCTCAGGATCTGACCATGCCTCTTCTGGCAAGGACGATGTCAGCTCGCCGCGCGGGTGGCATGTACATATATCCTCGAGATACCCGCCTCTAGCATCTCCTTCTACTCCGTCTGCCTCAGCGCGATCTCCTGGGACGGCCTCACCATAGTCACTCGTTCGACAATCCCAATCGCACATAATAATCCAGAAAAGGAAAAAAACTTCAACATGGCCTACATCCACTCCAGGATCACCATCACCTGCGCCCTGCTGGCCCTGTCGGCGACCGTGACCGCTAGGCGCATCGACGAGAGCGGCTTTGCACCCGAGGACATCATCGTCCGCGATGTTTGCGTCATCGGCGGAGGCGCCTCCGGGTCGCATGCGGCCGTGCGTGTTCAGGACTCTGGAAAGTCAGTCGTCGTGATCGAGACAAAGGACCGTCTGGTAGGCCAAATTTCCTACTCCAGCATCGATTTATATTTCCTGTCAAACTAACACCAATATCTGCAGGGCGGCCATGTGGACACCTACAACGACCCGCGCACCGGCGCGCCCGTCGACTTTGGCGTCCTGGCGTACCTGGACCTTCCCGGCGTCAAGGACTTCTTTGCGCGCTTCAAGATCCCCACCATCCCCATCACCGGGTCGCCGTTCCAGAACAAGTACGTCGACTTCAAGACGGGCAAGACGGTCGACGGCTACCCGGCCTTCAGCCAGGACGACGTGCGCGCGGCCCTGACGACGTTCGCCATGACGACCCTCAAGTACAACGACCTCTTCTTCCCGGGCTACTTTGGCCTCGTGGAGCTGCAGAAGAAGGGCGGGGCCGTGCCCGAGGACCTGACCATGCCGTTCGGGCAGTTCGTGGCCAAGTACAAGATCGAGGCCGCCGTGCCGACCATCTGGACCTTCGCGTCCGGGCTCGGCGACGTGCTGGCGGCGCCCACCGTCTTCGTGCTCCAGAACATCAACGCCGTGCACCTGGGCCAGATCCAGAGCGGCGGCATGTTCCGCACCGCCAACAACTCGGCCCTCTACGACGCCGTGGCCCGCCAGCTCGGCCCCGGGTCCGTCATGTATGGCAGCCGCGTGGCCGCCGCCGACCGCCGCGCCGATGGCGTCACGCTGCTGGTCAAGGGCAGCTGCGGCAAGAACAAGCTCGTCAAGGCCAAGCGCCTGCTCGTCACCATCCCGCCCACCAAGGACAACATGCACCAGTTCGACGCTGACGCGGCCGAGAACGAGATATTCGCCAAGTGGACCGCCACCGACATCCAGGTTGGGCTCCTGACCGGGTCCAACATGCCCGACGGCATCAGCATCAACAACGCCGACCCCAGCAACGCCACCCTGCACCTGCCCAAGGGCACCTACGTCGACCCCATCGCCTCGACCGGCATCCCGGGCATTTTCCGCACCATGGTCGTCGGCCCCGCCGGCACGGGCGTGCAGGCCGCCAAGGACCTGGTGCGGTCGGCCGTGCGCGGCTTTGGCGCCGCCGGGACTTTTTCCAACGTCGGCCGCATCGATTTCCCGGCCTGGTCCGATCACGGCGTGTCGCAGCTGCGCGTGTCGGGCGCCGACATCGCCGCGGGTTTTTACACCAAGCTGTACGCGCTGCAGGGCCAGAAGAGCACCTGGTTCACCGGCGCCGCCTGGGGTGCCGACTACACCTCGATACTCTGGGTCTTTACCGAGAAGGGCGTCCTGCCGGGGCTGCTGGCTGGGCTGTGATTGTGTCTTTTTCTCTGGGATGGAAAACGGGACAGAGAGCTTAATTGTATAATACATAGACTTGTCGACACTGAATACAATCTCATTTGTTGTATATAAGACGCGAAAACTAGGTGGTAGGCATCATCTGGAACCCATGACATCTTGTAAGTAGCCCTTTTGGCCACCCAGTCGATCATGTTATCGTTTCGAGGCATCCTGGCAGGTTTGTTGTCCAAATCCTGGTGGAAGGAAGCATTGCACGTTGGTATAGCCCACTCCGACGTGGAGTCACAGCCGGGGGGCTTTGCGGGTCGGATGACATCCTGATGGAAAGGATGTCGAATCGAAAGCATTCAGCCCTGATATAGTACCCACCGCCTCGACGATACTCGGCGATACATCGTCCCGGGTAACACAAGCATGCACCACCAAGGCCCGGACTGGTTAACATGACACCACACATGCAGCGATCATGGAGTATCGGCAGACACGGCCATCACTCCGGCATTTTATCACTTATATCAGTGCCCGGCGCCGCGTAAATCGCTGACGAATAGATATCTGGGCTGAGCCCCCGCAGCTAGCTCTCCCCTCCCTGATCTGGCTGGTGCTTCTTTCTTGATCATATCGCATCCTGATCCAATGGCAACCTCCTCCTCCGTAATGCAGCAGTCGCGCGTCCAGAACGGCTCGAATCCGAGCACCGCGGCCCCGTCCCGGCTGCGCGTTGCCGTCACCCAAGCAGAGCCAGGATGGCTAGACCTCCAGGAGTCAGTCGACAAGACGTGCTCGCTCATCGCTGAAGCAGCCCAGCAAGGAGCCAAGATAATCGCGTTTCCCCGAGTGCTGGATCCCCGGGTATCCAGGATGGGTCTGGTAAGGGCAAGCAGGCGTTCTCCTAACCTGGCAGAGACTCCGTCATCTAACCGACGTGGCGTGCGTGCGGCCCCGCCAAACCACACAGGAACCGACCCATCAACATGGAGATGGCGACGGCGTACATCAAGAACTCGCTGCGCGTCGACTCCCCCGAGATGGACCGCATCCGTCAGGCCGCGGCGCAGCACGCAATCGTCGCGGTGCTGAGCTTCTCGGAGCGCGCCGGCGACTCGCTGTACATCTCGCAGGCCGTCGTCGACGGGGCGCAGCAGGGGCGCGTGCTGTCGGTCCAGCGCAAGATCAAGTCGACGCACATGGGGCGCACCGTCTTTGGTGATGCCTCGGCCGAAACTCTGAGCGGCGTCGTCGACACCGCAGTCGCCCTTGTCTGCTGGGGGCACGTGCAGCCGCTGCTCAAGTACCACATGTGCACCCAGCGCGAGCAGGTCCACGTCGCGGCCTGGCCGCCGCTGCATCCGCACCAGGGGCCCGGGCTGTGGTCCATGACCAGGGATGGTAGGTGTCATGTACCCTCCGCTACGGTCACTGGGAGATGGTGACCTGTCAGCAGCCCCCGTCAAAGTCGCTGACATCCGATTCTGCCATAGGCGCCCGCGCCCTCTCTCGCACCTACGCGATCGAGTCGCAGGCGTTTGTCCTGCACGCGACCTCCCTCATGACCGAGAAGGGGATCGGCCGCCTCAAGGCAGCTGGCGGCGCGCTGTTCTCCCAGCCGGGAGGCGGATCATCCGCCATTTTTGGGCCCGATGGCAGACAGCTTAGCAAGGACCTGGACGAGCAGATAGAGGAGATCATATACGCTGACATCAATCTTGACGACATCCTCGGCGCCAAGAGCTTTGTGGATGTTTGTGGACATTACAGCCGGCCTGACCTGCTCTGGCTGGGCGTAGATCCCGAGATGAAACACTGTGCTCGCTCGACTGCAAGTGCCCAACAGGCCGCTAGGGAAGGTGGCCAGGTAGCCCTGGATTTCGGTATATAATAACAGCTTTTCGACGTCGTTCTCCGAGCGTGGGCAAACGCCGGTCAGATCCATACACAATTGCGCTACTCCATAAAAATATTAGCTTAATGACGCGGCAACGCTGTAGCAGCTTTTCCCCCAAGATCACATCATTTCTTGGCCTTGTCGGTTTCGCCCTCATGGAAGATCGTTCGAAATAACTAGTCCCTAGTCGGAGAGGTTCCATCCCCTCTGCTCCCGCCGCGGCCCGAAATACCGAGAAGAGCCTGGTTCTCACGCTCCAGCGAAGACGCATGACTGCGGCTGGGGCGCTTCTCCATCATGGCCGCCAGGTTCAAGTGCAGCAGATGGCCACGACGGCGGCGGACAAAGGTAGCCTGCAGTGCCCAAGCGAAGGCGATCCCAATGGCACTGAACAAGGCTGGCCAGCGGAACTGGTCCGGGCGCGAGAAGACCATGGTGGCGACGTAGGACAATATCTCGAAGCCACTGTTGAAGGCCGACTCAACGGATGAGAAAACACCGCGGTGCTCCTCTTCGACTTCCTATATTTGGGTGACGGGGATGTCAGCGCAGTTGGAGATTTCGGATGAAGAACTACTAACCTCTTGCACCACAGTTTGCGTACACAGATCAAAGCCGATGATCCCAATGCGGCTCAGAATGGTAGAAACCACGAGTGCAGCTGCAGAGGCAACAGGCGCACAACTGCTCTGCAGCCCTGCAAGCAGCCAAAACCCTGTAACCCCGAGGATGAGCCAGCCGAGCTGCCAAGACACAAACCAAAGGCCTGCCCTAACGGGACCGATGCGATGTGCCAGCCAAGGAGCCGCCCATGTGGCACAAAACTCGAATGCGACCGAGGCCGCGCGGGACGTGCCGATGGCGGTGGAGGTAAAGCCCGAGGAAAGAAGGTAGGCGATCATGCGTCCGGAGAAGGAGAGAACAGTAAAATAAGCCATGGACTGGGCAAATGATGGCAGGAATGCTGGATGGGAGAGATAGAAGGAAAAGTCCTGGACGCTCTTGCGCACCGCGACTTGGGCTTTCCGCAGGGACCGTTCGGGAGCGGGGTTCTCATCTACCGGTCCGAGCAAGTCGGCAGGAGGGGAGTGAATGATCTTGGGGATTTGCAGATTTGGCACTTCGTAGTAGACCTGGATATTTGTAGCCAGGCATGGTTACCTAGTTAGCTGTGGCCACAATATATGTGGTAGCTTGGGTGCGTATCGAGAAACTCGCCTTGGAAATGTTGAGGTACTCGACAGGGATCGAGACCAAATTCATGGCAAAGTTGGCAACAATAGCAGCCCTTGTGGACGCCCCATCGATGAAGGCTATAAATACTGGGCCTGCCAGTTTGCAAAAGATGTCGATTCTCCTCATGCGCGAGTTCAGGACTGCAGAGTAGGGTCTCCGTGTTAGTGCCCCCAGAGCAGCACAGGAGGCGACCGGGCTCTTACCAAGCTTAGTTTCTACAGAGGTTCCTGCGATGACGGGGACCTGCAAGAATATTCGTGTGAGCTAGGTTCCCGTCGGCAGCAGGTTACATGGGAGAACAGGCATACCCAGTCCCTTTCGACCGCAATAAAGTTCATGACTGCCGAGAGTTTCTCCACGCAGGCAAGAAGGCAGAGCAAAGCCAGCAGGCCATAGCGGGCGCCAGTGTCGAGGTCTATCGCTCTGCTACCAAGAATGTAGAAGATTGCACAAGAAGAGGCCACAGCCAAGCGCTCCAAGACTAATGGCGAGGGAAGGAGAAGTTGCATGTTAGCAGCGCTCGCGCAAAGGGTCTAGGCAGATGGTCGGCTCTAGTGACATGCCGATAGACAGTCGCACAACGCGCAGACGGGCGGCGCGGTCGACAAAGTGGCCGACGGCGGGGGCGAACAGGATGGCGGCGATGCCGCGGGCCAAGGCGTAAATGGACAGCGGCAGGAGCGTGCCCGGGAAGAGCGCGGCCAGGTAAAGGACGCTTCCGAACTCAAAAACACGCGAGTTCCACGTGGACAGAAAGTGCGACGCGTACAGGCGCTGGCTGGTGGCGCGGAACGCCGTTGTTGCCATGGCGGCGCCGTCGGTCACGCCATCGCCGGGCGGCGCAAGAAGCGGTGACCGCTCGCCGACCTCGGCGTCCGGGACCTGCGTTGGATCATCTGCGCCTTGGGCCATTGCTGGCGGCAGGTAAGGATTGGTTGAGTACGGTCTAGAAACCAATGCCAGTACAAAAAGAAGTTGAGGAGGTGAAAATACACGACCTAATGATTGGATTGGTGGTGGAGAAAATGCAAATGCAAAATTGATGCTGGCAACCTGCCGTCATCAACTCTGCTGTCGCTGGCGATCGCTCCTGCCGCGTTCCTACAGCCGAGCAGTGGGTCCCGACTGCCAGACTCCATCTCCTTTGCCAGCTTTACCAGACGGACAACAGTGCCACGTACAGCCCAGACCCCAGGCATCTGCATTCACATTGACCTCCATCTCATCAAACTCTCCCAACTCCTCACAGCTCGTCGTGCGACCCCTCCCTGTCCTTCTCGATCCCTTTCCGCGACGCCGCCCGCTCCTCGCGGTTGATCTTGCGCTGCTGCCGCTCGAGCTCTCTGTGGTGCTGCTCCCAGAAGATGCGCGCAGCCCGACCATCCTCGGTCTCCTTGACCAGCCGCGCCTCGATGGTGAACTTGATGGCCTTTTTGCCCTCCTCCAGCAGCACCCGGCTGTGGTCTGTCGCCCATGCCACCACGCACGTGTCTTTTGCCCGCGATGCCAAGTACTGGGACATGTCCGAGAAGGCCTCTGTGAGTTCGCGTCCTGTCAGTCATTTCTCCCTAATGTGCACGCGCACGCGCACGCGTACGCTTTGATGCCCAGGAACACTTGCCTTTGCATTTCGCCCCCTCAGCCACCCACAGCGGCAGGAACTGGTACAGCTCGCCCGGCGCCGTCACAAGCACCTTTTCCTCATCCGGCAGCGCCATCACGTCCTCGTCCAGCCCGACGGTGTCTTCTGGCCTCGGCCCGCCGGCCCTGCCTCCAGTCAACGCCTTGGGCTTCCTCAGCACCCTGAAGAAGTGCCGATTCCGATCTTCCTCGGTGCTGCTCTCGTTCTCGATCCAGCGCCGCGCCAACTCCGGCACCTCCTTCCAGTCTACCATCAGGATGTCGCGCTCGTTTCCCTTGACGTTGACGCCGTCCCAGCTGCCAGGATACACGCGGCCCGTTGCCAGCGCCCGCACCGCCTCCGCCCAAGGGGACATTCCGGCCGGCGGGGTGTGGTCCAGGTCCGAAAACTTGTACTGCTGCGCGGGGAAGGTGACAGCGTGTCGGCACAGCTCGGTGAACTGCATCAGCTCCGAGTTGTCGTACGGCCATGGTTTTTCCCACCGCCAGCCCGACACCGTACCGTGTGTTGTGATATCCCAGTTGAACGAGCCTGCGGCTGGTGTTATGTACAGGCCGGCCAGGAGGGCCACAGCGGCTACAGAGACGATATCTGCAAACCACATTTTCTTTTTCCCAGGATTGTTTTGGAATTTGGGGATAGCCGTGACTGATTTACAAACAGTTGCCTTGGGTTCGCCGGCCCAGATATAAAGGGGTTCCTCCGGCGCTCCCGAGTGACGGCATTTTCATCCAACAGAAAGCCAGGATGATTGGACAAATTAATTCAATTTCCGGCTCATCGCCCACGAACGGCAATCCATGGCCGGTCATGCCTCCCCGTCAGAGGGCAGCATTTGTTACAGGCTAATCTCGACCGTCAAGTTGCCGGCAACAGAACACGTGTCTTCACTCTTAGCGGGCATCGCCGCGCCTACCCATCTTAGAGATTGGTCGTCCACCAATCCCTTTCTACCACACCAACCTTGGCGTTTCGGGCTAGCTACCTACCTAGCTATCAGCGGGCTCCTCGTATTCGGTGGTGCGCATATCCAAGTATCGAACACACCACGCCGGTTGCGGCGGGATCCTGCCGCTCCGCCCGTCGTCGCCGCCGTCAAAGACGGGCGGGGTCTTGCCGCCGCCGCCGCCGCCCAGCTCCGGAAGGATGTCGAGGGGGAAGTTCAGCTGGCTCCTCGGGGTGGCGAGGACGAGGAAGCGGTCAAACGTGTTGGGCTGGACGCAGCCGGGGACCTGGTCAGAGATGCCGGCCTCGATGAAGAAGTTGGTGCCCTCGTTCCGGTCTAGCTGGATGGGCGCTTCGCCCTCTCGAGGGTACATCCTCCCCGCCTTCCATGACGGCTCTAGGTCGAGGAGTTCAACGTACATCGCCCCGAATGATGTGTTGCTCACTTCGAACCCCAGGCACCGCCCCTCGACCATGTCGATGGAGCCCGGCTGTGGCAGCGGCTGCAACCCCCGGACGCTAGGACGGCTGTCGAGGCTGAAGGGCCGCGGGAGCGGGGGAGTTACGCCCTTTTCCAGGAAGCCGATCCTGCGGACCTCGAGGCCGGCCGTGTTCTCCACGTTATCAATGGGCAGGTTGAACAGGTTATAGAAAATGGTCAGGTGCGCCAGCCGGGCCAGCAGGTCCCCTACCGCAGGCCCAACCTCGACGCTTGCCTCAGAATCGCCGGGCTTGAAGGATACGACAAAGCTGCCGTCGACCCGGACGCGGACCGTAAAGAAGGCTTCATCGGTATCTACAACCTGGACCAGCTTATTGTCCCGGCCGATGCTGTCCCGGACCTCCTGAACAGTTCGGTCGAGCGGCCCGGGGCCTTCGCCGGCCGCCGCAGACAGGACCTTCACCCCTCTGGGCTGTAGGACGTGCTTCTTTAAAATGTCGCGGACGCTGACGGCCACGCAGCCGACCTGGACCTTCTCGGGCGCCGCGCCGCCGCGCTGCAGCAGGGAGCGCGCCTCGAAGTCGTCAACAGTTTTCACCTGGCACGTGGCCAGGGGTGCGCTATAGTCGGTCAGGTTGCGGAGCAAGCTGCCGGCTGGGTAGATGGCATATTCGTCATCCACAGCCACGCCATGAGCGGCGCCGGCGTCCAGCATCACCTTGACCTTGGACGCGCCCAGCTCCTCGACGGCCCGTACGAGCACGGGCGGCCGGGGGGCCGGTTCAGCGCTGAAGAAGGCCCTGTCGCCCCGCCCGCCGAACACGACGTCCTGTACGGTCTCCAGGTCCCTGTCTGGATGGCTCTTGAGCCGACCGGCGACGAGGTTGGAAACCACGTCGCAGCTCAGTTTCTGCAGCCCGCCGGGAAGGCGCTTATCGTTTACGACGCTGGCCAGGCAGGTCGTGAGCAAGCCCTGCCTGACCTCCGCGTCTTTCGGCACCTCCCACGCCTTCTGGCTGGTACGGCACGCGGCGAGGAAGCTGAAGCGGTCCGACGCCGTCATCCAGTGCCGCACCACGACGCCGCCGCGGCCCGGGTCGCCCGGCGCCGGCGGCCTCCACGACTCCTCGAGCGCCCCCGCGGGCCCGATCGGGTCCCGCTCAACGAAGGCCGATGGCGAGGCGGCGTCGGTGCCCCGAACCCCTTTGGCGATGTCGTCACCGTCGCGCGTTGCGCCGCCCGAGTGGCAGCAGTCGAGCACAAAGGTGACGGTGGCGCCCTTGTCGGTGATCTGCTTGAGCAGGAACGCCACCTCGACGTCGCGCAGGTAGTCCAGCTTCGTGCTCCCCGCGACTGGCAGGACGAGGCACTCGTCGTACACGTTGCGGCCCTTGATAGTACCGAACCCGGTGGGGAGGCGCGTGCCGTGGCCCGAGTAGTGAATGTAGATGAAGTCGCCCTCGGCGGCCTCGCGCGCGAGCTTTTGGAAGGCACCATGCACGTTGTCGAGGGTCGGCACAAGGACTTTCGGCGCCGATGTGGGCGACGTGAGCTTGGTGATGTCGGTGATGCCAGCCGCCTCGCGCAGGAACGCCTCGGTGGTGGCGACGTCGGCGACGCACCCTTTCAGGTCCTTCATCTCGACGCTGTGGTACTCGTTGATTCCGATCAGCAGCGCCGACCTCTTTCCGCCCGTGCCTTCTGCCATTGTTTCCATTGTCGAGTGCTCCTTGGCGTCTTGACCGCTGAGCTTGGTTGGAATTCTGGAAACGGTGCAAAACTAAAGGTATGCTTGGAAATAATGGGCGACCAAACATTTGGACGAGAGGCTGACATTTCGAGCCGAAGCTATTTGATATACGGGACATCCCATAAGAACGCACCCGAGATCGCTAGCCGAAGGTGTCGCCATCTAGTCGCACGTCGTGACTCCCAGAAGGAACGGCCCGCTCCGGGTTGCCATATACGGACATTCCGCACCTAAGCACCTCACTAGGGACCTTAACCAAACTTTTTTGTAGGCCGGCCTGCCGTCGATTTCGGGGTGGTGGCTGCCGTGAGACAAACCCCGCGGCGATGGCGGCTGGCTGAGTTCGGTCTTCGGCTGGATGCATAGGCCGGCTAGAACACACTAGGTATCGATCTCCGGCCATGTTGCGCGGCTGCCGCCCACGGCGTTGCGGGGGTGGCCAATGAGCTTGGTTGGCGCATGTCGTACCAGCGGACAGCGCTGCATCAGGGCAAGCTTGGAGAGGCATCCGAGCTGAAAAGCCTGCGCCACTCCGAATGCTAGGCTTGTTTGCGTGCTTGCTTTTGAGGGTTTGACGCAGTGCCCGGAGCGGCATGCCCAGAACGGCATGCCCAGCGGGAGTCTGGAACACACCCTCGCGGGCAATCGGCATCGGAAAACAGGTGACTGGCTCAAGACGCATCAAAACTATTAGTCTTGGCACATTAGTGCCGGGGGAGCTGCGCCGCCGTGCAGCAATGACTTCACGATTCCGGTCCTACTGTAGATCGCGCCTCGGCCGTCTGGCGGCCTTGCCGCCGTGGGACGAGAATGGCGTCGTGGCGGTCTCGATGCCCATCCCGGGGGCGGGCGGCGGGAGCTGATTTGACAACTACATTCTAGTCTCGATGCAGCCATGCCCAACGCTGCACCGCGCCAGGAATGGACGTACAAGCCCACCGGCGAACGGCCGTCTGGCAGAGACAGACGCACGCGCGCACATGTGTACGTACGGTCATACGGACTTGGCGGCGGAGATGCACCTAGGTTCGTATGGGCTATGTGATACGCAGCACGACAAAACTCAGTTGCGGCCGATGCGGGGTCAACTCGGGCTGGGGCTCCTCAGGCCGGGCATAAAAGGGGCAGAATGAGAAGCCAGAGAACATCCAGCCCAGGCTGGCCTTGATTCCTTGGTCATCGCTTTCTGGGCTGAAGGGATGACAACGTAGACCCAAGCCAAGCTGTACTTTTCAAGCCTGCTATCATTGAGCCTACCCTTCCTTCACCTCCGCCATGGCCGTCGACGAGAACCAAGCCAAGCACGCCTTGGTCAGCTCCTGGTTCCTGGGGCCGCGGGCGGAGAACTTTGACATCCTCAAGAGCCTCTTCGGCAAGGTCCTCGACCACCAGAAGGATGCCAGGATCAGGCTCGCCGAGGCCTCGGAGGACCCCATCTTCATCACCAAGGAGATGGAGGAGCTCGAGATCTACAAGGCGAGCGTCGCGAAGCTCAACAACGACATGAGCGAGCTCTCGCTCGGCCTGGCCAACCACTCGGTTCCCTTCTGGTCACCCCGGTACAATGCCCACATGAACATGGACACCACCATGTCAAGCATTATTGGCTGTACGTAAAAGAGACACCGAAGTTGCGGCGGCACATCTGGATGAGTGCTCGCATCTGATTGCGGCTGCTGACGCGTCCCCGGCATTGCAGATATGTCTGCCATGATGTACAACCCGAACAACGTCGCGCTCGAGGCCAGCCCTCTCACGACGGAGCTCGAGAAGCAAGTCGGGGAGGATCTCTGCCGTATGCTGGGATACCCTCGCAAAGACCCCGCCCCCTGGGGCCACATTGCCTGCGTATGTCTCCTGGACGCGCTTCTCCTGGACGCGCTTCTCCCCTTGAACCACAGGCTGGTCCGCGTCGTCCATAATCGCTAACAAGCACTCGCTGCCATTCAGGACGGGTCCGTCGCCAACCTTGAGGCCATCTGGGCGAGTACGTGGCGACTCTCCCTCTCTTGTGCTTTTTTTACGGGAGTGGCACTAACGGATGGTTCCGTGAACAGTCCGGAACCTCAAGTTCTACCCCTTGTCGCTCAAACGCGCTATCCAAGAGGGCCAACTCGGGTTCCTCGCCGACGTCGAGCCGGCCTTTACGGTCGAGAACTGCAAGGGAGAGACGAAGAAATTTCTCGAGTTGACCGAAAGCGAGCTCCTGAACCTAAAGCCCGATACAGTGCTCAGCCTGCCTACCATCCTGGCCGAGAAGTACTCCATCACAGCCGCCTTCCTGGCGGACGCTCTCAAGCCGTACCTGATCCAGACTACGGGCAAGGACAAGCTGGAGAAACTGTATGGAATTAAGCCCGGGAGGTTCATGGTCAGCGCTACCAAGCACTACTCTTGGCCCAAAGGTGGAGGTGAGTTTTGTTTGCCACACCCTCTCTCCCTACTGTTTATCGCTGGGAAAACAGGACAATTTACTGAAACCACCAACCAAGCCATCACGGGCATCGGCTCCGAGGACTTTGTCGACGTCAGCGTCGACAAGGAGGCCCGCATGAGCCCGACGGCGTTGCGGAAGCACCTGGACGACTGCATCAAGGATGACGTGCCCATCTTTGGCGTCGTTGCCATCATGGGTTCGACCGAGCACGGCGCCTGTGACCCACTGGCCGAGATCGTCGGGATCCGCAACGAGTACCAACGGGACCACGGCGTCTCCTTTGCCATCCACTGCGACGCCGCCTGGGGCGGCTACTTCGCCTCGCTGCTGCGCGAGCGCGTCGAGCGTGGGCCCGCGCTGCCCTACGTGCCGACCATGCCATTGAACCCCTACACCAAGTTGCAGCTCGAGAACCTCAAGCACGCCGACAGCATCACTATCGACCCACACAAGTAGGTGCTTTCCCCTCGAATTCTTCTTTCCTATCCACGACTAACCCACACTCCCCAGGTCCGGATACATCAACTACCCGGCCGGCGGGCTCTGCTACCGCGATGGTCGCATGCGGTACCTCGTCACTTGGACCAGCCCCATCGTGTTCCACGTGGGCGACGACGCCGAGAGCATGGGCGTGTACGGCGTGGAGGGTAGCAAGCCCGGCGCCGCCGCCGCCGCCACATGGCTGACCCACAGGTCGCTGGGCCTCGACAAGGAGGGCTACGGCAGGCTGCTGGGGGAGGCCATCTTTTCTTGCGCAAAGGTCTGTTTCCCTTTTGTTTTCTGGCGTCGCGGCAGACTGCGGCCCAAAACTAAACATCTCCGCCGCGCTAGCTTTATTGCCACTGGGTCACCATGGCGCCGCCAGAGGCCGACGACTCCCTCATCGTCGTCCCGCTCATCCGCCTCCCGTCAGAGAGGGACGGCGGCGATGTGGCGGCCGAGAAGCAGCGCATCCGGACCGAGATCGTCGGTTGCGAGAACAAAACCATCGTCGAGAACGAGAACTCGTGGAAGCTCATGTGCGAGCTCGGCGGCGACCTCATGATCAACGCCTTTGCCTGCAACTTCAAGGTTAACGGCAAGGTGAACCAGGACGTGGTAAGTATTTTCCAGGGTGTCAGACGCCTTCCACTACCGGCTTCGCAACGCGCTGACGGCCTTTTTCTGCCTGCTAGGGAGAAGCAAACTACCTGAACCAGTGGATCTTCTCCAAGCTCTCGGTCGCTTCCAAGAAGGACGTGGTCGAGGAGCGGCCGCTCTTCCTCACCTCGTCCGTCTTCAGCGAGAAGGCCTACGGCGAGTGCCTCGAGACCTTCAAGGAGCGCCTCGGACTCAGCAGCAGCGACTTCCGCGCCCAGGGCGACATGCGCTTCCTCGTCAACGTGACCATGAGCCCCTGGCCCACCAGCCCGGACTTCATGACGTCGCTGGCCAAAGATTTCAAGAGCGTGGCCGAGGTCGGCGTCAAGCGCGTCATCAAGCGCAACATGCTCACCCCGGACATCCACGGCTTCGTCGCGCAGGGGCTGGACAGCCTCTTCTTCGTGCACATCCCCATGTTCAACATGGCCAACCACCGCAAGCAGCTCGTCATCGCCGCCGACCTGCCGGCCGACGTGCACGCCTTCTACAAGGAGCAGCGCCGCGCCAACCCGGGCGCCGTCTACACCGTCGCCAACATGGAGCCCGACAAGCTCGACGACATGCTCAAGCCCGGCGCGACCACCAAGTGGCGCCTGGACCTGGGCATCCCCGCCGACGGCGCCCAGCCGCTCAAGAAGGACTTTGCCCTGACCAACATCCGCGCCGTCGTGAACCAGTCCATGGCCTACCCCGCGCTCGACCGCGAGTACCCGCACAAGATGCCCTTCTACCTGTACGGCAGCAACGCCGAGATGCACCTGGACCACGTGCTCAAGACGGCGCCCAACGCGCAGATCAGCTTCGACCAGGTCAAGGCGAGCCTGTCCCCGGCGCTGAGCGACCAGCAGCTGAGCGGCGGCGTGGTGGCCGTGCTCGACGACGTGTTTGAGAGAAGCCTGCAGCCCTTGTAAGTTTGGCTCCTGTTCCCCCCCGCATTTCGTTCTTGTTCTGGTCTGACGGGACACGCAAAACAAACACAGGCCCCTCGACGAGGACTCCGGAAGCGTCAGCCTCGGAGCCCCCGGCCTGTCGCTGAAGCCCGAGGTGACCCACAGGGCGTCCGTGTACAAGACGTACGAGGAGTACAAGAGCGGGACGGGCAAGCCTATCGCCACTGGGACCGTCAGCGTCGGCGACACCGTGTTTGCGGACTGGGGCGATGTCAACATGGACCCCGCCGAGCACCATTGATGTTGATGCTAGCACACGAACTTCATGGCTTCACCTATCCACGTTGGGGACGGGGTGGCGGCTTGTGCCTTTTGCCAGATAGCAGTTTCGAAATTGAAGAGCAAAAAAAATAAAAGTAGAGACATGCGGGCTCCTGAAAAGGCTCGTCGGCCTTGTGAATTCATTGTCGCTATTGTAGCGTAGCCCGGGATGGGCGGCAGGCCACGCCTTTGCCTAGAGATGGCCGGGTACGATTAGCGTTTTGTGACCACAGTCGTCCGACGAAGCCCACATTAGTTACAAAGATGCCGACGCATTGCAGAACACAGCTCCCTGTGGTTTGTGTCCTTGACCCATATGCCGCGGTTCCTGCTGATGGTCGGGATGGACCGTGGCAAGCCTGCCGGCGACACATCACGTTGTTCTCTGGACCGGCGCCTATCCCGGCGCATGTGAATAATACAGTTTATTGGTGAGAAAGAGTGGGAAGTGCCCTCGGGCGATCATGTGCGTTGTGCTGGCGCGAGCAAGACGATAGGCGGGGACGGCCGGGTTTGGGTATAAAGGAGCATCTTCCTCCCATCAAACGGACAGGAAAACAGCGAAAAGTCAAGCATACTTTCTCCTTGGCTCATTTCTAACCATTGATGCCCAACTGTGAGGCCTGAGTTGGGTGTCCATATTGCCACCAGCCCGTCGCCTGCTGGCTTGCTGGACGACAAGCAAGCTCGACTTGATTCACAGCCGTTTCTTTTTCAGCAACATACCAAAACAAAACCAGCAGAATCAGCAAAAAAAAAAAAATGGCCCCAAGCCTCGCGACCGCCTACCGCGACTCGATGCGGCGACACCGCTTCGGGTACGCGCTGCACGAGCCGGCGCTCTTCACGCGCCTGCGGCCGGGAATGCTGGGGTACCTCGACGACGAGTACCAGCGGTGGCACCCGATCCTAGACCTCGTCGACGAGGCCGCCGTGAGCGCCGCCGGCTACGGGCCGCTCCTTCCGGGCGGGGGCCAGCTGCGGCCGAGCGAGCCCGACGCGCGCCGGATGGGCCCTCTCAAGTCGGAGCGCGTGGCCGAGACGACGGTGGAGCTTGGGACTGAGGTCTCGGGCCTCGCGACGGCCGGCCTGCCCGTCGGCGTGGGCGGGGCGGTGCGCTACAGCTCGTCGGGCGGCTTCGGGGCCGTGCTGCTGTGCGGCGGCGACGTCGTGTCCGAGGGCTTCGACTTCCGCGACCCGTTCCGCGCCTGGATTCAGCGCCACGCCAAGGCGCTGTTTGCGGCCTACCCGGACGCCAAGAAGCACGGCCTCTGCGCCGCGACGTGGACCTACTCGTCCGTCGACGTCGGCATCGCCACGTGGGAGGACAGCAAGGGCAGCGCCGTCGTCGGCTTCAAGGCCGGGGTCGCCGGGGTCGCAAAGGTCGAGCCAAAGGTGTCGTGGACGCGGGGCGCGTCGACGGGCGGCTGGGCCGTGTGGAAGGACCAGAAGCGCGTCGTCTTCTTCAGCGGCGTCAGAATCAAGCCAGGCCTCTTTGGGTCGACGCGCGAGCAGCCCGAGAAGGACTGGCGCGGCGCCGACGACGGCTTCTTCGTCGAGGATGAAGAGGGGGGTTCCTACAGGGTCGGGGTGGAGGAGTTTGGAGACGATTGGGGTCTGATTTGCAATGATGGAGTGGAGGAGGAGGAACCTGCTACTGGCGATGATCAAGAGAAGGCGTAGATTGTGAAACTATCAGACGCCGAAATGGACAAATGGAACCCACAGCGAGTTCATAGTCGGTCTCGGTCCACCCCCGACCGTGCCCTTTCTGTCCCCATCGTTTTTGTTTCCCTCGCCTTCCTCCCTTGATACTGATGCCGCTGGCTTTCCACTGCCACTGTCTTTGACGTCAGCACCGCCGCCGTTTTCTCCACCGGCACCGCCGCCCGCCGCATCAACCCCCTCGCAATCTGGCCCTCTGGTCTCGGTGCGAGCTTGGACATCCCTCAGAGCCCTCAGCGCCGAATGAAGCCCGCGGTGGACGGCCGCGTCCGTCCTGCCCTCTTTGCTAATGGTTTCGTAGAACCTGCGCGCCAGCTCGACGCAAAACGGGTCCGACACGGTCCAGAGCGTGCCGACGACGTGGCGGAAGCCCGCGAGCTGGCAGGCGTAGCCGAGGTGGATGCCCTCGTCGATGAGCCCCAGCACCTCGTTGGCCGCCGTGGAGCAGGCCGAGAGGTAGGCGAGGAACGGGGGCTTCCTCTGCAGCTTCTGGTCCCTGAGGTCATCGACCGTCAGCATGCCGTCGTCCTCCCAGTCGCGGAGCACGAGCGCGCTCTGGGAGGGGTCCGACGGGTCCGAGACGCCGTGGCCCGCGAAGTGGAACATATCGCAGCGGCCGAGCTGCTCCAGGACGTCGGCCTTGCGCTCGGGTGGCTTTATGAGCGTCGCGTTGAGCGACGGGCAGAGCTCCTCCAGCATCGCGGCCTCGCGCTCCGCATACGGCAGCGGCGCGTATCCCGGCGTGCTTTTCATTGACACCAGCAGGGCTTTGATGGGGCTGGTGTCACAGCATGGTGTCCTCCCAAGGCGCCCCGAAATCAAAGACTTGAGCGATGAGCTGTACGACGACATGACCCGGTCGAGGGCAGTCTCCCCGGAACGCCGAGTGTGGTAGCCGGCGGCGTGGAGGGGCAGGGAGCTGAGAGGGCCAACAGGAATCCACCACATGTGTGGCCACGCGCTGTCACCCGGAGGGAAGGGGCTACCGAAGCCGAGATTGTCAAGTACGGGCTGCACAAGGACTTCCCAAAGCCACTCCAGCGTCGACGGCAGCATATCAGGTTTACCCTGCAGCCACTTCCTCCTCGCTTGGACGTCTTTAAGGCGCAGGAGTGGAAGCTCGAGCACCTCGATGCCGTCCTTTCTGACGATGAAGGCATCGCACCGGGCCGAGGACACGTTGACAACGACGGCGGGACTGGGGTCAGCCGCCTCCATCATCTGCTCCGCGGTGAACGGTAGCAAGAACCTGTCAAACCCCTCCTCGCTACGGATTTTTGTGAGCAGCGCTTCAAACTCCTTCTCCGCTCGGCGGCGTAAGTGGCTCTGGGACTCCCACGACGCCGTCGACCGCACGACACGGCCACCGGAATCCAGCATATCCCGGAGCCTGGAGAACTGTGCCTCCAAGTCGGGATGCTTCTCCCTGAGAACCGACAGGTCGGTTCGGAGATCCAGGAGAAGACCTGAGATGATACTCCTCCCGAGCTCCAACTGTTGCAGGGCGTCTTGGGCTCCCCTCTGCGCATTCAAGGCCGCGGCCGCGGCGGAGGCACCAATGCCGGCAAACCGCGCGAGCATGTGCTGCTTGTTGGCGTTTTGCATGTGTCGGGGGCTCAAGGCGTGGAGGAGATTGACGGCGTGCTCGATGTACGTCGACGCTTCCTTCCAATGCCGCAGCCGCAGCGACCCGACGGCGGCGTCGGGGCAGTCTTTATCCACGGCATCCGGAGCACAATCCTCGGCCAGAGACTCGGCGATTTCGGCAACGCGGATCGCCGCGTGGATTCGTACCGTGGTCGGAGCGTTGCGGTTGATCCACGCTTGCCGGAAGGATTCCTTGGACCGGTCCAAGTCGCCAGTGTCGCCAGTGTTGCTGCCTTGCCGATACCGCGTGCGCAGCAAATCCCCTAGGCCGAATTCCAAGGTTGCTCGGTCGGGATGGCTTTCTGGGAAACCCCCTTCAACAACGGAGCTGAGAACATCGATGGCCTCGTTCAAGTAAGCAAGGTCGGTTGAGTCGTCCCAGTCGACATCCCTGTGATCTTGCTCGTATTTCACCTTGAGAACGTTTGAAAAAGCGTTGGCCACAACCCCCCGCACCAAAATGTCCTTGGGATCAACTGCCACCGCCTGCCTGCTCAGGTCTATTGCCTGTCGAATGTCATCAGAGGACTTCGCCCCCATGGTGAAACGCGTAGCAAAGAAGCGGCTGACGCCGCAGAGCCAGATTGCTCGCTCTGGGTGATTCTTCGGGGCGAGGACGAGAACTCGCCGGCCGTGGGCGATGGCACCGTCGAGGTCCTTGATCCCTTTGGTATACTCTGCCCTTTCTGCCAGCCTCAGTGCTAGATTGAATAGCTGCGGCAGACGGCCTGGATCTTCGTCCGGCATCAGGTCCACGGCCATCTGCGAGTACTGAATGCTGTCGTCCAGGTCCGTCACAACGCCTTGTCGCTCGAAGCGGGTGCCCAACAGGTTCGCCAGATAACTCAGGCCAATGAGGCGATCCTCGTTGCCCTCTGGGTCCGGGATCCGCGGCACAGAGTCGGTGAGGGTATTGATGGCGCGATCTATGTCGTCCGGATCCCCCGTCTGCTCGAACCGCCTCCCCAAAACCCTCGCGAGGGTGTTGAACGCCAACGCCGCCTCCCGATCCTCGCCTTTTGCCCTTGCCGTCTCCGCGGCGGACGCGGCTGCTGCGACCGCACGCTCGGCGACACCGAGCTCATGCGTGTGCTCAAACAGCTTGCCGAGCGACATGGCGAGCCGGTTCAGAAGGTCCGCCGCGTGAGAGAAGTTCTTGGACATCCCCTGTGTCGCCTCCTCGGCTGCCTCGACAGCCCGTTTGATGTGCTTGACGTCTCTCGTCTGCTCGTACCGCTCCTGGAGGAGCTTGTTGAGGTTGCCCAGGACAAAGCGCCGCGTTCCCGTCCCCGGGAGGACGGCCGCGACGGCATCCTCAGCGAGCGCAACTGCCCTGTCCATGTCTTGCGGATTTCCCTCGCGCCCCATCACCAAGAATCGGCGACGCAAGGCAACGGACAGGTCGCTCAGCAGGCTAGCGGTGGATGCGTGGCCTTGCGGGACGGCTAACAAGACGCGGTCGCTGACCTCGATGAACCGGTCAAGGTCTTGCAGGGCATGGGTCTGCTGAACCCGTCTATCGAGTACGTCAAGAGCATTTCGGGCAGCATCGATCGCTTCTTCGAGCTTCTGCTTTGCACCAGGCTCATCGGGGTGCTCGGAAACTGTCTCCACAGCCTCGCGGATATCTTCAACAGTCCTTTGAATCTGCTCTTCGGATACGCTCGGCGCATCCATGGTGTTTGGCGAATTGCGAAGCCTGTCAGGCAACTAGCTATGCCCTCGGCTCGTGGACAAAGAGAGGAGAGGCCGTGGCTCTATTTGATTCGAGACGCAGTTGTGGTAACTGCACCGTGGGCAGTCCACGATCCCAGCCATACGCTAGCTCTGGGGAGCCAAGCGCAGGAGTTCCTTGGAATGTCGAGCGGTTCAGCTGCCTTGAGCTGCTAGGTAGCCCTCTCCCCTGGTTGGTGGCGGCAGCGGCGGCAGGCCTCTCGTCCGGGACGGACATGGCAAAGTTTGCGGACTCGGAAACGTGCAGCGCGAGGCGTTGCTGGCCGCGAGGGGGAAATGGCTGCGCATGCCGCAGGAAGGTGATGGTGGATGTGATTCGGCCGCTGAGCATCCCTAGCGCGGGCGTGGTGGCCCTCTAGCGTCGATGCTGGCTTAGCCATATGCAATCCACCACGGGAAGCTGGAAGAGGAAACAATTGACGTCCATCCCTCCAAACTTCATGGCTGAAATCCAGGCCGAGTTCTCAGTCAGTTAAATTCGACGTCGTAACTTGTTTAGCGGCCGGCCGTGTCCTAGGCGGTGACGGCAAGGGCCGAGAAAGGGAGGCAACGGAAAGAGAAAAAAAAACCAATGAAAACTTTGGTAGGACCGTGGCTCCCAGGACAGGAAATCACTATCTCCGCTCAACGTGGCGTACAACGATTGTTGTAATCTTTGGGTCAACTCCTTGTATTGTGCCCAAGGCCGGAAGTGATGTATTTGACGAGGGTACATCATGTGCAGCGTTATATACAGCAGGTCCATCGTGTAACGCCCATTCCACCACTCTCCCGCCCGTGGCCTTACGGTTCAAGAGACCACAGATCCCTTCATTCGCCGGGGGCCCGCCCAGCGCCTCCCAGGTGCACGTCCCCAATCTGGACCCAACAGAAACAGGAAACAAGAAAAGCGCTCGCAGGCCGTTGCCGAACCTCGAGGGTAGCGGGTTTGGGGCCCGGCTCATTAACAGCCGCCACCAACGGGGCGGGGCGGGCACTCCCTGGGGGGATCGCTCGGCGGCGGGAGCCTCCTCTGTCGTGCGACAATGACGGCAGGCTCAGAGCTCAGCCCGCGCTTTTGGACGGCGACGTCGGTCTAGAAGGGCACACATGGCGGGTTAGCCAGATGAGGTGACAGCGACGCCGGCGGCAGGCTTGATTATCTTACCGTCTCCTGCTGCATGACAGGGGCGGCCAGCGCCAGGCCAGCGAAGAAGAGGACGGTGGAGAACTTCATGTTTGCGGTTGTTGCTTTGTGATGTGTGACTGTGGTTGTCGTTGTCGTCGTTGTTGAAGTGGAAGTAGAGACGGTGTAGCTTGAGGGAGTGAATGAGGATGAGGATGAAGAAGTAAAAGAGGCAGATGTTGAGGTCGTGTACTCTGGCTTTATACAAGTCGGCTGCTCCTGTTAGTGGCGATGGCGAGTCGAGTTTCCCCTTTACATCTTGTTAAACTTCGAGGCGAGGCTCTCGTCGACACCGGTGATCCTTGCACCTGTACATGTGTTGGTGTTTCGGGCTATCGGCCGCGTCCCCAAGGGTGAGACTCCCCGCCTTGCTTGCACCGGCGTAGTGCTACCATATCCCAAGAGCCTGGGATGTGCAGCGTGGCTAATTTCCTAATTGAGAAGCGAACGCCACAAAAGGGAACCTGCCAAACCTAAAGCTTAGCCGTCGTGTGGCATGAGCATGCGGGGATCTGGGGAGAAGCGAAACTTTCCGCCCGCCGACTGTTTGCCCCAGCGCACCTAGTCGAACAGTGACAGCCCGTAGGGGTTCTAACTATAGGAAGGTCTTGGGGCTTGGAGGCTATGGGCAGGCCTTGGAGGTGCTCCTGCAGCTGGACGCTGGGCCCTGCTGCCAAGCCAAGCCAAATCCGACCGACCGGATGTACAGGTTACAAGGATATTAAACGTTATGACCACTAGAATTGTCGCAAGCTGTTCGTTACAATACATTGATTCCTACTCACGCCCGGATCAAAAAAAAAGGGGACACTTTTCAATCGGTAGTGGTGTGCACTGGGGCAAAAATTGAAAAGTATCTCGTTTTTTTTTATCTGGGCGTGCTACTACAAATTGTGCATTGAAATATGTACCCCTACCCCCTTGCTAATACCCTGGCCGACCCCCCTTGTTGGGCCCACAGCATAACGTTTAATATCCTCGTAACTTGTAGAAATGCGGTGCGGTGCACGCTCCGGGTGTTTGTGTGCCGCCACTCAAGCTTCACGTCGAAACAGGAGGTGGTCAAGGGGCGATGACCGGGGCTATGGACTTGTCAAGAATCTGCAAGACTTTCCTTGCCACAGATGATTATTTTGGTAATGCTTCCTGCCATCCCGCGGCCATGCCCGAAAGACACGGGGTGGTCCCTGTTTGTTCGCCCCAGGTCATGGGATGGTCTGCGGGCGAGCCCGGGCGTTGATGATAAAAATGTGCTGTGGCTGACGGCCGTGTGTGTGGCTGTGTGTGGCTGGGGCCAAAGTGGCTGAAGCTGAATAGCGGGAAATTCCTGCCCCGGCAGCGTCACTTTCGCTTGCGGTCCGGATGCCCTCGCACCCTGGCTCCGTAGACACCTGGAGACCAACATTATGCCCGGCTCCGACGCGTCTTTAGTTCCCGCGGGCTGTAACTACTTGGATTTCACATGTCAAGGAAGGAACAAGATAACGAACCCGAACAAGCCGGCCAGGTAGGTGTCCAAAGGCGCCTACAAAAGAAAGCAGTATGCGACATTTTGCTGGCTATCGCAGCCGACACCAACTGGGGACACGACCTGGGGCCACGTGAAGGCCGAGTGCGGCACTGGAAGCCCCCCGGCGGACCCTTGGTGCGCCGTCACCTTCCTTTCCGGGGGATGCGAGGCGGGTATGCACAAGTCGGCACATCAATCGGGCGATGAGATCAAGGCGGCCGTCGCACTGAGCCCCGCCGCCCAGCCGTTGGATCCCACGCTGCCGCGGAGCCCAAGTGCGCCCAAGCTGCCAAATGTGTGCCCTCGAGGTCGCTGACAAGCATCGTGGCTATCGTGCGTGTGGGGTTGGCGTAATTTCCTGCGTATTGCGTATGGCGGGGCCCGGTGGCATCTCGACGGGGCCATCGCCGGTTGCGGGAGTATGTGCTTTGATATTGACCTGCCCGGTCACGTTTGTATCGGTGTCGGTAGTTGACCGCCACGATGAGACGGTGGGCGACGGCACTGACCCTGGGCTGGACGACATGTGCCGCCTTGGCCGTGGGAGTGCCGCCCTCGCTATAAGAGAGCTACCCCTCTCTTTCACCATACCGGGCCGTTTGTTGTTGGAGATCAGCCTCGCTCGCTTGTCCCTTGCCCTGTCTCGCAGCTCGTACTGAGAAAATCGCAGCCATGCATGCCCTCAACGCCTTCGGCCTGCTGGCCCTCCTGGTCGGCTCGGCCGCCTCGCGCAGCATCAAGGATGTCACCACCCTCAAGCCCATCCCCAAGCGCCCCGCCGCGCTGCAGGGCCTTGACGACGGTGCCGCCGTGGCGCCGTCCACCAGCGTGAAGCTCGAGTACGGCCTCGACGCCAAGCCCATGGTCGAGGTCAAGCTCGACATGGCCAAGCCGACGGTGCTGCTCGAGGAGGTGGCCGACGTCGTCAACGTCACCTGCTCCGACGGCGGCCTCGCCGTCGAGTTCAAGTCGAAGCAGTCCTTCCTCGACGCCGTCGCCGCCTGGGCCGGCAAGGGAGACCTGGTCTTCTTCACCAACCACAATGGCGCCTGCGACAACGGCCTCGAGCGCGGCATCTACGAGGTCAACAAGTTTGAGGGCAACGCCGAGAAGCTTGTCGTCAACGCCAGCGCCGCCAAGAAGGACGTCGCCTCCACTGCCAGTATGTTCCACTCGCTCACACCCCTTGTATCTTGCATCGACCTAGTTCTAATAAATGATAAACAGCCCACACCACGATCGAGTTCAAGGGCGTGCCCGCGGCCAAGCAGCGCCGCAGCGTGGCCAAGCGCGACCTCGAGTCCCGCGCCATCACCATCGATGACAAGGGCCTGACCATCGGCGGCAGCATCGGGCTACCGGCCGGCATGTCCATCTACTCGTTCCCGCCCTACCTGTCGGTCACGGCCGACTCGGCCAAGATCTCGGCCGCCGTTACCTTCTCGGGCAAGGTCGACTACGACGTCTTCAGCGGCCAGTTGAAGCAGCTCTACATCGACATCGACTCCAATATCGATGCCGAGATCGGTGTCACCATCGACGTGACGGCCTCGTACCGCGACAGCTTCGCCTACTCGCCCGGTCAGCTGAGCTACATGATCGTCGACGTGCCCGGCATCATCACGCTCGGCCCCGAGCTCATCTTCGGCATCGGCCTCGACGTCGACATCGGCGCTGGCGCCCGCGTCAAGGGCACCGCTGGGGCCGGCCTCAAGAACGGCCGCATCCACATCGACTTCCTCGACCAGGCCAAGATCACGGCCACGCCCTGGACCCCGACCCACAACGCCGGCCTGGACCTCTCGCAGCGCGCCAACGCCAAGGCCGACGCCTGGATCGACGTCACCTTCCAGCTCATCGTCCAGGTCCTGGGCGGCGTCGTCGACATGACGGCCGGCCTCCGCGCCCGCCCCCGCTTCAACAACGACTTCAGCTTTGCCGCCTCCCAGACCATCGGCCCGGACGGCAAGGTCAACCAGCCCACCGACGGCCTGGCCTGCGCCCAGGGCCTGAGCGTCAAGAGCGACTTCTCCTTCAGCCTCGAGGTCTTTGTCAGCAAGCTGTGGAACAAGAACGTCTACAGCACCCTCATCCCCATTGCCGACAAGTGCTACACCTGGGTCAAGGGCCTGTAAGGGGCGTGCTCGCTCTAGGTGTGTGGGGGCCGTTTGGTCCTTGTAGCTGACTGTGGCAGGTTTGCTCCTGTTCCCGGTTGTCAAGAGATATGATTTGTACATGACCCTTAGTGTATATATTTCTTTGTGCCGTAATTTTCGTACCATGACCACACCAACCCAACGTAGTCCCCTTACGTGCGTCAATGTGATCTTCAACTCCCATCTCTGACCCACCAAATGGTCTTACTCAAGCGATCCAGGGGCTTGCCGTCACCCTCGGAGCGACGACGTTAACGCCGTCGCGGCCCTGGACGTCGCGCCGACCCGCTTCCGACCCCTTGATGGCGGTGATGGTGACCGGGACGTTCGTGGGCTGCATGCTGCTCATAAAGGGCTGGGCAACGGGAAAGTTGGGCACGGTAAAGGTCTGGCCGCCGCTGATGGAGATTTGGGTCTGTCTGACGCCGTTGGAGCCCGTGCAGACGGTCCCGGTGCAGCTGGCGTCGGCCCACCTGTCGACGGCGTCGCAAGTCGTGGTCAGCCGCATCCCACGTTGACCAATGCGGTCCTCAAGTCACTCAAGATAGGGGGAGGGGGGAAACGCACAATGTGGAAATCGCATAGACGGTCCAGCCGGGGCTGATGACGTTGGTGCTGGTCGTCGTCAAGTCCTGGCGGTACCGGACGGTGGACGTGCGGATCACGGTGACAGTGAGGCCGTGCCAGAAGCTGGCCCCGAACCCGCCCTGGGTGGCGTCAGCGCCCTTTGACAGCACGTAAGTGGCCGCCGTCGCGTCCAGGCCCAGGATCTTGCCGTTCAGCGGGCCGGGCGTCGGCCGGAACACCGGGTCTGGGTGCAGCGCTAGGTTGACCACGGGTCCCTGAGCGAGCGCCGGGCCGCACAGCAGGCACACCGCGAGGGCAGATGAGGAGATGAAGTTTGCGAGCATTTTCGGGGTCGGCAGCGATCGCAAGGACAGAAGGTAGTCTGGCAGGCGCGAGGGTTGGATCTAGCGACCAGACTATTCTCGCTGGATCAAAACGTATCGCAGACCTTTATACGCCAGGAAAAGCTGTTTGTTCCGACCTCTCTAATGTCTCATTGAATCTTTGGAGTCCGAGCCCTCGCATTCGACTGTTACACCGATAATTACATGCGCCGTAGGACGGCGGCCAATAAACAGACAAGTCGGCCAATGAAGGTTCCCTAGCCTGTCAGCCGGTCGGCCCTGTATGGCAGCAGACATTGTTCCGGCTTTTTAGGATCTGACGGTTCCAAGCACAACCCCGCTCGGGTCTCGGGTCGTGTCGTCGCCCCATTTTGCCTCCCACCCGTTCTCGGCCAGGTACTTTTTCCACTCGCGGTCCTGGTCGTCCAGGCTGCGCGAGGCTTCTGGGATGACAAAGAGCGCAATCAGGGCACCCATCACGGCAAAGCCAGACGCGATCAGGAACGCCGTCTTGTTTCCCTGGGCGGGGTCGTCGGCGTACGCGTTGAGGATTGCGGTGAATACCTAGCCAGAGCAGAGTGTTAGTAGAGTCACTCTACTATGGTGGCGCTCAAGGTACGCTACACTGTCTTACCTCGGTCCCGATGGCGGCACCCGCCTTGGACCACGCCGCGACGAGGCCCATCATCTGGCCGCGGATCGAAGTCGGGAAGCATTCGGTAGATGTGATGACCACGGTGCTCCCCGGGCCGACCTCACCAAGCGTCAGGAACACGCCGTACATGACCACAAACAGCGGGAACACGGACTGGATGGACTCGGCCGCCCCGCCCAGCACGAAGCCCAGCACGGCCTGCAGCCCAAACCCCAGCGCCATGGTCTTGCGGCGCCCGATCTTGTCCGACAGGTAGCCGCCGATAAAGGGGCCCGGGAGGTAGAAGCAGTTGATGGCGACGCCCCACCCCAGCGTCTCGACGAGGCTCCCGCCCGTATTGAACCGCGAGACGACCGTCGCGCTGAAGATGCCGAACGGAATGCTGATCCAGTTGTACAGGAACCACGTGGCCGAGCAGCCCAGCAGCGGGCGCCAGTGGCGGCGCAGCGCGAGCGCGTATGGCGTCCGCTGCCGCCGCATGGCCGACCTGCGGTACGCCGTCGACACGGCCATGCGGACGCGGAACCAAAAGATGACGAGCGGCGGGGCGGCGCCCAGCGCAAAGGACACGCGCCAGACCACGCCGTACATTGTGGCCCTGTCCTCGCCCACGCATAGCAGCAGCAGCAGCGGCACCAGGCCGGCCCCACGTAGCTGAGGCTGGCCGACAGGTCGGCGAGCATGGCGAACATGAAGCCGCGGCGGCGGCGGTGCGCGGCCGTCTCGTCGGTGGCCTCGGCGGCGCCCGCGCCGGCGACGGGGTACTCGCCGCCCGCGCCGACGCCGGCGACGCCGCGGGCCACGATGAGCATCCAGAAGAGGCCCGCGGGGTCGGGCCCCGTCACGCCGGCCGAGAGGGCGATGCCGACGACGAGGATGGCCGTGGTGGCGACGGCGCCCGTCTTGCGGCCCAGCTGGTCGGCCACGGCGCCGAAGAGGAGCATGCCGGCGATCATGCCGACCAGGAAGGCGTTGGAGAGGCGCTGCCGGATGTCCTTGGTTAAGGCCTCGGGGTAGATGAGGACGAGGATGAGCTGCAGGTTGCCGATGACGGCGGCGTTGTAGCCGTCGGAGCCGATGGCCAGGCCCGAGAAGAGGATCATGAGCCACACGGACAGCTTGCTGAAGTATGTCTTTTCGAGCTCGACGGCCTCGACGTCGACAGCGCCAGCATCGTGCTGTTTTTTGATGTTAAGCTCATCGCTGTTGGGCACGTCTACCTGTATTGAATCCACTGTAGTGGCCGCCATAGCTGGCAATCCCGGCTCGCAGTAGGGAATATTTGATGAAGGTCGTATGGAGCCTGTTGGACGAAGCACATGGCCAAGTAGGTTCCATCACCTTATAAGTCCCACCCATCAATTCCTGGCAACTGTCGCACGTCCAGCGCAAGCACAACCAGCCGCCCAACCATCTCCGCTTCTCTTCTTCCGCCAGCATATTCTTGGAGTTACTCTAGCCAGCTCGGTATGATGCCTCGGGGACTTGCAAGCTCCATAGACCAAGATAAGGTGCGGTAGGAACCTATCGGATGAACACCAGGAAGCTCCACTACGCTGGTCGGGGCGGGGAATGGCCAGCACGAATTGGCCGATGGGATGGGGGATGACGCTCTGGGCGGTGAAAGAGGCCTACTCCGAGCCAGCCAGCCTCTAACTGCCCCCGCATCCAACAGCTGAAGGTTGCCATCGGAGTCCACGCCGAATAAGATGTGACCTGATCCGAGATATGGATATCAAGTCTCGGCGACCTTCGTGTGTCTGGTTTCTTGACATTTCTCCCGGTTGGTGACCAGACCGTCCCCATCACCTGCATCACATCAAACTGCTATAGTCGGCAACTTAATCAACAAAAAAAAAAGGGTAAAAAGAGACGGTACAGGGGAAACACTCCACCTGGGCTCCGTCGCCATGGCGTCCGAAAAGTCGGGCTTCAACAGCCCAGGGCCTGCGCCGCGCGCCAGAGCAGCGGGCATCTGAATGTGGGCGGAAGTAGGCAAGGGAGCCTGCTACACCCTGCTCTACCTCTGGCTTCTCCAGTCTCTCTTCGCCCTCGCCAGACCACCGACCCCTGCCACTCCGAACACAACCTCACACCCGCGACTCCTCCACAAAGTCCAACAGTGCGCCATCCGCAACCTGCACGCCAACACGTCCTTCCTGGACGCGCCGCCCATCCCCGCCAGCGAGTTCGTCGAGCGGCGCGACCGCCTCGCGCGCGCGCTGGCCGCCTCGGGCGCCGACGCCTTCGTGCTCGAGCCGGGCTACTCGTTCCAGTACTACGGCAACGTGTCGCAGCCCGACTGGGAGCCGTGGGAGCCCGAGGAGCGCCCGTTCCTGATGGTGGTGCTGCCGCGCACGACAGCATCCGGCGGCGTCGTCGCCAAGACGGCCTTCCTGGCGCCTCACTTCGAGGAGGGCCGCGTGCGCATGCTGGGCATCCCGAGCGCCGAGCCCGAGCTCGACATCGTCACTTGGGAGAAGCACCGGAACCCGTACGAGACGCTGCTGGCGTCGCACCCGATGGCCGACGCAAAGGGCGCGGGCCGCCGCCGGCCCAGGGTCATGGTGGACGAGGAGATGCGCGACTTCATCGTGCGCGGCCTGGCCGCCGCGGGGTTCGGCACCGTCGGGCTGGCGCCCGCGGCCGAGCGGGTCCGGCAGCTCAAGTCGCCGCGCGAGGTGGCGCTGCTGCGGGCCGTCAACAGGGCACGGTCGAGGCCGTGCGCGCCATGCGGCCCTGCCTGGTCCCCGGGCTGACCGAGGACGAGGTGCGGGACGTGCTGGACGGGGCGCTGCGGTCGGTCGGGTTCGGCTTGTTTTTCGACATTGTGCTGTTCGAGGAGCACGGCGCGCTGCCGCACGGCGGCTTCGTCACGGGCGGCAAGCGGCTGACGGCGGAGAGCATGGTGGTTATTGATGTCGGCGCGCACTACCGCGGCTACAGCTCTGATATTTGCCGCAGCTTTTTTATTGACCCGCCACCGCCGCCGGCCGCTGTGTCGACGTGGGAGTGGCTTTGGGGCGCGGGTGGCGATGCGGCGCAGGACAAGGCGGTTGCGGACCTGCACGCTGAAAAGGTGCACGTCTGGAACGTCGTCCTGGAGGCGCAGTCAGCAGCCGCTGCGGCTTTCCGGGCAAATAATACCGCGGCCAGCGTGGATATTGCTGCGCGGACAGTGATCGAAAAGGCTGGATATGGCGGTGCTTTTACTCATCGCCTTGGCCATGGCATTGGCATCAAAGGTAGAGATGCAGTCCGCCTTCCCTGCTCGCCCTCTATACCACTTCTTCGGCTGACAAAATTCGACTGCTTTCCCCATCTAGCCCACGAGTCTCCATACCTAAACAAGTGGAACACAGACGCAATTCTGCTTCCGGGAACGACCTTCACAAACGAGCCAGGAATCTGTCTAGAAAACAGGTTCGGCGTCAGGCACGAGGACATTTACCTGGTGCGTGAGGACGGTGGGCCAAGCTTCTGTCAGGCCGGAGGGCTAGGTCCCCGTGTGATCCCTAAGAGAACCCATCCACGCAGTGTACGAAGTCGTCGCACTAGTGCTTGTATACTCTAGCTCTAGCTGCAACAAAAATCTATCGTTAAACAAAACTCTATCCATGGTGGCAAGTCATACAGTGACACATCAGAGGTTGCCCGATTTCAAGTCTGGTACCGGAACTTGGGGCTCTCGTCGCCAAGCTCCTGGAGCTCGTCCTCGGACAGGTTCGCGTGGTCCGCGTTGACCTTGCCTTCGTCCCGAAGTCTATTCTCCCGCGCGAACCAGAGCATCAAGGTGCCGTAGATGATTCCGGCCATGCCAACCATGGCGAGCGTGACTGCGTGGCCCCTGAGGTAGCGTGGCCCATCGGTGTTCGGGCTGCAGGTTGATGGCGTGTTAGTCGCAGGAAACAAGGTGTGGAGAGGAATTTCTGCCAATTCTACGAGGAAACATACTAGATGAAGGGGGCCATAATTCCAGAAGCGTTTCCTATCGTCAACTGGAGACCGTTGGCCGTCGTCCGCTTGCCGTATCTCGGGCTGTTGTTCGGGAGCTGTCGTAAGTCGTTAGCTTGGTGGACACCGGAAATCGCTCGCGGCGCGGATGGATAACATACCCAAGCCAGCGGCAGCCCCACGACAACATAGAGTCCTGCCGCAACCAGGAAGCAGCTGTTGAGAGAAAAGGTTGGGAGGTTAGCTATGCTCAACACAACAACATGCTCGCAGGAACTCACCCAAAGTACGCCGCCCCAGCGGGCACGGGCGATATCAGCACCGCGTAGCCGACGCAGATGATGGCGGCGAAAATGACGCAAAAGACGCCCCGTCGCTGCGTGCGATCTGACAGCCAGGCCACAGTCATGTAGCAGGCCGCACCCAGAAAGTAGCAGGGGATGGTCAGCAGCTGGACCTGCGCGATGTCCCACGACCCGATACCGCGGATGATGGTCGGGAGGAAGGTCGAGAAGCCGTAAAGGCAGCTGCAGGCGTTGTCGAGCGTTAGTCGACATGTTTCCACCACAGAAAAAGTGGGCAAAACTTACGTGTCGGCGCCAAACTGACCGGCGCAAAACAGCCAGACCTTCCAGTCCTTGAACGCCTTGACCATGTCCTTCCTGCTGAACTTTTGCGCCTTGGCCGTGTAGCCGTAGTGGCGCGAGTGGCGGATCTCCATGGCCTTCTTCTCGTTCTCGGTCAGGAAATAAGCCGAGCCCGCGTCGTTGGGCAAGAAGAAGTACACCAGGACGCCGAGGATGATGGTCGGGATCCCCTCGATGATCATGATCCAGCGCCAACCCGACATACCGGCGACGCCGTGCATATGGCCGATACCGTAGGCCAGCAGCCCTCCAAGGGCTCCGGCAATGGCGGCCGAGACGAAGAGGTAGCCGACGCGCAGGGCCAGCTCGTGCCTGGTGTAGAAGAAGGTCAGGAACATATTCATGCCCGGGAACAGGCCGGCCTCGAGGGCGCCGAGGAGCAGGCGGCACGCGATCAGGCCGGCGTAGTTCTGGACCAGGCCAGACAGGGTGGCGACGACGCCCCAGCCCAGGGTGATGAAAGCGATCCAGTAGCGCGGGGTGAACTTCTTCAGCACCAGGTTGGACGGCACCTCGAAGGTGATGTAGGTCACAAAGAGGATCGACACAGCGATCTGGAACTGGCTGCCGACCAGGCCCAGGTCGGCCTCGAAGTCGTATAGGCGCGCGTTGCCGATGTTGACGCGGTCGAGGAAGCTGAAGAGGTAGAGGCTCATGACCAGCCACAGCAGGTGGACGTCGAGCTTGCGCACGAGCGCCTTCTCATCGACGCCGAGGTCCTCGAGCGTCAGCGACTGGGGCGAGCCGAGGCCGGGGCTGGCACCCTTCCCGTCGGCGTCGGGTGCGTACCCGGCCTTGGGCGGCGTCTCCACGTCCAGGCGGCCGTGCGCCTCCTCGGAGCCCATTTCTCGCGGGCGGGGGGGTGCTGTTTTTTTTGTTTTGGCGAGTCGGTCGCGAGACTCCAACTTCGGACCCTGACAAATCTGACGGGCGCGCTCAAAGGTGCCCCTGGGCTGTCTTGATCTGTCAACCTGAAGTGCCAGCCTGAAGACAGGACGGACGGGACCAGGTTGGCGGGATTTGCGACGGCAGTCCGGATGAAAAAAACGGACAGGGGCACTTTTTGGATTTTATGTCCGGGACGAGGCCATGATCTCCATAAAAGCAGCCGAGCTCGCCGCAGCGGGTCAGCCAATACCTTATCTGATACAACACTGATCGACCATAGAGCTGACCGGCGCACGAGAAGCGGATCCGCAACGTCGTACGGGCTGCTTGGCGACGATACTGGCGGCTTTTGCGCGGGGCCCCACCCCGAGATTGGGCGCTCGCTCACTAAGTTTAGGCGGGGTGCTGCCACGCGACGTCACACGACAAGGCGGGTGCTCATGTGTGCGCCGCCCTCGGCTTCCCGGATCCTGGTGCGACGACATGGTTCAATGGTCAAGATCGTGGACTCATCTGGTACAACGAGGCTGCCACTGGGTTCTTCTTGGGGTTTAGTGGGATACGCACAACCCCGCACGGCGCTAGCCTCCAGACATTCTTTTCATGTGCTTGTCAAATCTTTCCACACATAAACCACAGCACAGCAAGGCTCGGCGATATACCAACTATTTTCTAGGTTGCAGCAAACTAATGGATTAAACAAAGGAGAGGGATTGGGTAGTTCACCCTTTTGTGCCCTAGACACCGATCTGCCATGCCAGAGTTGGGACAGGTGGCCGACACCTAGCATCGCTTGCCATTCATCACTCGACCACATGCTCCTGTTCCGCCTCCCCCTCTCTCTTACCAACGACCTCCTTCGGGGTCAAGCGTCTTTCCTCCCTGCCAAGCTTCACTCGTTAAGCTTCAGGTCCTTCCTCTCAGTCATCTTGAGCCACAGCTGCGGCTTCTCCCAGACCAAAAAGTTGGGCTGGCGGTCCAACCAGTCCGTCCCGGTGCCCTCGCCCAGCTCAATGTCGAAGCGGAGAAGGACGCGCGCGGCGACCAGGTGCATCTCAGCGAAGGCCAGGTTTTTCCCGATGCAATCGCGCGGCCCGTGGCTGAAGGGCTTGAAAACGGCCCTGGAAGCGCCCACGGCAACGCGCGCGTCGTACATGGGGTGATCGGCGGGAAGGAACCGCTGTGGCAGGAATTCGTCCGGATCCACAAAATTCTCGGGATTCCGGAGCGTCGAGTAGTTGTAGCAGTGGACAAAGGTCTGGCAGCAGTTGCGGGCGCTTGTTAGCGTAAAATTGTCATCAACTTCCACCGCCGGGAATTACTTACACCTTTAGGGAGAAATTGGCCGTCAACAATGGCACCGGGAGACACGCGCGGCGGTAGATCCGCAGCCGGGGGGTGGAAGCGCAGGGCCTCCTCGATGCAGGCGTGCAGGAGCGGCAGGTGCTTGACGGCGCGGAGGGTCACGTCGGCCTCGGCGGGGAAGCAGCCGCGCACCTCGGCCACGACGGCGTCGCGCAGGGCGCGGTAGCGGGGCTGCGACAGAGTGAACAAGAGCACCGCGAGCGCCGTACCCGTCGTCTCGCTGCCGGCCGAGATAAGGAGGACGGCGTTCAGCTCCATCTCCTCGCTCGTCAAGCCGCCCTTCTCGCTGTCCATGTTCCTCATCATGTAGGCAAAGAAGTCGGACCGGGGCCCCGTCAGCTGCGACGCGCCCGTCGTCCGCGCCTCGGTCTTGTGCGGGGCGTCGGCCCCGAGGGCGATGCGGGCCTTTGCCTTTCCGCGCCCGTAAATGAAGTTGTACTTCCACGCCTTGAGCGAGCCGTCCGGGTCGAGCAGGGCCAAAAACGCGAGCGGGCCAAGACTGACAAAGAAGCGGGCCAGGCAGCTGCCACGGATGCCTTTAAACATGTTGTTAACCCACACGTGGTATTCGCCACTGCTGAGGCTGCCGAAGGACTCGCCCAGGGACAGATCGCCAATAATGTCAAAGGTAATGTAGTTGAGCCAATCCATCATTGCCACGGGCTTCGAACCGCCCATTGCGCTTTCTGACAGGCGTTGAATAAAAAGATCGACATAATGCTGTAAGATCGGCTCCTGGGCGCTCAAAGCCGAGTCGCTAAAGGCATGGGCCAGGTGGCGGCGATGCCGACGGTGTTCATCGCGGGTGGGGGCCCCGATAATGCTGCGGTGATCGTCAGGGAAGAAGAAGCCGGGGGTCTTGTGGAACTCGCTAGCGTCGCCGCCGGGACGATGCGCGAATACTTCCGGGAATGCCACGGAGCCGTCAAAAGAGAGGCGGTCCGGACCGATCCGCACAACCTTGCCGTGTTTTCTGTGCAACCGCTCGACCCGCCGCACCATGCTGCCCGTTATGGAAGCCTGGAAGTTGTAGGAGAAGTCCGAGATGGCCATGTCCACCGGCCCTGGGTACTTGGAGAGTGGGTGGAACCAGATGCGGTAGACGGCGAGACCGACGCAGTACAGGACAAGCTGGTTGTTTTTTCTGTTAGCCTTTCAAGTCGGGGCACGGCACAGCCTGAGAAAAGTAACATGGTCACCAACACCTAAGGCCACGCCAATGGCGATGTTGGGCAGTGTCAGGAGCTTCCCGCCAGCGCCGCCCCAAGGGGCTGCGTCGATTGGCGACATGTCTGACGGCGCCTAGTTCAGACTCTGCTCGGGTTTCTGTCGCTTGTTCGTATTGTTGGCTAGGGATGGAATTCTGTGATTATTTTGCGGTGATGGGATGAAGAGACAGAAACTCGGGACTGGGGAGAACACCCTCTACCGCCCTTTTTTATATACTTGCGCCATTGCCGGAGACATTTCGTGGGCACTTGGCACTCGGGGAGTCGGACGAATCTTGCGAACTGCTGGCCGAGCTGTCAATGCTGTGTTGACCACGTCCAAACGCAGTTCCCCTCATGGAGGGGGCAGTCGGAAACGCCCAAGACCCCGACGATCGGCTTGACCTCCCTGGCCTGGCAGGCGGCAGGGATGTGGCCTGGTAGTACCGGGGCGCACCCGCGGCGGGAGGATCCGGGGCACCAGTCGATCATCGCTCGCCCACGAGATGGGTACACCATGCAGTAACTTTGTAACAATCACGATGGCAAGATGAGGGAGGATTGCGAGGGTGAAATCGAGAAAGTTCACATTTCTTTTCAAGAGAGCTGCCGCCCGCGTGCAGGCAGCATGGCCGCCCGTTTTTCGGCCTCAACACTATCGTACGGTATACTATACCAATCTGCCGTGCCATGGCACGTATGCATGAACCGGCCCAGGACCCACCCGGGCCGTGATTTGTCAAGGTCCGAATCCGACCGAGATTTTGGACGAAATTTGCCCCGAGTTTTCGTGCTCCCGGGCTGTTTAAGGCTCCGACCGGAGACTTTTGTCGGCATGTGATTGATAATAGGAAAGGGGATGTTGTACCACGTGTTCACTCACGTGTCAGTTGGTGGGGTAAAAACCATCTCGCCAATCATGGTGACCAAAGACTTCTTTGGTGACACGATACTGGCAGCGGCTGAAATGGCTGCACCTCAGAGGCCTGGGCTGCTGAGGCTGTGTCGCTCAAATATGCCGCTGACAAAACCCGCTGTTCTGCCTCGAAGTAGTGATGCAGAGAATTGCGAAAACCCCACTCTGCTGACCTCCTAGGGAGCACATTGTCGTCCTCACCTCTCCTCCCCAACATCTGTGAACCAAGCGTGCAGCGCTCCTCCAAAATGGACCCCTTGACGCTGGCCACGACCGTTGTGGGCCTCTTTGGCACCTGCATGACTCTCCTCGACAAGTACGCCGCCTTCAAGGACGCGGGCACTAGTTCTAGCTCCGTCCACAGCGCTTTCAACATCAACAAGCTGCTTCTCGAGCGCTGGGGGAAGTCTGTCGGCATCAAAGGGGACGCCCTGCTGCCCAGTCATCACGACTTGCTAGACGACCCCGCCGTCCTCCGTCAAGTCAGTCAGATCCTGACCGACGTCGAGGATTTGTGCACCAAGCTCGACAAATCCCTCGAGTCCACTTCACGGAATCGGGACGAACCGAAGCCGCTCCGCAGGGTCCCCACTAGCAGTCTCGCTGCGGGAACTTCTCGCGCCAAGTCTCACCCGGAAAAAGATGGCCCATCGGTGCTGGCAAAGCTTGACTGGGTCGGCCGGGGCCATGCTAAATCCAAGGCCCACCTTGACGAGCTCCGTGACAAGCTCGGCGACCTTTTCAAGCTAGTCCCCTTGCCTGATGCACAACTCGAGAAGTATTTGCTGGAGTTGCATGCTCAGATCGAAGGTTCGCTTTTTTTTTCTCCGTCTAGTAGTCTACTTTCTCACCCCGGCTATCTAACATGTTTCCGCAGCCGAGACTAGGAAAGAGGTGAAGAAATGGCTTGCGGCGCCGTGGGACACCGAAGTCTACGACCGCTCTTGCAGGAGCAGGCTTCCCAGCACCTGCAAATGGATCTTCGAACGTAACTTCTTTCTCGACTGGATATCTCCAGACTTCCCCGATGCAAAACCCAAGATCCTCTGGGTTAACGGCCCGGCAGGCTACGGCAAAACGATTCTCTGCGCAAAGGTGGCACAGCATGTTTCCAGCCACTCTGCCCCAGACCACCACGTTGCCCACTGCTTTGTGTCCGCAGAGTCGGGCGCAGACTGTGCACCTTTTACCATCATCCGGTCCTGGCTACTGCAGCTGGTCTCCCAGAGTTCTGCGGCCCTCAACGTTGCTCACGAGCTCTGGGACCCGAATACACCCCCCAGCGCTAGCCAGGAAGATGTTGTGCGAGTCCTGAACAGCGTGCTGCGTGGATTTGGTGGGTGCACGCTCGTTGCTGACGGTCTCGACGAATGCGCGTGGGCTCAGGATTCCCGTGCGGGCGACCAAGATAGGAATTCGGCCATGGGCTTTTTTCGCTCTCTGGCCGAAATCGTTAGTCAAACGAAAACTCGGGTCCTGCTTTTCAGCCGTAGGGAAGAAGATCGGATCAAACCTGCGTTTAGTGCTCAACTGTCGTCCAACCAGCTCATCTCAACTGCCGAACATTCCATCGTCCCCGACGACGTTCGTCTGGATGCGAAGGTCTTTTCCCAAGACATTGCACGCAAAAAGCTGGCTAAAAGGAGTGAGGAGCAGCAAGCTGAACTGGCCGACAAAATGCTCGCCAAATCGGACGGCATGTTTCTTTGGATGAAAATGCTGGAAGGCGATCTTGCAAAAGCGAACAACACGAAGAAGGTCTTTCGGGCGGTGGAGCAAGCCCCGATCGGCATTCAGGACCTTTACGTACGAAATTGGGACAGGATAGCCAACAACCCCGACAGCGACGCCAAAGCCAGGGCTTTCACGATCCTGCGATGGGCCGCGTTCGGTGCACGCCCACTCACAGTCCTCGAACTCGTGGAGGCCTTGACCATCCCCCAAGACGCCGACGCCGACGATCTTGACGACGAAGAGTTGCCAGACGAGATGAGCGACATTGACGAGGACTACGTACAGACAAATATCGTGGACCTATGTGGCTCGTTGGTTGAGGTCCGACGACAGAAGCAGGGGGGGATCGCATCCACTACCGACTCTTCCACCGACCATAACTCTGCAGCCAAAGACGACATTGGCTCCGATGAGCACCCAGAGCATGGGAAGATCCCGCCAGCTGCCTGCGACACCATCAACATCGTCCACTTTTCCGTTCGGGAATTCCTGATTGGCCGACTGCCCTTTGACGCAGGGCTCCGCCCGGTTGACGAGACGTTGTCGAACGGCGGCATGGTGCACACTCGTCACCTTACCATGCTCTGCCTACGCTATCTAGGCGTCCGCCGTGTGTGGGTGGGAGGCCTCACGCTTGGTGACGAAGCCCACGAACGCAGATTCCTCCCCGTCGCCCTTGGTGCATTTAAAGCGCTATCTCGTCAGACAGATGACATTTCTGTCACGCCAACCCTCGCCCGCATGGTTTGCAAGCTTATAGACCCTCGTGGCAAAATCTGGAGCTCGCTTGAACAACACATCAAATCGTGGGCGTGGCACGTCGCAACCCAGGAGCAGGGTTGCCGTGTGCTTTTCCTCGCCTGCTGGTTTGGCGTCGAGCCAACGAGATATATCCTGTCTGAAGTCAAAATTCCCGCCACTGCCTCGGACAGCGCCGGCAATACCGCGTTGCACCGGATGCCCTATTGGAAGAGCCAAGCGGAGACCGTGGTAAAGCTCCTAGTCGAATACGGAGCAGATATAAATGCTTTAAACGACGGGGGCGTGTCCGGGCTAAGTATGGCTACGAAGCAAGGTCAGCTTGCGGGGGCAAAGGCTCTTTTGGAACACGGAGCCAAGCAGACCCCCGACTCCAGCGGAGTAGCCCCTCTGCACCTCGCTGCTAAAAGGCGCCATATGGGCTTGGTACAGCTTTTCTTGACCTACGGAGCCGATGTTAATGCGAGGAGCATATCATTGCAGACGCCACTTCATTCGGCGTGTTCCAAGGGCTCCGAAAAGGTTGCTGCACTTCTCCTGGATCGGGGAGCTGAGGCTGGGGCGAAAGACGAGGCTGGAGAAACCCCATTATCCTACACAATCGCGGCTGGCAGCAAGATCTGGAAACGCCTCTTTGACGAAACGAGTGAGGGACGATACTTTGATATCAACGCCACCTACAAATTCGGCTGCACGCTGCTCCATCTCGTCGCGGATTGCAAAGGGGCCTCCGCCACCGCCGTGGCGGGGGCTACAGGGGTATTCTTGGATCGCGGTGCTGATATTGAAGCTCAGAATGAGAGCGGCGAAACGCCGCTTCATGTCGCGACCCGATCCGCAAACGAAGACTGCTTGATGGTATTGCTCTCTCGAGGGGCGGATACCGAGACCAAAAGCGGTAGACATGCCTTGACCCCGCTCCAGATCGCGGTTCTCAACGACCAGGCTGCCATTGCGAAGCTGTTGTTAGGCCGCGGCGCCGACACCGAGAACCGGGATGACGATGGCATGACTCCGATGCACAACGCGACACAATACGGCGCGCTTGACTGTATAAAGATCCTCGAAGCTCATGGGGCCGATCTTGCGTGCAAAGAAGACAATAAGGATGGCTGGACTGCTCTTCACAGGGCAACTTACTTCGGGCACCTGGAATGCATGGGGCACTTCCTTGATCGTGGCATGGACCCTAACTGCAAAGATAACCGTGACCAGTCGCCAATACACTGGGCTTGCCGGCATGGGTATATAAACTGCCTCGAGCTTTTACTCAGTTATGACGCGGATCCTGACGCCCGCGACAAACGAAACTGGTCGCCGACTCATGTGGCTGCCACGTACGGGAGCACGAACTGCATTAACCTTTTGCTCGATCGAGGAGTCGATATCTGCGCTACAACTGCTGATGGATGGGCGCCGATCCATCTCGCATCTTGGGACGGGACTACGGGGTGCCTTGAGGCTTTGCTCGATCGAGGAGCCGATGTCGATCTCCGCGTCGCAGGCGCCGATGGATCCACCGCGATTCAACTCGCTGCGCTCAACGGGCATTTGGACTGTGTAGAGCTATTGCTAGCAAGGGGTGCAGCCAGGGACGTCCTGAATTGTGACGGCTGGTCTTTGGCCTACTACGCGGCTTTGTGCAAACAACCCGAGTGTTTGCAGTTTTTGCTGCAAAACGGCGTGGATTTCAGGTCTGGAACAAGCGGAGGATGGACTCCTCTGCATCGCGCCGCTGAGGCCAGTGCAAAAGCTGGATTTTTTGACTGCGTCAAGTCTTTACTTGAAGCCGGAGTCGATCCAAGGGTGACTACCAAAATCAGCCACTGGACGCCTGCCCATCTAGCCGCGCTCAGCACAGCAAACCCCGACTGCTTGGAGCTCCTGCTCAAGGCGGCTCCGGACTCGGATCGCCCTGACGCGTTTGGGCGGGCCATTCTTCATTGGGCCGCCCGATCAGCAAGCCAGGAAACATTGAGTGTGGCTCTGGCGCATGGGAGTACGGATGCTCTCAGCCGAGACAGATATGGGCTCTCGAGTCTTTCGCTAGCGGTTGCTGGCGGCCATGAAAGTCTCGTTGCGAGGCTTTTGGCCACAATCGAAGGGCAATTCGACTTTGAGGACAATCTTGGCCGATCCCTTCTCTGGTGGGCTCGACGGAGCGGCTCTGCAGGGCTCGAGAAGCTACTGAAACAAGAGGCGGAGGCGCGAGGCGCGAGAATCATCGAGCCAGCCGCACCTTTCGATCAGACGAATGTCAATCTCCGCCCAGGGTCACCAGTACTAGGTTTCTTTTGCGACGTCTGCCTTTTAAATCTAAAACATCGCACGTACTACAGATGCTACGTTTGCGATAATGGAGATTTCGACATGTGCCAGGAGTGTTTCGATTTGCGGGCGGTTTGCGAGCCATATCATGTGTTGGCAAGATTCCTCGCCGATGAGGAATCTTTAGATGGGGAAGATGAGGGGGAGGAGGAAGAAGAAGAAGAGGGCAAGGATGAGGGGGACGACAAAAATGAAGGGGGGGACGAGGAGGAGTGGTCATCGGAGGAGGAGTGAATGCGGGACGAACTTGGCGAGAGTACATTGGCAAATTGACGTCATTTCTTCACCTTTTTTCTTTTCCTTTCTTCCCAAGCGATCAATCCCTTTGAAAATACCTGGATGCACGGAGTTTGGTGTTGGAAAATGGCATTGCAAATTTCTACCTTGGTTAGATCCCGCTGCTTGTTCTCTTGGACCAAGCTTCATTTCCCAGCCAATATTGCCTCCAGGGTCCCCAAAGCGAGCAACAGATGGCTGTCATGGTACTTCCGAGCCACCAGCTGCAGCGCAACAGGAGCCCCCACGAAGCTGCCCTTGTCCCACAGATCCCTGGTCCGCCTACACTCGTCGCTAAGCGGGGTGTACACGTCGTCGTACACCTCTCCCGCCTCGGCCCTTATGGGTGTGGGGAAGACGACGCCCGGGTAGTCGACGAGGTTGTAAAGCGACGTGTAGGTCCAGCACAGGGCCGTGTCGTGGGCACAGGCAGGGCCGACAAAGGACGGGCCCAGCACCACATCGACGTCCTGCGCCTCCCAGCTCTCGGCGAACGCGTACCGGAACTCGTCCCGCTCGCGCCGCATGTTGTTGACGTCGAGCGCACTCCGCACCCCGCCCGCCTCCTCGTCGGCCCAGATGGCGGCGCTGAGCGGGTGCACGGGCTCGCCCGCCGCGACCAGGGGGTCCCGCACCGCCGACCCACCGTCGGGCCAGTACAGCCGGCGCACCAGCTTCCACGCCTCGGCCGCGCCGTGCGGCTTGAACGGCTTCACCTCGATAGCGCCGGCGTGCCGCGGGTCGCTTAGCAGTCGTCGCGCCCACTCGACGGCGCGCTTGACGGGCGGCTGCGGCTCGACGAAGCCGTCGTTGACGACGATGCCGACCTTGAGCGGCCGGCGGGGCCTTTCGGTGGCGAGGCCGGTCCAGGGGATGGGGACGATGTTGGGGTCGAGGAGGTGCGGCCGCGCGGCCAGTACGATGCGCATGAACAGGTCCATGTCCCGCAGGCTGCGGCACATGGGGCCGGCCGACACCAGCACGTTGAGCTCGGCGGCGAAGGGGTGCGGGGCAAAGTCGCGCATGGGCAGGACGCGCGACGTGGTCTTGAGGCCGTGGATGCCGCAAAAGGCGGCGGGCCCGCGCACACTGCCGCCGATGTCGGTGCCGACGCCCAGCGCGGAGCCGCGCATGGCCACGAGCGCGGCCTCGCCGCCGCTAGAGCCCCCGGCCGACAGGTGGATGTTGTAAGGGTTGAGGACGCGGCCGCGGAACGAGTCGCTCTCGAGGTGCATCATCGTCTGGGGCTGCGCCGTCTTGCAGTAGAAGACGGCGCCGAGACCGCGGAGGATGGCGACGATCTGGCAGTCGCGGTCCGACTTTGCGATCTCCGCCATGCTGCCGCCGTGGCCGGACGTGCCGGCGATGGGGATGTGGCCCTTGATGCTGACGGGCACGCCGTGGAGCGGGCCGACGGTGGTGCCGTGCTCGGCGAGGTGCGCGTCGAGCCGCCTGGCCTGCGCGACGGCGTCGTCCATGAACCACTCGACCAGGCAGGCCGTGAGCTGGTGGGCGACGATGGCGCGCTTGCAGAACGCCACCGCCACCTCGACGGCCGTGTACCGGCGGTTCGCGATGGCGTCGGCCAGGGAGGTGGCGTCGTGCTCTCCCGTGATCTCGAGCTCCCTGGCCGACAGAATGCCGCAGCTGGCGGGGATGCCCGTCACGTCGACGGGCGGGTTGGTGAAGATGTCATCGGGCAGACACAGGTCCCGCGGCACCTTTTTGGCGAATTCTTGCAGCAGAGCGGCCCGCTTGGCCTCGAACTCGGGCGTTCCGGTCGGGACGGGCTTGGTCTGCACGACCTGCATTTTGGATGTTGAGCGTTGCGGGCGCTTAGGACTAACTTAGCTGGGACTTGGCCTGGACACGATGGATTGTTCCCGAGGAGTCGTTTGTCGGGTGTGGGTATGGAAAACAGAGCGGGAGTTCTATGCTCGGCACCTTCCGGGGCCTTCTTATACTAGATTTGATGTAAGCCGACCGCAGCGCGGGTCCGCGGGTCCGCGGATCCCCTCTGGGCTGCCTCCACTGTGATGCAAGTCGTGCAACACAACACAAAGTCACCCGCCTTCGGTTTACTCGAAAGCCGGTTAGAAGTAGATTGATTGTATACCCCGCCCTGCGTGATCCGGTGCTATCTTCGTCGATAGCGCAGGGTAGCATCACATATTTGAGCTAGGTGGGAAAAGGCAACAAAAAGGGGGCGCCAAAGGGTGAACAAGGGTCCACGTACATCAGCGACATTAGAATGAGCAAGACTATTCGTGCAAATAAAGCGGCCTGTGACGGGTAACGCATTTTGTCACCTGTCATTTGGCCATTACGACGCCGGCTCCTCCCGTCGGAGCCGGTATGCGAAGCAGATATCTCGGGTGCCACCCTGCACCATGAACAGCACGCCACCCCGCACATGCACCTCCATCCACCCTAGTACACAAACGCATCATCCTCCGGGATTCCCCCATTCTCGTCAAGCGCCTCGGCGTAGTCCTTGTCGAGTTGGGCAAACATGCCGAGCCGCTCGGCCAGGGCGGGGTCGGTCGAGTTGAGCTCGTCGGTGCCGTTCTCGACCGTCATGTCGAGCATGCTCTTCCACGAGCCGCAGTAGCTGATGGGGAGCAGGTAGTGGAGATGCGCGGCGATGGATGTGTCCCAGCTGTGTCGGCAGGCAGCGCGTTTGCGCCTGTGGTTAGGTGGGTGGCGGCCAAGACTTGTAGGCGCCGCGACGGGGGAGGAGAAGCGAAAGAAACAGAACTGACCTGGCAGCGTTGCACAAGACGTTGGCGGACCCGGGACACTCCACCATGTCGCCGGGCAGGTAGCCGTTCCTGTTGACGGGCCCGCTGCCCAGCCAGAGCTCGGGCGACGTGTGGCGGTAGTTGAGGAAGATGGGCGGCAGCTGCGGCACCAGGTCGTTGTAGTGCGTCAGGCGCAGCAGGCGGCCGTTGTCCTGGGCGTCGACCCAGCGCACAAAGGCCTCGTTGCCGACGCGCGGGGCGCCGTACGTGTAGATGTCGCAGGCCACGCCGCGGCGGCGCAGCGTGGCGCCCAGCAGCGTGGCGACGGCGCCGCCGAGCGAGTGGCCCGTCACGCGCACGCGGTGGTTGGGGTACTCGTCGAGCGCGTCGGCGACCGCGGCGCGCACCCTGGCCACGATCTCCTGGTGCGCGTACATGAAGCCCGCGTGCACGGTGCAGCCGGCGCAGAACTCGCGGTCCGCGGCCTGCGCCCGGAAGATGACGTCGGTGATGAAGTTCTGGATCGTGCGCGAGCCGCGGATCGACACGGTCAGGGTCTGGCTGTCGGGGTCCTCGGCCAGGAAGCCCAGGATGTCGGTGATGCGCCCGCTGTGTTGATGGCTCGCGTAAGTCACTGGAACGCAAGTGCTTCGTCCAGTGGTAAGAAGACGGGTGTACTTACGCAAACGTCGCAAGGATCGTGGCGTTGCGTCCAGGGCAGATCTCGCCCTTGCAAAAGACTGCATCGGCCATTTCAGCAATCAACTCCACAAGCTCGCTGAGCTTGTTTTCCGGAACATACCTGGGTCCCCGATCTTCGCGTTGGGTGCACAGTAGGCCGCGCCGGCGTACTTGGCAAACTGATAGAGGCTACTGAACTCCTCGGAGCTGACCAGCACACCTGAAACCATGCCGAGTAGAAGTCAGCAGGGGGCGAGCCGTGGGACCAGAGGGTTTCTCTTGCTTGCCTCGTCCGTTCAGCTGGTGCGACACCGTCACGGCACCAGCATCGACAGCCGGCTGAACTGCAGCGGAGCTGGCAACCCCGGCTGCCAGCAAGGCACCGAACGCAGAGAATGGCTTCATGGTGAAGTCTGGTGGGCAGATGGTCACTCTCAAGGTGCAGAGGGTGCGAGCGCGCGCGATGTCGGTTTGATGGTCGGGAGATGGATCGCGGCCGGGAAGCACGCAGCGTCCCTGATATACAAACCGTCTCCAGCGTCTGGGACAGACTCGAACACATCTCGCTCAACCCCGATGTTGGGAACTCCAAGCCGGTAGTGCAGGATGAGATTGAGACTCGTCACTCTGTGCCATCAGCACCGAGACATAAACCGCCATCATCTCCGATGGTGTATCCGGATACATCTTGGAGGATGTCACGACTTTCTTCCGAGATATCACCTGGGAGATACCACCATTTCTCGTACTGCGGCGCCCCTGACTGAGAAGCTAGACCTGGGTCCCGGTTTTGACGCTGAATACTAGACATAGTAGATGAAGGAACAAAATTTTGCCCCTGACCAGCCACTTCGCAGGCCACACATGTTCTCCCGCACAGGTCCACCTGTATTGCGGCGGAGAAAGCACATGTGCGCCGACGGCGAAGCCGGATATTTGCGGCGGTTGATGGTGATTGTGATGCGGCGACACTTGTCGAATTACAGAAAGAAGCAGCAGTTACCGTTAGGCCTGGTCCTTTTGGCGGGGATGTCCTTGGCGATGGATGTGCACGTCGACAAGCGGCTGAAATGCGCCGCCTGCCGTCCAGCGCGGGAACGGAGGTGGACACGTCGGAACAAACAGCCGGCGAGACGAACGTCGGCCGTGCGGTGCCATCGCTGGAGCCCCTCCCATTTCCACGGGTTTCGGCCCCACAACCGAGCATCCATTAAAGGAAACTCCCGTGGTCCCCAAGACCCTGTCCGCTGTGGGGGAGATTGGACGGGAACGCGAGTGTGGGTGGTGGATGATGGCATGGCAGGTCGTTTGGTGAGAAACAGGTTGAAGCCCCAACATGACGCAAGACCTTGACACAAGACCTCGCCGCCGCCGCGGGACCAGCGATGCCACCTACCCCGATTCCGAGACGTGACAGCCCCCCAACAAGGCCGCGCACGACCGTGGTATTCTCCCGGAAGATATCGCCGACCTTGGAGCGCACGTTCAAAATGCCTTCACCCTCCCCGGTATAATCCCTGGCGCGCGCTCTTGGGCTGCGCCCAGAGGGTCGGATTCGGCCCTGATATGCGCCAACCCTACATACCAACGTGCATGTGAGGCCCACTGGGAGGCGGCGTGAACCGGCCGGGCAGACGCCGCTGAGGTATAAGAAAGGATGCTGTGGTGCACTTGCTGTCCAGTCTTTCCATCCCACCACCTCACCCACGCCAGCCATTACCAAGCCGGTCCAAGTCCTTCCCTCACGCCACACTCCTTCTTACCTGGTTCCAGCCGACATCATGAAGTTCCTGCTTGCGCTCGTGGCTCTGCCCGCCGCCATCCTGGCCGCCCCCGTCGCCGACGCTGCCACTGCCAACCCTCCGTAGGTGTTCTTGCCTTTTATACTGGATCCACTCGGGAGCTTTCAGCGAGATATGAACTTATGCTAATAATGCAATTCGGGACTAAACAGTGGGTTTCTCATGGACAGCCTGAAGTGCACCTGCCAGAACCCCGCGACTAACGCAACAAAATCGGACAGCCTCTGCGCCAACGTGCTCGGCGAGCCCGAGACCGAATCTTCCTCAAAGGGAAGCTGGGTAAGTGTTCTTGCCCAATGACGATGCTTATGCAGCCTGTCCTGCTTCCTGACCGTGGGACTAAGCTCACCTCCATGACCATTTCGACAGTGCTATCGCCGGTTCAACCTCACCCCGCAGATGGACCAGCTGTTCACGGACGAGGCCTGCACGCGCTTCTTCCAAGGCAACTTTAGCAAGGCCGTTTGCGCCCCCGTCAAGCTCTGCGACAAGGACCAGGGGCCGGACCGGCATGGTATCCAATACTACAAGGTTTGTGGCAGGTAAAGGGATGCCGGGCCACTGTCGGGAGAACAGGCTTGAGCCGTGATTGCGTCCGTTCCAACGTACGAGATAGCCATCGATTTAAAACTTAATAGTGTACATACGTCCATTCTCCAGACGATCTGCTGCCCCTTTTTGCCCAATCCTGTAGTTGCCATCCTTGTCCGTTTTTCCTTCCGGTGCCGTCCTCCGTCTTCCACTCGCCGTCGTCGTCGCTGCCCTGGTCCAGCCAGTGGGGGACACGCTAGGTGGTCACGGTAGCTATTACGTTCCAGCCGGGGTTGGTCGTGAGCCATTTCAAGGTGGCAGCCTCAATGCGCGCAAAACTCGTCGTCTTGCCGATTGGCAGAGACTTGTCATCGATGAAAGTGCCCTCACTGTCTGTTGGGGGTGTTTGCTGTCACCCCGAATGCTAAATAGGGCGCAGTCTTGATTTTTTGGTGCGTTTGCTTGTCCGCTGTCCAGGAGGTCGCCCACCAGGACGGAGAGTCCTCTTGTAAGGTCTGTTTTTTCTTTCTCGCCTGAATATCTGTAACATGCACCGAACCTTCATGTTAGACGGCCACTTGTGTGATTTCACTTTCCCGCAGTAAATACCGGACAGCCAGGCGCTTCGCCTGCCGCCTGTATGTGCGCCGTACTGCGCAGTTGTTCGGGCGAGGCGGAAACTCACGTCGAGAAATGAGGGTAGCGACCTTGGCAAAGCCGCCCCGCTTGGCCATCGCCAGCGGCGTCATGGGGCCGGGGTCCGAGAGCCGCTGGGTGTGAACTTCTGTGTCTGCCCCAGCTTCCAGGAGAGCGTGCACACATTTTAATCTACCGTTGGCTGACGCGGCCCAGAGCGCCGTGGCGCCGCCATTGTCCCTAATCTCCATGTCCGCCCCGTACTCGAGCAGCGCGCGAACGAGATCCTCATCACCCCGGTATGCCGCCCTGTGGAGTGCGGTCGTCCCGTTCGGTCTACATCTTTCGTTGACATCGAAACCAGGCGGCGGGCGGCTTAGGATAGACATGGCAACGCTCGTGTAGCCTTGCGATGCTGCTAGCCAAAGGTTGGGCCCGTCCGCGGACCATCGACCGATACTCGGGTCAGCCTCGTGGCGTAAAAGCAGGAGCACTGCTTGGTCGTCTGCTCCTACAATGGCTTTCCCTAGTGCCTTTCCCAGCACCTCAGAGTCGTGATGGTGAGGGAGGTCTCTGTTAGCATTTGCCGACACTGACGCATCTTTCCCATCCGAGGTTCCCTTTTCCGTAGCCCCGTCGGTCAACATCGCGGGATTATTGTTGTCTTGATACACCAAGAGTAGGGCAGCCATCTGGGTATTCTTTGCGGCAATCGCGACCTCTAGTGGCGTCAAGCAATCTCGAACGGCGTCGATATCGGCCCCCGCAGCCATCAGTCTGCTCGCAATGGTTAGGCGTCCATGTTGGACCGCCCAATGAAGCGGGAATCCGTGGCTCGGGTCCGCCTTGTAGTCCAGAAGGAGCTCAACCAGGGCGTTGTCAGCCCACAAGATCGCCACCTCAAGAGGCGTCCCGAGCCCGGACGGCTTGTTGACATCGGCACCGCGCTGGATAAGGAGCTCAATAGCACTTTTGCTGCCGGACTCTATTGCGAGGCGAAGGGCTGTGGGACTTGGAGGAGAAACCGCGGGCACGTGATCAAGGATGAGCCTGAGATCTAATGTTTGGCCGTACCGCGCTTTCATTTCCAGATACGCCATGTCGTCCCTCAGCAAACGCCTCAATGCGAGGTCACTATCTTGCCCAGAGATGAGTAGGGGCTCCGTGCTGCGGGCTGCGCTGGCTGGATCCAAGTCGCCGTATCCCTGAATGAAGTGTGTCTTGAATTGCTCGAGAGCGGATTCCTGGGCTTTTGAAAGTGCATCTGCAACCTTCGTATTCCCGTTGTTCAATGCGCGCTGGAGCGCGGTCACCTCTGGAGAACCAAAACGCCGATTGAAGTCCAATTCCATGCCATGTCGCCTGGCGAAGTCCTTGACGAGGTCCTGCGAGTCCGGCGTCTCGGCGAGAAGGTGAAGTGTGGGTTGCCGCGCCCTGTCAGTCCCAACAGGGATGGGAAACTGTGGCTGTCTTTCCAGAAGGTAACCAGCAAGACCCATTTCGTGCTTTCTTACGGCCCACGACAAAAGTATTTGCTCGATGTTTTCTCCCCCCATATGCTCAGTCGAGCAGATTTTGGTCATCAGCTCGTTGACAGACCATTGTGGCAAGTTGACGCCCTCGGGGAGATCGCCGTGCTCGAATATAATAAGCTTTAAGACATCTTCCACAACTTGTTGCTCGGTGGCCTCGTATCTGGGTTTTATGGCGTGGGGGTCTGCCGATATTCCCAGCAGGGCATAAATCCGGTCGTGCGGCTTGGTGGACGAACAGTTCCCGAATTTCCGCAGCACGGTGAAGAGATCTCGTTTCTCCTTCCACCATGACCTTTCTTCTTTGCGCACAGGGCTCGGCATAACGTCAAGCAGTGCCCGTGCCTGTTTTGGAGCCTCGACCCCTAGCAGGCTCGGCATGAGAGCAAACGAGGAGGTAGGCGTCGACGCCCGGCCGCACATAATGGTCGCCTTTTTAGCCAGAGCAACCTCCTGGATCACCCAGACCCGGCCGAACCACGGCCGACGAAGTACAGTCATGAGGGCGTCGTAGTGGTGCTCCTTTAGGAGGGGCGCGTTGCCCTCAGACAGCGGACGAAGGCTCCGCCATACAGCCTTCCACATTTCAAGGCGCGTCTGCCCCATGAGTAGGCACTGCTGGGCAGCGTGTTCGTGAAGCTTGGCGGAGGCACAAAACAGTTCGGTGATAGCGGAGCTACCTGGGCCCAGCCATATTATTACGTTCTGAGCGGAGCTGTATACGATGTTCATCTGGCCGACCTGGTGGTTCTTTTCCCCCTTCTCGTTTTCATGCTCGTCCTGGTTGATACAAATAGCGTCGATCCAAAGGATCCTGTCCGAGTCGGGCAGGCGGAGGTGCTTCAGTGCCATGTAAAGATTTTCGGTAACGTGGAGCGTGCAGAGATCGTTGATGACTTGGATCAAGATGCGCTTTGGTCCTGGAGCTTTTCCTGGTCTGGGGCCCTCATCAATGGCGTCGGACCAGGTATATGACAGGGCTTCGTATTCGACGTTGAGCGCTTGGTCTTCGTCCAGAAGTGACTGGAAAATCTCGCACTTGATGTCATCTTCAGGGTCGACCGCCCTGAAAAGACGCAGAAGTCGGATGGCCTTCTTTGAAAGGTCGATCGGCTCGTAGGTATACGTGGCCATAGGCATTGGAGAAGGAACAGCGGGGCCTGGCATGTGAAAAGAGTCAATCGAGGCAATGAATAAAGTGTAGGGAGTCGTAGGTGGGGGTGGCGCGGAGGTAATTGAATATGCGTCGGCGGAGGCAGGCTGGCGGATGTCGAGGATGAGGGGAAAAGAGGCAAGGGAAAATGGTGTGGGGAACGAATGGATTCAATGTATGTCAGTCAACGCTAAAACCACCAGGTCGTGGCTCAGCCACCAACGCCCGGCGGCAGCCTCCTGGTGATGCACGTGGTGCAGTTCAAATGGCCAATTTCGTTTCTATTACTCTCGCTTGCAGGACATGGGACATACTCAACACCACCCAAAACAAGTCACTGCCGACAGTATTACTGCCCCAGAGTAAACGACAAGGCCCAGATCTCACCCAGGCTGGCTGTGTCGAAACATGGCCCGCAAAGATACGCCCAGTGCGCCGTGCCTGTGGCCAGCCGCTTGCAGCCCCCGACGTAGCCGCGGATTTGGTCGTTCAGGTTCGAGGCATTCTCGGACAAAGGGAGCCGCGATTCTGCCGCCTCGCAGGCCTCGTAGTGTTTCCGTACCAGGCCAAGGACCTTGGCGACGGCGGCCTGGACCGATATGTTCTCGGCGTTTGCGAGAAGGAGACACATGTTATCCAATTTGCCGTCGCGCTGCAAAATTCCTTGTTGTCAGGCCCAGAAATGTCTACCCGGGCGGCGGTCGGGGGACAAAACAACTCACGAAATTTCTCTGGCAGCTCAGCACCTCGTGCACCAGCGTCGCCAGCCTGGTGCACTCGAGCACGACCGTCTCGACGGCCTCGTGGTACCGCACCGCGTCGGGGAGGCCAAACCCCATGGCATACTCGCCGGCCGTGATGTTGGGCAGGGCGCCGACGTCGTCGCAGCGCACGTCGAGGTGGTGCCACGGGTCGGGCAGGGTGTCGTGCCGCCGCGCCGCGTGCCTCCGCGCCGCGCTCTCGACCGAGTCGCGCAGCTCGCGCCGCAGCCGGTCGGCCGAGCTCGTCGCCATCTCGGCCCGCATCGCCGTCAGGACCTCGCGCAGCACCGCGACCGTGCCCGAGGCGGTGTTGTCGAGGTTTGTTGGGCCCGGCGGCGAGCTACCTAGGCAGGTGTCGATGCATCGCAGCGTCTGGTCGCGGAGGTGGCGGGTCGCTGCCGAGTCGAGGGCTGGGTTGTCCATCTCCTCGCCAAACCAGGCACTCTGCAACATCGTCAGCGAGTGTTTGAGTCGGGGAAATGGCAGTTCCAACATACCCAGCACTGGTACTTGGCTAGGGTGACTAGTTTCCTCTTGGAGCAGTCTGTGTACAAGACGCTAGCGAGTGTGGTGTATCTTTCGCCTGTGCCGCACTCCTTCTTGGCCTGTGGGACATTGACACTGGATTTTTATTAGTGGCTTCGACGCCATGTCGACACTGATGATCAGGCGAAATAGGCATCTCACGTTTTTAACCACCCGTCTATCTCGGCTGCGACCTCGTCGAGCACATCTTGGCTGTGTTTTTTGCTGGGCCATGTCGGCATCAAATCCAAAAGGTTTTGGATATGAACCGTCTCGCCCGTATATCTTTTCACAAGATCCGCTCCCTCGTCGACGATGGGTAGCGACAGAAGGGCATTGGTGTTGAATGTGGCGGGGACGGGCGTCCGTGGAATCAGGGCGTGGTGGTCCTGTGACGGCTCGTCGATGTCTGGGAGGAACACGATCTGGGGCGCGAAATTCTCGACGACCGCCATTTTGGTTGAGGCAAAGCGACGTGACAGGTTCTGGAGTGAAAAAATGGTGTCTGACAACAAATTTGACGACTTAGTCATATACGGGTTAGATATATAAACAACAATAGTACAATGGTTGAGGGCCAGCCCGTGAAGCGGTAAGCAAGATTCCGTGGTGATGATGCTCGGATGGAAAGATTGCCCCTTTGCGGTCGATCTAGAGGTTCATATATCCTGGGCTTAAGGCGAAAGGGCCGCGATAACACGGCGATTTTATAGCCCCAACCTCTCGGATGGGCAATGTTTAACGAATGTGGGCACGAGATCGGCGCACCACTCGGCGCAGCATTGTCTCAGCAGGCAGGTTTGACCCCGAGCGTGGGAAGCAAAATGGGAGGGATTCCCAAAGTCAGGTCATGTTCGCCGTGAGAGCTTGCTTTCGTTGGAAACGCCAAGTCCACGATTTGATGCACTGTCGTCCATGCCGTCCTCACTAGTGCAGATAAGCCGGGGGCGTGGACCGGGACTGGGATGTAGCAGGGGCTGGCCCGGCACTCGAATCCTGCGTCGCTTCCAAAGCTTGAACTGTGTGGGGAAAATGCTGGGAATGGAGTCGGCTACTGAACACGACGTTGCTCAGCAGACTTTGGAGCACACGGCGCAGGCGTGAAAAGGCCATCAAAAAAGCGTTCTAAACAATCAGCACGCAGGCACCGCCGTCAAAGGAGCTGGTGGCAATGCAGTGCCGCGTCTAGACGGCACCAGGAGTTTGGGGCTGAGAAAGCACCAATAATTTCCTTTTGTGGAGGAAGCTTGGGTGGATGAAACGACACGGCCTCGAACCAGCAGATGTGCGATGCTGTCGCTGTCCGCTCTTGTGATTCGCGAAGGCGATCCAGCGTCCTCCAGCCTTTACGCTGCAAAGCATCCATGTCGCATTGGCCGTGGCAAAAAGAAGGCAGAATCGATAAATGGTGGAGGATCGCGGTGGGCAAGAAAATATGGTTGAAACGAATAAGGTCAAGGAGTTTGTGGCTGTGCTGCCGGAGGTCGAGGGCGGCATAAAGCTGGGATAGTGTGGAAGCAGAAAGCAAAAGGTGAATGAAGAGAAGAAGATGCAGAAGGAAATCTCGTGTCGGCCGTCCCAACGAGAAAGGCAGCGAGCGGCAAAAGAGATTTGTTTGCGTGTGCCCGGACTCGAACCGGGAGCCCATCGATGGCAACGATGGATTTTACCCTTAAACCACACACGCTTTGGGAGTTGATGCTGTAAGTGGAGATTCATTGGATCATATGGCCGGCAATGCGTGGAGTGGTGACTCGTCCCGTGGAAACACCAGCCAGCAACCAACATGCGCGACGGAGCACAGCAGGGTCCATCCGAACCTATCCCCTGTACAACATTTGGAGATGTGAATGCTTGTCGCGAACCTTTAGCCTACCACCCGGATCTTAACCACGCGCAGTTACATCCCGATCAGAGGTAGGAGCAAATATCAGAATGCATTAATAGGTTGAATTGGAAAACAAGAAGGTGGCATCTAGAAAGGCAACCCTCCATGCCGAAAGACGCCGCAATAACGCAATAAATAAAGCACAAAACCAAGCCAAGCTAGCCGCAGCAGACAGAAGGCTCCTCCACCCCAACCGCCTTCGCCGGCCCCGCCGCCGTCGCCCCACCGCCCGCCGGGCCGCCGCCGTCGATAAGGATCGTCCTCGTCATCCAGTCGCAAAAGAACTTGCCGATGCCGGCGCCGAGCACAATCATGACCAGCAGGATGACGTTGTAGTACATGGCGATCAGCATGACGATGTAGGCCAGGCCAAAGGTGACGGCGTGCAGCACGGCGCGCACCAGCTGCTGCGGCGGCGTGGCGCGGAACGTGGCGTACTCGGCGGGCGCCAG